AAGAAACCATAATAAAGTAAGTGTTATTTTTACTGTAGGTTTAATGGTCAATATTGATTTCCACAAGCTAGCTCAGCACTGAAGTTTGTAGCCCTGTATTTAGCTACGTTATTTGTTAACTTATTTTAGATCGAATAAAGTTACCAAAAAGATCATTCAACTTGGTGGTTTTATTCTAGAGCCTGTTCTGTTTAATATGAAGCAAATTATATTAAAATAACAGTCAACATGTTTCTTAGGCCAAAATTGCTTAGCTTTGTATACGACTGCATTAATAGGATCTCATCTTCTTGCTTTCACTCCTTCTTTCAATTAGTGGAATCTTTGCATCATTATGGTACACTTCAAGTCACTAAAAATGATATTTTCCTGACACAAAAAATACCTTGCAATATGGCCTTCGGTCAGTACGCTGCTGTGCAATTTCTGGAATGACATTCCTTTGGATATAAAAATGTCACCATCTCGTGTTGTGTTTCTTCGAAATCTCAAATCCTTTCTCTTTGATTTTAGTTACTAGAACTCACCGGAGATAAGTTTCTCAGTCATAATTTTAAGTAGAATTCTAATGCAAGCGAGACACCTTTAAATAGGGTGTATTCTCTCCTCGATTAGAATAACTACTGAGAAAGTTCCCTCCTTTGAGAAATTATCTTCATTTAATTTATCCATTCAATTGTGTTATTCAAATTTTCTGTAATGTTGCCTAATATTTTTGCAGTTTAATCGTTTGGGCGTATTTTGTAGTTATTCTACGATAATTGTATGTATAATGAATTTTAAAACATAAATGACCCGAGCTGAACTGAAACTGAGCTGAACTGAACTTAGCTATGTAAGAAATAGTGGCAATCAATCATAGACAGTGGAAGCATTTGTAGGAGAAGTCGTGTAGCTAGTAAAGGGGCATTTCTAAGCTACAAATAGATAACCAACCTCTGTTTTTGAAAAATTTCGGGTAAATGCTCCCTGTCTTCCCGGTTCCTACGTCTATTGCCGAAGAGGGCGGAAAAGTCTTGTTTTGAAAATTTCAACTTCATATATTGGGTTATTTTTGTATTTTTGTTCTTTTCTTAAATAACTTCACCAGGATATTGGGCTCTACAAGTATTTATGTGAATGATTAAGAACGGCTTGGATATAATCTACTCAAAACAAATACTCTCGACGTTTAAAGTCAAATTAATTTTACTTACTCGGAAATGAAATTCAAATGCAATATAAAGGGCATAAGCTCCCTCAGAAAAACTGCCATATACATCAGAGGGTCAGCCATGAGGCTACGTTCCCACATCATCGAGAGCGAGTTGGGCCGTTAGTGCATCGTCGCAAATCGCTCAATCTACCATGAATAACTAAGAGGGGTTACTAAGGGAAGTTGCACAGTAACACCGAACTATGACTGATAATTGGAAGGGAATGGACAGTAAAAGCCTCTTTTCCCCACTTATAGCCGATGCACCAGCCCTACCTAATAGCATAAAAAAACGCTAATAGTATTAAAGATGCCTAAAGGTATGAAGAAACTCAACACGCAAAGCTATATCGAAAAGGCATTTTGGATACAGAAACAAAATGAGGGATCCGCAAGAAATTTTCCCTATTACCGCGATTCCGCAAAAATATTTGGATATATACCGAGTTTTCAAAATGAAAATGACCGTATACATTGCAGTTAGAATTTTAATCAATCTCATTTTAGTTTCGAGTAATTTCTGGAAAAATCCTTAAGATTTAGGCACGTAAGATATGCCCACCTATCAGCGGAAAGTTGCTTATCGAAATTCTTTAATTTTCCTAGGGGACGTAGCTGCTCGTAACGCTATTGATAAAACTATTTGGCATAATGATAGCAGTATGATAGAGCTGGACATACTTGTCTAGGGGGCGCTAAAAATCGGTGCCTTGCAGCTAATTGTGAGCCACCACGCTACTGCTTTACACTCTACTAGTTTGCAAAGTAATAGCTAGTTTGGCCTCTATAACTAAAATCTGGCCCCCGGCTAGCCCCCCAGATTTTAAAGACTAGATTCGCCAAATCATCAAAACTAAGCGGGCCAATTCAAAGGTATACAGTAGCATTGGGTGCTTATTCGAAGGGTTGGGGCTTATTGACAATTTGTAGCTCTAGAGAGGGGGCTTATTCAAAGGGGGCCTTTTTCCCAGAGGTGGCGCCAGAAATCTTCCGAAAGAGGGGTTTGAGCTTCCGACAAGGGAGCTAAAACGACTAAAATATGCAATTTTTGTACGTTACTTTGTCAAATTTGCTCCGACAACAACCAAAAATTTCCTCCGATAGGGGGGCTAGATGCTTCCAACGGATGGGCTATAGCCCCCCTAGCCCTCCCCTGGCGCCAACACTGCTTTTTCCTCCAGGAGGAATTCAAAATATAATCAACAGCAACAACAAGGGCAGAGTTCATGCTCTCCCAAAATGGCGGCACAACAGACAAAGTGGTTTGTTGCCACTGCAAAGTAAGTGTTGGAAAAAAGGTTTATAAAACCTCTTTCTAAGCTTATATATGCTAAAAAGCTATAGATGTTATTATGTAATTGTAGAATATTGTGAATATAATTGTAAACGTGCAGAAGTGGTTATGCTCTATAAAGCAAAACAAGAGCTCTTGTTAAAGGAAATACCAAATGATTATCCGCTTGTTCCAGATTGGAATCTTTGAAATGAAAATTGCGCGTTTGTAAATAACACAGATAACATTTTTGTGCGGCTGAGACTAATTGCCATAAAGACACAGTATGTAACTTTTGGGTATACATTTAAAAGAAAAACATTAGTAACATCATTAGTGGTGATAAAAACAATATAGCAAAGATAAACATTTTTCATAATTCTTAAAAATAAAAACAAGGGGGACCCAACCAGATTAGAATTGTTTCCGTAAACAAAAATCTGCTCAAACTTTGAAAATTTTGTGCATGGTAATAAATTAGATCTTCCTGTTCCATGTGTATTTTACTCCCAGAAATGATAAAAATATCCTTCACATGTTTGATGTTATTCAGCACCTGTGTGTGCAAAAACCAGCCTCGTGTGTACATAAGCAAAAAGTAATGAGGATTTATATGATCTGCAACTCTGAAGGTCTTCAAATTCAAATTTCATTAGAAGCATCAATTATTAAGTACATACAAGATAAGTTCTACATTTGAAGAAGAACCCTGTGCAGCTGGATGAATCATTTCAATAGAAATTGCATGCCTGCAATGGCAGCTGACATTTGATGTGCGCAAGGCACAAATTCCAATCTGGGTCTTGTTTCGGAAAAAAGAGATTGTTCCACCAAAAATCAGGATGCGAAAAGGGAAGTAAATTGTCTTGAATATACTGATAAAGCCCCTCAATTATCTTCCCTTTTGGTAATCAGTTTCTTGGTGGAACAAACACTGTGGCCCAAAAAAGACTACCGCTGACAAGAGCAAGAGCATTCATATCATTGCTTTGCCTTTGAAAAAGACAAAATAAAACAATATGGCTCTTTTGATCTGACTAAGGAAAAGTGTAGAAACCATACTAAAATGTAAAAGGCACATCTCATTTAACACCTAAAAGCCTGATTCTGTCCAAACAGAGCTTTTTCCACAGAGAACCAGATTATAAAAGTGGGGGGAAATTTGGTGGAGGAAAAGTGAAGTTAACTGAATGAAATATGAATGGCCTAAACTTTAAACTTTTAGGATGTGATTTTATTTTCAGAAAATTTTCATATACTGTCGAGTAACATACTGTAATGTCAGACCTCATAAAGAGCTGTCTTGGATTTATTCAATAATTTTTAATAATCCTTAATTCAATATGCTTGCTGATGGCTTCATCTGTTTGATGGCTTGGATTTTCATTTCATTTGTTTTCTGATTCATAAATTAGACTCATAAATTTTGCTAATTTTTGTTGGCCTTCAGTTGCTTTTTTGAAACCATATTAGATCTATTCAGCCCCTGGGCATCTATTCAATTTGTTGGTTTAAAAGAGGGTAACTATTGTATAAGGGGTTTATTAGAGAGAGGCTTTTATTAAAAAAATTATTGGCAGATTAAATAATTTTTTTCAACTCAATTCATGCCAAATCTAAAATTTACAAAATCTAACCAATTGTTAAAAAAACCTACACCTGAATCAATTTTGCTTCATGGATTCCTCCATGTTGGAATCTGCTATTTTAAATGATTACCATCAACTTGTTATCATCACAAAATTTGACAGTTCTAAGGCTTACTTTCCTCTTTGAAACATCCAAATTCTTAGTTGACAATAGCATTATGCAACATAAAATGGTTTTATGATGAATTCTTTTACCACACTTATAAAAACAACATAAAACACAAATTTTCTCTTTTTTGCAATGTTTTTATGCTAGGCCTGGGCATTATTGGAGAGGAGTGTTTAATAGATCAAATACTGTATGCATGTATTCTAATAATCTGTGTATTCTTTATGAGAAAGGTATGGATGGTTGCATATATATTTTGTAGAATTTTGTCAGCTTTTTCATTTTCCCCTAATAGTCTCAAAAGAGCAATCCAACTAGTAAATGACCTAGATATTTCAAGATTTGGAAAGCTGCTACAAAGAATTCTACAAAAGATTCATCTAAGGGTATGAGGATTTTATTATTTCAGAACTGCTTGTCATTTTTATCTGACATCTCTGAATTTGATCAATTTATTTAAAGACAATGACATTATAATTTTAAAATGACTGACTTATTGAAGTAATTTGTAATTTGAAATGTAGCCAAATGAATGCTTAGCCATATTTGATTTACAATGGTTAGGATGAAAGATCATTTACAGATGAAGAAGAGGAGAAGTTACAGGCAGCTTTCCAGTTAAGCCCAGACGAGATTGGGGCAGTTTTAGACACGCTATCTTTTATTTTGGAGCAAGCTGCATACCACAGTGCCAAACCTGCAATCCTTCAGCAACAGCTAGAATCAATTGAACTGAATGCTGAAAAGGTAACAGACAGTAACTCCTGTTTTACAATTTCTTGATTGCAATGTGACATACAATATCATTATGATGTAAGCCTTGAATGTCATACATTATCTGTGTGTAGTACAATACTAACAATTTTTCAATTTTTATTTTTCCTCATTTGTTTACTGAAGTGGGACTGTTTAGAAATGTATATTTACTAAAGTTGCCTTTTATCTTAGGTGAATGCCTTTGTTGACTTGTGGACTGAGAATGGTGCATCTGTGATAACAAAGCTAAGGAAAAGGAGCCTGGCACCCAAACAGGTAGGTATTCTCATTGCCGCTTTAGTTGATCAAATGTAATATGCTAGAATCATCAGAATAGAGGCCATTTGTCCCTGTCCCAATAATTGTCAAACATGTAAAAATGCTCCTTTCATTAATAATACATAACAGTTCAATGTTAAATATGTCAAGTTGTTTTTAGTATTGAAAGTCCTTTTGGAAAACAGGTAAATTTTTCCTTTTACTAAAGCAATAAGTTATCCTTACTTTGCTGATAGCAATTGTGATATTTTCCATCAAGGAGCAAATATGACTCAAGTTTTGATTACTAGAGTCTTTGAATTGTTTCTTTGCTACCAAAGTGCAAAGAATTACTTTTTAGAAGGAAAAGCATCCCACAATACTGCATGGTAATAAAACTCATGATAGCATTAAACGGAAAATCTTACCATCAATACAGATTTTTAGCAGTCTGTTTAAGGGTGATCAGTGCTATTTCTTCTTAATATCATGTCATTTTTGTGGTCGGTTTCTTATAAGAAAAGCATGTAAGTTGAAGTTGGATTTTGCTTGTTTCTAATTGTCCTTTTTTGCGTGGCCCCTTCATTTTTCAAAACCTACCAACGGTCTTGCATGTACCCCTGTTTTTCTATTTAACAAGTTCGTATTGAATACAATGGTTGATAAACCCTCTGGATTTTATAGATATATTTGAATGATTTTTAGCTTGATACTATCAACTGGAGACTGAACCTACAGCTTGCACAAAAGACCAGAACAAAGATGAAACTTGCAAATGCTTTCGTTGAGCTTGGGTTAAAGTCGTCTTCTTCTGAGGTATGCTAGAAAAATGTTTTTGTCACAGATTGGTAGGTAAAAGGTTTATTTATGATTTTTGTGTGTAATTTTTCAAGAATCCGAAAATACAATCATGGCATAGGCATGTAATAAGCAAAACACATCTTGTCCTAGGTCCATGTAGTATGTTGAATCTCTAAAACGTTCGGTGGTTTGAGTAGATGCATAGGCTTGGGTCGGAAGTCTGTGAACTTTCATTTAATGCCTTCGTGAACTATCAGTATAACAGGTATGTTTTTTTCTGCCAGGACGAAAAAATTCGACTTGAATTCACGCATGGCGAACTATTTGAATTCTTCCAAAAGGTAATATTTAATTCATCTTGAATGTAAAAGCTTTGCTCCATTTTGTTGTAATTTCATAATTAAGCCCAATGCCTTGTCCTTGTTAATAATGTTTATATTTGTTGTTTTGCATTTGTCGTTCGTAGTTAGTTAATTTATTTAGATTAGATTTTAATAGTTGCAATGCAACATTTCCACGCTTCTCTGTGACGATTTTACGATATACGCAAGCTTACACTTCCATTAAAGATAATTAGAGGAGTTCAGTGTCTGTTTTTGAACCATTTTCGGTCAAACTCAGTTGCAGCTTTCAGTTTTAAGAAATAGAACTCCAAAGGAGCTCATTTTTATCGCAAACATTCTGTTATTGAAAGCTTTCTGGATGTAAAGATTGGGTAAACAAATAATGTTCTGACTAGCACCTTTTTAATTTAACAAAGGTAAACAAAAAGATCATATAATGGATTCTTATTTTCAATCGTTTGCTTCTTATTAGAGTCGATCTTTAAAATGATTTTGTAGATATTTTGACATTGCTTGAACCTTTTTAAGGCATGTTTATCTTTTCTTCAAAGAATGCTACCTTTCCAATTTCCTCTACAAGGCATGTTTAGGGTTGGAATGTAAACCGTTGTATTGATAGTTTGTTAATAGGTGCTTTGTCTTTGTTTTTTCAATGCAGCTTGTGTGTAGCTTTAAGATATATTTTCATGATGGCTTTGAAAAAGGCAAACATTTAGTAAACTAAACTTTTTCGTCTGAAACTCTTCAGAGTTTAAAACGTCAGAACATAGACCGAAAACTCTACGCTAGGAAAAATATATACCCAGTGTAGAGTTTTGGGTCCTATGTTCTTACGTTTTAAACTCTGAAGAGTGTCAGACGAGAAGCTTTAGTTTACTAAATGTTTGCCTTTTTCAAAGCCATCTTCAAGTTTTGTACCACCAAAAGATTGTTTATATGTTTTTATGTTTCTTCTTAATTTTTTGGGACATATTGTTGCAGCTAGAGACAATCCAAAGCCAACTGGATACATTGACAAGCTAATGAGGGATGACTTTGCTGTTGTACTTTTGGTTTGCGAATCGGTTATTGATTTTTCCCCAGGCTTGGTGGACTGGTCACACAAACTCATGAAAAACTCTCCTGCTATTTAGAAGGACGAGCGATTAGAATTGTTTAGTAATCTCGGTAGTTCGTAGTTTTTCGGACGGATATTGCGTCGTTTTAAATGATTGTATCTAGGTAACTTAAGCAGTTATGTTGAAATTTCTATATAAAGTTGTGAAACGTTTCTTTCATGATGTTTTTTTGTGGAAAATAACAACCTCAAACTGATAAAGATGTATTTGATTAAGCCAGCAGATTTGTGATAGAAAAAACAATCGGAGCAATGGAATTGTCCTTAACGAGCTCTTAATCTCAGAAAATGAATTGTGATTAGAAGCATACTTGTGCAGCTTTCGATTTGGCTTGGATTTCGTTAGGTTCAATTGTTGATCATTCAGTAATCATAATTTGTATATATAAATAATTTAAGAAGAGAAACTGGTGATAGTGAGAATCCTGTAATTTTTATTTGATTTTCGTATACCCTTGTTTAACATAGTCACTCGGCTTATTATAATTTTAGATCAATTAAGGAAATAATTATTTTATTCTTTGCTTTTTTGCATTCCTTTATGTTCCTCTCTTACTTATTTCTACTGTCTAGAACACAATTAGAAAACTATTCACTCTTTTGTTGGTAATGAACTCCTTATTGCATTTTATGATTTAAAAAATTTCAACTAACTTTCAGTTATCTTGAGTCACTCCGTGTCCCAGTTTTGTTAATGGAACTCGATTAATGAACCATGATTTATGTTGTTTAAGTTTAATCTTTTATAAACTTTAAGTAGTACGATATCAGAAACTTTTGATAATTCAAGCTGATGTCCTAAGAATTTCTCAAATCACTAATGGTATTGATTTGATAATTTTATAATTATCACCCATTTTACTCGTTTATTTAAGCAAAAGTGGGTTTCATTGTTCACGACATGGCCTCCGACGCAGGGGGGGGGGGGGGAAAAGTGGGGGGGGGGGGGCAAAGGAGATTTTAACAATCATAAAAAAATAATTCATTGACAAATAATTGACAAGCTCTATTGTTTTCCAAAAAAATGAGGGCCCCCACGTTCCCCCTTCATCGGAGGCACGAGGCCTCAATTTTAATTCATTGCTTAGTTATTCCCCTTTCACCAGCAGAAATTAAATGGCCGATGATGACTCAGTAATAAATGATTTTAATGTTAAAGCGCCAAAGTATACAAAGTATGAAGAGGAAATTAAAAGTAAATGGGAAAAGTATTTGAAAGCCCAGAAAAATGTGGAAATATGAAACTTTTCCTTAAGCTTATTGAAACTATAATTGTCGTGCAAATGAAATGTTTTATTTTGAATTTAAATTACAAATTTTTCACTTGACCAAGCTGAGGCCTTCTATTCCCTCCAATTCCCTGTTTTTAGGCAGCTTGTTCCAATTTTAACATAGAACTAAATAGGAAGCAACCAAGGACCGCGGAGCATATTACAGATTTAGGGGATTAAAACTTTTTTTCGGAGGGGGGCTAAACATGCTAAAAACCAACAGCAGGGCGGTTTTTCGGTTTTTGTATTGTTTTAAGTACATTTTGGAAGTCATTGGCCAAGCCCCCGTAGCAACACCTTATCTAAATTTCTTTCCACAATATTGCAGTTTTCTAGCAACTTAACTGTTGATCATACGATTTCTCGTTTTCTGACCATATTAATTGTGTTCCTAAATCTCTCCAAAGCGGACACGTTTTTATGATGTAATTTCTAACCTCGAAATAGCTGACATCAGATGACAAAGACCACACTTATTGTCATTGCCTTGAAGTAAGTATTATTGCTTCGGAGGCCCTATCGATTTCTCAGAAGTGTCAGATCCTACAAAAACGCTGTAAATAAGCTCACCGTTTTACCGCTATTCATGTTTGAAAACTGTTACTAGTAAATTAATCATGATATTCATCAAGAAGGGTCAAATTTTTCACCATTGTAGACCCAGTTTCTGTATATTTATTTCAAGTTTCAAAGCTTTGTCTTCCACATGACGAAACAGCTCCAGGCTCATGACACATAAATGATTTGCTAACAAAGTTTCAAATCGAAGCTACCAGAAACCTTTACGAGCTCACGGGGAAGATGGCGGATTCTACAAGCAAAAGCGACGATGAAAGTGTCGCCAGTATACAGGTCAACGTAAAAACCCCAACAGGGAAAGAGACGATTGATGTTGCAGAAAACGCTACGATCAAAGAGGTGAGCTACAAATTGTACAATTTATTCGACTAAAAGGGTTTATTTGCCATTCGATCCGTTTAAAAAACTTATTCGAGTTTGGGCCTAGCCTTTTAGGCCTGACGATAAGAACAATTGGAAAACTTGCAATTGCAACTTGCAAAAGAGATGCATATTGTCATAAAACATATTCACGGATTCCATCGAGCCAGACTGCATTCTCTGTTTTTTGTACGGAGAACATAGATTCTGGTAGGTATACATTTTACGCAGATGTGGTTAATGATGCTGCTATTTGACATTTTACTGCAGATGACAATGAAATTTTTGAAACTACTATTAGGTTAGAATCATGAATTAATAATAAAGGTAACATAATGTGAATAAGAATAAGTACTAAAATACTCAGATCATTTTAAAACCACCTTAGATTGCGCAGATAATATATTTCCCGTGCATGACAAAGAGTGCTGTCTGGCCATCTGGCATTGTCAATTTTTATCTTCATTCTTAGCAAAAATGTATCATAAAACTGGCATCATCAAGCTGTTAGTATCTGCCAAAAATTTCAATTTTTTAGCACCGTCAGGCCACACTGTTACACAGTTTTCAACATTTAACTTTTCCTGTACATTTTAATGAAGTTTTCCGCTGGAAAAATTTCACTGCATTGGCAAATTTAGGTCAGATCTTTCATCTTAATATTCAAAACATAATGTTTCAGGACCAAACATTCCAATTGACATGCTAGTTTTACACATTTCAGTAAGACTAATTTTAACCTGAGGATTTCTAAACTGAGGTCAATTTTTGACAATGACATTGGGATCCACAATTTGGGATCCATGACTTGGTAATGTTATGTCTACAAAGACACTAATGAATTGATTGAACAGAAATGAGCTTTGCAAAGTCAGTACTAGCCATTATGTAGCTTAGAGCTTGGACCATAAGCTCAGCATTATGCCTTCAGCTTGTTTGGGATACATTTTCTTGTTCAGAGCAAATGCGTAATCCTGTATTTTATGTGCAATGCAAATGGGTCAAGTAGTGGTTTTCACCTACTGTTAGAATCTTCAATAACAACATTCTACACTCTACAATATATATTTCATGATTTATGGACCACAAGTCTTGGCTGTGTGCTAGGTATGTTTGGTCCTAGCACCTTTTTTGCCATATTTATGCACTTTGAGGTTCATGGTAAGATTGAAAATTGACATTGTATCTCATAGATTTTATAGTTTCAAATGATCTTTCATGTTCTTGCAAAGTCCTTTGGCATACCAAACAGGTACCTCAGATATAATTGTGTATTCAATTAAGTAAGGAGATAGCTGTTTTGGTTACTATAAGACTTGATCTTCTAAAAGAGAAAAAAGAAAACACATTTCAACAAATTATCAGAAAAGAAAGAAGAAAAAAGGGGACAAGTTAGCTTTTGTCAAAAGCTTGAAACCTTTACATTTATGAAGAAGTACCATGGTTTATTCTAATGTGATCAGTATTGTCCTATAACTCATGTTTATGAATAATTTACGTTCAAAACCATCTTTGAAAACAATCTTTCCTTGAATAGTTAATTTATAGAGAGAGCTTATTCCCTAGTAAGCAACAAATAAGTTTTTGGAACTGCAAAATATGAAGATTGCGCTATATAACAGATACATGGTGTGGTTAAGGTTATGGTAAATGTTTTTGACAATATGTTTGTTTTTCTCTCCCTAAGAGCCAAACTATCAACAGAATAAAATTAAACTAAACATCATTCAATGCGCAAGAATATGTTGATTCCAACCATATCAAACATTGCTTACTAGACATCTGTCCTGGGCGTGTGAAAATTTTTGAGCCATTCGATTGGTTCCTTGGGTACAAAATAGCTTTTTTGTACCTGTATGTAGAGGAATTGTGAGTCCGGAGAAAATAAGATTTCACTGATTGCACTTGAGAAATGTACACTCGTAAACCACAGTGTAACCTTGGTCAGGTCATTTGAAGCTTAAAGATCAATGAGCCTGTTTGAAAAAACACTGGCATACATACATGAGATACATGGGAGTACCATACGGTCGTAACTAAATGAAACATGCTAGGATAATTGGCTTAACAGGTCAAGAGCTTTCAACTAAGAACTTTGAAAAAGAAGCTATTGAGACCTCTGTTTTCTGCTAGTTTAAAAAAACGATATCATTGTGTACCTTGAAAGTTTTGCTACTTGAATGTGAAGAAATTAAAATATGGATGTTTTCATCCAGAAAAAGTTTTCCATAACCTCAACACATCATTTTGACTTGGGTAAGCTTGTAAAGCAGTAAAAATGACAGTTTTCATATGGGCTATTTAGCTCAATCAGCTGGTCTCATAGTTGTTTAGCCCATTGTTTCCCTAGAGAGCCCTGCTTCTATTATTTGAAACTCCTTTCCCATTTTTACCTCTATCTTTGTGACAAAGATCATTCTACACCAGATTGCTTAGCAAGAATAATTTTTGTGCCTTATGTCTTATCATAAGCAACGTTTTGTGAAATTTGTCTTTCTAGTTCCGTGAGCTGGTTGCAGAAAAATTTAATGCAGAGGTGGGGCAAGTGTGCCTCATTTTTGCAGGCAAGATTCTGAAAGATCCTGACAACCTCAAATCAATAAGTAAGGGAAAATAATGCTAATTAGATTATAAAGCCTTGTTTATAGGTAACTTTGAATTAAGTTTGAAAAGTGAATAAGGAAAAAGTTATTGCAAAAGAAGTAGCAGTTTTATGCTTAATGATTTTTTATTTAAAATTGTGTTGATTTTTTGTCAAGATGTTATTTCTGCATGATATAAGTCCTTGTCAATCTCTAATGTTTGCCATACTATTTTGCCTTATTTGCACATGCAAATTAAAATGTGTGTTCTAGTTTTGACCAGGTTGCCCTGTAGAAGCCTTTAGGTTTTTAGTGAAATGTGTATGGTTTATTTCCTTCTAGATATTAAAGATGGTGTTACTGTTCACCTTGTTGTCAAATCCAAGAGCAAGGTCTGTATTAACTAAGAAACCTTTTCAACTTTGATGATAAAACATAATTTCACAAATCAAAATTTTCTACCATTATATTAATTTGTACTTATCGTTGCAAAGAAGCTTCAAGGTTGCCTTGTACTATGAAATAATTTATTATATATATATAAAGTGTTTATAATTTAATATGAACTGATGTGCTTAAAATTCAATCTAATAAACTTTCTCGGTTTAACTACAGGCACAAGAACCCACAAGTCAGGGTACCACCACACCTAATAGCCAGGTACATTTTCTATCTTGCCTTGCTGAAACAAGTTGTACAAATTTTTGTAAACATTTCACACTCCAAAACCTAAAGCATGTCATCTGTCTGTATGCTAAACATAAACTTTATTAAGACACTCTGTTGATTTTAATTCTATCAATCTTGTTTTGCTTGCTTTTTCTGATGTTCCAGTTGATATTTGCTGGAGTATGTTGAAGTGTATGTTTGAAATGAAAAGCATAGAACCAATAAGTTGATAGCTTTTCACTCTTTTTTTGGTTGAGTGAATTTTTTCAGTGTTATTTTTAGCAACATTTTTTATATACATTCTATTGGACTAGAAATACCCCATCCCTTGCTTTTAACATTTCTGTCAATAAAATATGTGTTTGGTAAATTGATTTTACATATTCTAAAGAAAGAAATATCATCTTAAAACCCTAGACCTCAACAACAGCATCCGAAAGACAAACTGGTACCTCTACACTGCCTGGCTTAGGAGGCTTGGGTGGTTTAGGGGGATTGGGTATTGATTTTGGTAAGTAACACCTAATAAAAAGTTCAGTAAGGAATGGTCATAAAAACATAGATAGTTATGTTATTAATTTTTTTCAATTTAAGCGTAGATGTATGAGCAGTGTTGTATGAAAAAAAGTTTTTCGTGTTTTGTTGCTCTTATTTCTGCCAATAATAGTTTCATACAAGTAAACCAATTTTGAATGCAAGTTAACGTGAATGAGTATGAATATATTTGTATCGCTTTTTAATCACCGTAAGTTCAATGGGGATTTCCTATCAGAGTGTTTTTGCTTATAATTTTTGGTATCATTGCCAGGAAATCCAGTTCAAAATCAAATGGCTGAACAGATGGCACAACAAATGGCTCAGAATCCCGATCTTCTTAGACAGACGATGGAAAATCCATATGTACGGGTACGTATGTCGAAAATCGTACAGGACTTACTTTATTTACTGGAGGAATCCTATGCATCAGTATCTTATACATCATACACCGTTTTTATGCATTAATTTTCTATGAGCTATGGGAGTCAAACCTTTGTCTTAACGTACCTAGTAAGAGCTCTTATTATTCTTGTCTTAAACAAATCGTCAGACAGTATGGATTGTAAGGTTATATTGTGGATATGGCAACTTTTTAAAGTACGGTGTCCTAGCCCTTTAAGTGAGTCTCAACGTCTAAATTAATCCAAATTCAAATATTATTGAAGCAAATGTTGCAGGTCTTTGCAAATAAAAGGAAATAATTTTTCAACTATGCAAGCTCGAGATCGATATTTTTTGTATATATTGAACTGTTCTTGTTTTTTACAGTTCATCTATTTTCTATCTCTCTTGACGACTCTTTAGCTATTCTTAGGATTTTCTCTTTAATAAAATAATAAAAAACCGTATCTGGCGATGTTTCTGACTTCTATTGTCGACTGTCTAATGTAGAGATACCATTAGTCCTCTTGAGCTGTCCTCTTCAGCTGTCCTCTTGATGAACAGTGATTAATTTGTTTGAATTCAGAATTTGATGTCAAACCCAGAGCTAATGCGGCAACTTATGACGAGTAATCCACAGCTCAGGCAGATGATGGAGGTGATTGATTTTTTGTTACTTTTCATCCCTGATAACCCTTTTATTCTGAACCTTGATAGACATACAACCACAATGGATTTCAATACTCTACGCTCCTTCTTTTAAGCTCTTCTTTAAATTGAAAAAGGTTAGAAACTGTATCTAGTCGTTTTCTTGCCAATATGTGGTTTTTTGTTGTTATGATTTTGCATTATATTTACTGACTGTTCAATATTATAGGCAATATTTGCAATACTTTGCTCATTGTTTGTCGATCGGATCTTTTATGCAATAAAATGCCCTGTCGGGTTGGGGAAGAAATTATTTTCTCTTATCTTCATGTCAATCATTGCTTTACAGAGAAATCCAGAAATTTCGCACTTGTTAAACAACCCGGAATTGCTAAGACAGGTAACTTCTTAAATATTGTAAGCCTTCGGATTTTGTACTTGAGCTGCCTAATAATATTGCTTTTTTATCGATACAATTCGCTTTTTCTGTTGCTGTTGAGCTCTAATCTGTGTGTAATACTGTGTGAGCAGCTTTATATCTCTTAGAGAAAAAAAACCCCTAAAATCATGATGTATATTATCTTATGTTTTTGGCATATAATTTTGTTTTCTGTTAATCGATGGTTAACCCATGGCTTCTTCTTTGGTTTTGATTCTCTTCCTTTTAATCAAGGCACTTTTTGAAATGATTTCATACGCTATATTTTTTAGTATATAAATTACAGATGTATCATAGATTTCAACTTTCTGTAATCCTTTTGGTTTTTTATTGTTAAAGACATTCGAAATGGCAAGCAATCCATCAATGATGCAAGAAATGATGCGAAATCAAGATAGAGCTCTCAGCAACCTCGAGGTGAATTTCTCAACTTTGATTTATAGTTAAAATGCAAAACTTTATTATCCTAGTGACAAACCTCTCAGGCTGTTTCGCGTTAGCATTATCAGGTGGAGAGTTTCCTACTATATTTGTATTAGGTACTGGCTATAAAGCCGCAGAATCTTCTTACAATTTAACTAATTTAAGCACTGATTTATTCAAAGAGGGCAAATCTAGGTAGCAATCCATCCATTCTTTCATTCGCTCGTTCATTAATTCATTTATTCATTCATTCATTCACTCTTTCATTCATTCTTTCATTCGCTCGTTCATTCATTCATTCATTTATTCACTCATTTATTCATTTGTTCACTTTTCACTCGTTTATTTTGTCATTTATTTATTTGTTCAATGTTGTTGGTATACCACATTTGTACAAACGGATATGATGATACATTTATATACAAAACCCCAAAGTATAGACTTATCTAGCTTTGGCTAAAATTCCTTCTTTCTGTAACAATCGAATTTAAGTGTATCAGATACTTGTCACATATCTTTAACCTCAAGTCTATTTAATTAAACAATGTGTTGTTTTCTTTTTCTCCAGAGTATTCCTGGTGGATTTAATGCCCTGCGAAGATTGTACACTGATATCCAGGAGCCAATGTTGAATGCTGCACAGGAGCAGGTAAGAACTTTGTTCCTTGGTCGTTTCCTCTATCCAATTTCCAGATTTTTGTTTCAACCAATGTCATTTTTAAATGATGCTTTTATAGCAAACACGTTGTCTGGAATACGTTTTGGAAATGCAATGGTATATTTTGTTGTATATAGCGTACATTTGGCTTATCTAACTATTAACTTCGATTTTTTATAATATGGTAATTATATTTATAATTTGGGCTAAATGCACTCGTAGATGCAACAGATGTCGAATCCTTTCGCTGCACTTGCAAGGGGTAATCAAGCAGGTAAATGTTCTAACAATACTGTTTTTAAAACCTTTAACTTTAACAGTTCTTGAATCAGCTTCTTTAGATTTTTGCTCTAGTTCCTTGAACTGTTTTGTTTAGTACATGATTAAATTTCTATTAATCCCTTAAACGGCTGTAAATTAAGCCTTTTCTTTCAGCTTGTGACCCTATTTTATAGTTGTGGAGGCAGCAAATTGATCGATTTTCAATAGACATTGAAAGACTAGTTTTTTAATTTGTAGCAAAGTTGTCTTAAAAAGCCTGGGAGTCTTCACCGATATATTTGAGGTATCTTCTATCTCGACACATTGGTAAATTCATAACTATCTAAATGTATATTATATCTAAATGTATATTATAAGCAAATCGTATTTGCTAAAGCTGGCCACACTTTGAAATTCGTTTGGTGTTCACATTTCTTCAAATTATTTTCCAGAAACAGCCTCGACGGAAGAAAACCCCCAGCGAGGTTCAGAAAACACTTCCCCTTTACCAAACCCCTGGGGCTCAACACCAGCAGGGAGAGCAACCACAACAGCAACCTCGTCGTCTACTTCAAGTAGCACAACATCGTCGACTGCTGGTGTGACGAGCAACCCATTAAGGTAAACTGAATTTTTACTGTCTCGATAAATACTCTATCTACTATTTTATACTCATAAAGGTTTCTAATCTTTGTTTTTGGCTTCTCGTGCAGCATAGATTCTTAAATTCTGTAATTATCTTCTTTGAAGAAATTTAAAAAAATATTTAGGGCCTTATTTTCTAGGTATTAGTTAGTTGTTGACTAAACCTTTGGAATTGCAAACTTCGAAAAATGAGTATAATGGTCGAATAATCATAAGATGAAATTATCTAGGTGTAGATCGAAGATCGAAAGTAACGTGACAGTGGGGATGACGCGTTTGATTGGTTCCTAGTTTTGAACAATCGGTGGCTTTTTACATAATGAGACAATGAAGAAATAAACTGCAATCCACCGACCTGAAAAGGAGAAGAAACTAGAAATAAATGACGTATCTAAAGGAATATTTGACCTGGCATTCAAAGCCCCCGCAAAGCTACTAATGTGCTAGCCAAGTTTCATAACTTTTCTCTACTTAAGACATGGTTCCCTGTTTTGTTAATATTTTGTTCTTTTAACAGTGGCCTTGCGGGAGCAAATCAAGCAGGCATGTTCCAGACCCCTGGAGTCCAAAACCTACTGTCGCAAGTCTCCTCGAACCCACAACTCTTTGAAAACATGATGCAGTCTCCATATATGCAGGAGATGATGAATCAAATGATAAGAAGTCCCGAACTCATGAACAATGTAAGCTTTGCAGCCAGCTAGTAACTTTTTCTATCTTGAGCATTATCGGTAAAGATCTTCACAACTTCATATAATTTCTTGTGCGCTCTCCTCTAAGAAAATCATTGCTTTACTGAAACGGCAACTGTTTGTCATGGACTTGATTTGATGAAGTTGGATAAAGATTTGACATGATTTTTCTGACCCGCTGCTGGAAAAGAATTTTCCTGCACGCTCATTGTTCTGTTTGGTTGTTGTTTGGAATTCAGATAGAGCTACGGTTGGAAATTGGTCCCATGTTTATTATATTTAATACTCTGTGAATCGAAACACATGGCAAAGTATTAAGTTAGAAATCATCCCTTCGAGTTAAATGTTGTATAACCTTTTGCACCCTGAAGTAATCTAGTAGATATTTTGGGCCCTAGGACTGTATGTTAGTAAGAATGCCTCAATAATTAAACTTTCCTAGTGTGTCCTTTGTGATTATATTTGTTCTTTTATCTCCTTCGTAGATCCTTCGAAGCCATCCCATGTTTGCAGGCAACCCTCAGTTGGCCGAGCAAGTAAGCATTATCAGCTTAACATAAACATCTCAAGGCATATTTCAATCGTAACTTTATCTTTTCAGCATTTTTTGCTTACCTCAATTAAAGCACAATTTAGTTCCATGTTAAAATTGACATTTTTAAGTAAATAAGTTTTTAAGTGATTTAGAATTTTATCACTTTAATTTTTGAACCTTTTCTTTAGATCAGTGCTCAGATGCCTAATTTTATGCAGCAGGTGAGACTTTTTGCTCTTATTGGTCTTTCTTCAAGTCACCTCTAATTAAGTCTTCTTTTTCGCAAGGCTTATTCGGTTTTTTACGATCGGCCAATAGTCTGTTTGGACGTTGCTTAACTTGATTCGTATCAAAAGTAGGCCTTTTTTATTCTACCGAGTTTTTTGCAAACAAGATCCCAGTAACGTTTAGTGCAGACGTTTTACAAAAAGAGACAGAAAATGAAAATAAAATAAGCTTTTGTAAAATTTTGAAACTTTTATAGAAAGAAAAGTTGAGGATGGAATCTTTTTTGTTTATGTGGCAGAATTTTTCTGACCTTTCGAAAAAGTTAGTTGCCCCTTTGCTATGAAGCCCTAGCTACCAGTATATTGATTGTTAGTTTCTTAATTCGTATCCAGTTGGCGCTTAAGTGCTTTAACTTACTGTGTCAATTTTTTCAGATGCAGAATCCTGCTGTACAGCAAGCGATGACCAACCCCCGGGTGATGCAAGCAATGTCGCAGATTCAAAGTGGCATACAACAGTTGCAACAGGACGCACCTGAAATGCTTCCACTTCTGGGCATGACCCCATCACCGGCTTGGAATTCCATGACAGGGTCATCGACTGGAACGAGTAGCTCGTCTTCTTCTGCAGCAGCTACGACATCGCCGTCAAGTGCCAACACAACCACACCATCTCAATCATCATCAACAACTGGCCAAACTGCTGGGAATCCCTCCTCGGGGAATCCTCTGTTCAGTCAAATGCTTCAGTCAATGTTGCAGCAACAAATGGGACAGACTCGTTCCCAGCCTCCGGAGGAGAGGTTCAGGGCTCAACTAGAGCAATTGGCTGCTATGGGATTTGTAGATCGAGCTGCAAATTTACAAGGTTTGTTGATGGTTTTTGTTTCATTGCAAACCATTGTCTTCTAAATAGTACAGAAAAGCGGAATCATTTAATACTACAGTGTGTTTCGTCCCACACTCCTTAGACTCAGAGTATAAAACGTAAAGATAATGTTATATTGATATTTACAAAGCATAGTTTAGTTCTATTTTATATTGACTTGCGATAATTTTTCATGATGTATCATTTTTAAGTTTGTATTAATTAGATCAGTTGTTCAATGTTATGAGACAAAAAGAGCCTTAAACTTGTTGTAGAAATATCTTACACATTGTGGTAGAAAGAAAATAATAGACATTGATCCTACAAATGTCCTAGCCTTGGATACTTTCATAAATTTTTCTGTGACACATAAATTTTTGGCGTTGCTGTTTATTTTACTGTCGTTTATTTTGCATTTTCAGCTTTAGCTGCAACTGGCGGAGATGTGAATGCGGCAATAGAGCGACTGCTTCAGTAATCAAACGAACGCCCGAAAGAACAAACAAAGCAAAGGCAATTAGAAAATAGAATTTGTATTCAAATAAATTGATGTATAAAAATTTAAGTCGATGTCTAGCTAAAAATCTGTTAAATGTTCTACGATTCTTGAATCAGAATATTATTTATTGCCTTTCTCACAGAAAAATCTACACATTCGGACTGTCAATACCAAAGTTTCTTCAGTGGAATCTTAAACAGTAATAAAACTGTATCTTCAAGTAAATGCCGATACTGTAAATCACACATTCATATGTTTGCTTGGTGCTGCCGTATAATTGTATTCTCTTTCATAATAAAAGTGTAATGTTTTCTTCACCTCATTAAGACAGATTTGGTTTTTAGGATAATTTGTAACTACTTTTATTTGATCATACTGTTGAAATAAAAGCTTTTCAAAATAATTCGGGAAGCTTGACTGCGTAAATGTAAATCGACATTTTTAGACAATGTTGTGCTAACAGAAGAGCATCTTAAGCAATACTGTTACTGTTTTGCCACTGTTGCCCATAGACGTAACTGCTTCAACAAATTATATTTTTGCATGTAACTGACGATTCAAGAAAGGTGATTTATTAGTTGAATCGTTGCATGGTTAGAATTCAGACATATAGTTTTCTCTAAAATTTCAACTATTCAAAAACATATCGCTTCGGTGTTTTCATACAAATTTGAATTTTTATGCCATTTGTTGTTACTTTTGTTTTGCATCATCCCAAAAATCCTATTAGAATGCACACATTAAATATCTCCAATTGACAAATAGAGAAGTCTTTTTGTTTCAATACCTTCAAGAAGATATTATCCGTCATTTTTGTATATTTTAATGTTTCAGTTGTGCCTTTGATATTAATATGAGGGTTCATTATGAATAATCTCTCGCACTCATTTACAATTTAATTACCCTGTAGATCGTAAGTTTGTCTTGCCTTAACTCTGCATTTTTTCCAAGACAAAGTTCGCAAAAAGCGTGCCTGGTATGATCGCAAGAGAATCGTTTCTTTGTCACTTGTTCTCTTTCTCAGTGAGGCATGAATCCACGTATGTTATACTCGGGCGTTTTGATAGACTTTTTAAATTTATTCACATAACAGTTGAATTGTGATGCAATATATAAACCTGTATTAAATCCAATATATAAATCGTAAAATTACCATATAAAAAGGCAATTCGGGCAAGGGTAGGAGATGGGGGCGATGGGATCTTTAGGGATCGCTCAGGTTGTTCTATGTAAAAAAGAAGATCTCAGCATTTTCTCATGGCTGGAAAAGGTCTATTATAAGCCAAAAATGCTTAGGTCCCTTAGGCTTGTAAAGAAGTGACAAAGTGAAATCCTGTTTAAAAGCTAGGGAAGCCTGCTGTATCCAAGGATTTCTAGTTCTCAAAATGGTAAATTCGCTTCTTGGGTAGAAATCCTTTTCGCTGATATTGCAAAGCATGCCACACGGTAGTACGGACGAAAAGTGCTTGAAGCATGTTTCAATTTTTCCTGGTCACTCGTTTATTTTGACGAGTTTCCTTTGATAGCGAAATTGACTTTCATAACAGCCTTTAACAGATTCTTTAGATTCCTTAGAACTACAAAAAAGCTCTTTTGCTTTTGGTTCTTCTTTCATGTCCAGCCCAAGTTCTTTTCATGAATTGGCGAATGGGTCACGATCCGCGAGTAGACCCGCAACTGCCTCGCGAACGCATGACTCAATATTTCAAATTGGTTGCCATGGTTAATTGACTAGAAATTCGGGGGTTATAAACAACAGATAAGATTCTATTGTTGTATGAAAATTAACCAGCGATTCGGCCTAGAAAAACGTTTAAACTTAGATTAAGATAATTCTTAGGTCCAAAAAACTTTGTGAGTTTATTAGTTACCCTACAGAAGAACTTACCAATAATAATTACCTACTACAACAATAGTCGATCTCCCCCGTACTACCGAATACAGTCTTAGCGTGGGTAATTCAAATATTTACTTGTTTCCCTATGCTCAACTGACGCACCTGTACAATGGCGGCAAGTAAATTCTGCAACTGACCTGCAGAAACTTGAAACCAGCATAATAACTATGACTTCCAAGGGTAAGTTGTCCTTCATTTAAATGGAGGCTTAGTTTGTGATTTTGTTTCTACCATTTTGTTTCTATCTTTAAGTTAAATCAGGAAGTGTATCTAGCTAGCAAGTAAAGTTAGGCCAATGTTTGTTTCATATATATTCCGGCTACTACACTACAGGACCTGCTTTGTTGCTTAAGAATTGCAACAACACACCAGTGACTTTTGTTGCAAATGAAGCTGTTCTGTATTATAGCGATGTGATCCATATTCGCAAGTGGAGCTAAATTGTGCTTTAATTGAAAGATCAGCTAGCAATAAACAAGTCAGCTGTTTTCTGCTGAATGAAAATACGCCACTGTTTCTCCTGTTCAGTTTCCTTGCGTTCGCTTCAGTTCCACTTATATTCACATTCAAAATTCTCAAATGCAATTTGCGCAGTATGTACACGAGAAAAGAATGAAATATTAACATACATGTTAGAGAATTGCATTGGGGCTTCCTGCCAGGGCTCATTCCATTTAAGCCTACCGGAGGTACACCAAGGATAAATCTGATATTGGGAACATTGCCTGCCCTTGAATAAAAAAATGCTTTAAAATTAATTAGATTGTGCCAGGCGATTATATGGCATGAGCATTGCAAAACAGGAAATTGCTGAAAATTTAGACAACATATATGCAAGTTGAGGCTGAGCAATATCCTTGGAATATGTTCATTGCCCTGGCCTGAGCAAAAGACTCTACCATGCCCTACCTGATGGTGCTTTAGGCTATAAATGATCTTCAAATACCTTGCTGTTTTAGAAATGCTTGAATGTATAGCAGCTAATGGAAATGGTGCGATCAATAAAATGGAGACCTTATGATTTTTATGAAGACCTGATGTCATCTTTGTATTAGAATGTGTGTATCACTGCTTGAAAAAGCGTATGAGGTTTTTCGTAAAACCAAAAAGGTTTTATGAAATTTTAGAAGAAGTTTCTTGAAAACAAAATAATTTAACAAAAAGGATACAAAACAAGTTTTTTAGGCTGTGTTGCCATTACCCTGTTTCCGTATGAGAACAGATTTGAGTCAATCTGTTTTCAAATTTGAGTTTCATTAATACACTCAAAAATGGTGTCATTTGATACCAAACCCAAGTAATTAAAAAACGCTGTTCAAAGTGGAGTCATCCGAAAATGGAATCATTTGAATACGCATCGTTTTTTTGGAAACAGCGAAGACAGAGGCATTCAAAAACAGAATCATTCAATCTCAGTTTCAAAATGAGCTCAGGCTAAGGATATGATAACGAACAAATATGGAGTAATGGAAACACCCACGTTATCGTTTTGACCAAAACAGAGGGGCCCGGGGCCCAGGGAAATGAAGTAAAGAGTTAAAATGCCTCTAGGAATGCCATCAATATAACCCTCACAAAAGAAATTAAAAGAAACAAAAGAGAAAAAGAATAGTAATTCAAAACATGGAACTGCACGTGCGATAGAAAGCACGCCTTGGGAGTTCTAGGCATGTGTGAAGGCATGTGTGAAGGCATGTGCGCACGATCACACACCTAATATTACCAGGACTGCTAAAGTGTGCCAAGCGTGCAAGCTATTAGTTGAATCAGTTGTTGATTGAAGGCTTCCAAGTAGAAAAATTCAGGACAAAAGTACAAGAGATGGAAATTGTGATTGCTGTTAATGGTCTAAATATTAGAAAAAATTGAAAGTATCCTCAGTTATATTATAAAACAATATCAAGCAATAAAACAGACTACCATTTTGTTCATTGCTCAAATAAGATTAAGGACACAATTGCTGCAAATTTTCCCTTTTTGTTGTAAGCTAAAGTTTGTTTAAACTCCATCATGCTTTTTTTGTTGATAAAACCATCATCATTTAAAAGTAATTTTCTGTGAAAGTAGTTCTTTGAAAATTTACTGGTCTTTGCGTAATCAAACCTTACTTTATGTCTCTTATTTCAAGTTTGTGCTGGTAGTTTGTGCTGGTAGGCACAAAAATTTTTTAAGGGAGGTCTGATGATAAGAATAATAATTTCATTTGAATCTTGAATTTCTAGTAGGACTTCTATAGACTTCTATTGGATTTTTTTCATAATTGCAGACTGTGCTCAAACAGTGCCACTGACTTTGGCTGTCTTGGTTCTAATATGGACATCTTGTGCACATGCTGATGGTGTTATCAGCTTTGTAACACAACATGTTGCAATTCAGGAAAGGCAATATGAAGAAGCTGTATTTTATCTTGAAAGAAACTCTGGGAGTTCAAGTAGAGTTTTCTTTTTTTGTCAGGTAAGTGCAGCTTAACTATGATTAAGAATTAATGTTTTTAAAATAAGGCAAAGAAAACGTTGGCTTAGAAAAGGCACAAAAAGTTTTTAGGAATATATTCTGTCAGTATTTTTTCCAAATCAAGCTATACACCACACATCATGGTTTTTTATTTTGTCAATTTTTAAGCAAGATATTGACTCTAAATATAATTTTACTTGTGAATTGAAAGTTTTAACTCTTCTGTCACAGGTTTTAAATAGCACAGGAGCTACAGACCTTGTCAGTGCAAGTGCACCTGGACAGTTTGGTGCTGGGCTAACATCAAGTTCTTGTACATTCACTGTCAAAGAAGATAATATACCAGAACCGAACATTACTTACAGTGTAGGGATAACAATCCAAGATGGTGCTGCTACCATCGGAACACCAAACATAGCAAGACTAACTGTGCTTGCAAATGATGATCCATTTGGTGTTATAGGATTTGAAAATGTAAGTTAAAAACAAAATGCCTTTTCTTGTGTCTGCTGATGCTTGAACTTTCCTTGAACATTGAGTAACTTTGTTTTATATATGTTATAAAGCAATTATAAAAAAGTATTCATTAAAATTCTCATTCATTCCACTTTTATTTGTTTCAGCTTCTTTCTTAAATATTACTTGAATATCAGGGAATTTTTTCTTAGTCACCTAGGATCTCAGGCTTACATGCTAAGAACATAATTATTAGTAAAACAAAAAGTATGTATATTGTTTAGTAAAATATATAACAACTAGTTTTTTACTGATTGATATTACCTAAACTTGAAAAGTATATGTTTCACTTATATTTATATTTATATATTATATTATTATTATATTTGTACAATCAACTGACAACTTAATATAGATGTCCTGTTAGAGTTTATCAATTGTTACCTTAATAACTGTATCATAATTATTCAATAAAATGAGAGTTTAGGTTGCCTTTTCTTTGATGATTAATTGAGTATTTAATGTTGTTTGTTAATTTCAGTATAATCAACAAATTAGGGCACTGGAACCCTTAGAAGGTCAGCAATCTGTTGCTTCATTTAATGTTTTGAGGAGACAAGGGACTATTGGAACAAGTGTAATATTCTGGCAAGTGAGTATGCAAAAGATCTTTTGAGTGTTCATGGATTGAGTTAGGCAGGCAGAATGTACAAGAATGCCGGCAAAGTGACAAATCAACTAATTTGTGTTAAAAGTATACTTCCAGGCCAATGTTTTGATATGCATATTTAGCACAAGATCTTTGAACCTTACAAGAGTTAACAGAATTTTAAGAATGAATTACATGCATTGGCAAAGTTTCATATGGGTCAGGATTGGCAATATGAATTTTACCAATTATCATTTTGTAGGGGAATACCTCAATTCCATTTTTTGGTGGTCAGGATGATGTTGGAATTTATGAAAGTTGCTAAATTTTGGAAGGCAGGCAAAAACAGAGTCAAGTTCTGAACAGTTGCAGTCAGTTGTAGTCTAATTTTTTTTCATTTTCTAGGTTAGTAGTGGCCTGCTTGCAAGTGTTCCAGATCTGTCTCCAAATTCAGGTTTTCTCACCTTTGCTAATGGGGAAAGCACTAAGAAGTTAAATATTTCAATACAGCCTGATCAGGTATGATTTTTCCAGAAGTACTAATTGGAGCCCATATTACCCATCATTTTTGGATTTCTTCTGTATCCTCCCCTATAATTTGCTCTCAGAGTGTGTTATTTGACTCATTAGCAATAATTGGATAAAGCTGGTATGCTCTATGCACGAAGTGTTTTCTTTTGAATTTTTTTGTGTACCAAAGGCTCTTGTACCAAATCCTTGAAGTCTAATGCTCTGTTCCAAAGATTTTCCTCACGTAGGTCTTGTGATTTACGCTTTAGGTGTCAGATTTAGGTAGCTCTTTATTTCACAATTCATTCCAGAACTAAGATATTTTTGAATTGTTATTTTCAAGTGGTATCCTGTACTATAAAAACAATTATGTCGTTAAAAAAATGTAGATTGTTTTTAAAAAAAGGGATTGTTTCTCAATCATTATATTTCAATCGGTGCCATTTTTTTCATCATTGCACTTATGACAAAATTTCATTTTTCCAGATACCAGAAAACGATGAGCAGTACATAATCGATCTGATAAACGCAACAGGAGGGGCTATGATCAACTCTACATCCAGCAGAGCTTTTGTTCTCATTCCTAGAAATGACCCGCCAATTAGATTTCTGCAGGCGATGCAGTCAGTTTCTGAGTCACAGACATTGATAGTAACAGTACTGCGTGGACAAGGGGAGCCTGGCACTTCTGGTACTATTGGCGACATTTCCATTTCATCCAACGTCACCTATTCCACTATTGATGGCTCTGCAAAGTCAGGATTGGATTATCAAGAAACGACAGGGATCCTTAGCTTCGCATCTGGGGACACTTCAAAATCTTTTTCAATCAATATACTGAAAGATCCTCACCCTGAAATCGCAGAGAACTTTACAGTCACTCTGTCCAACCCTTCGTCTGGAAGTGTACTATCTCCACCCAACACTTTGACTGTTGTTATAAGAAAGAACGATGATCCTCATGGAGTGATTTCGTTCCAAACCCCAAATGCAGTTCTCGTACTGGACGAAGTTTCCACAAGTTCTGGAGCTATTTATGTCAACAGATCCCGTGGCACATTTGGGACTGTAACAGTCGAATGGCGCATTGCTTCCAGTGGTAGATCGAATTTTGTCACGCCAAGTCTAGTTCTAAATGCAACTCGCGGAGTTTTGACATTCAAACCAGGAGAAACTACCAGGGCTATCCCACTGTCTGCTAGGCAAAATTCCATCCCCCAAGAAGCGATGGAGTTTTATGTTGTATTAGGGAATGCAACGGGTGGTGCGAGACTCGACCCAACCGCGCCACAAACGCGAGTAATTGTTAGGGACAGCAACAGTGCCTATGGTGTTGTGTTCCTCGGAAAGGCTGCTGAATATAGAATAGAACTGGTGAGTCATATAACGGCCTTCTAATCCAACATAGACAATATAACTTTCTTCATTCATAATAGCAATTAGGATGTCAAGAAATGTAGGAATATTTTATGCACATAAAACTTTTCCGCTGTCCCTGCTATTCAATACTTTTTCCTATTTTCCTGTGTAAAAGGCTGCGTGAAAAACACCTCTGATTTTCAGCTCTGATCATTTATAATTTAGCCCAATACCGTAAATATTTGATTATTTAGTTGGCTTAGAGCCATAACTTCCTTTCTGTATCCCCCACAAGAGAGCAAAATCACATTTTGTGTTCCATGGGATTCCTCCCCTGACATTGGTTAAGCACAATATTCCTATTTTTTGGATATTGCCATATTCTCGTAGTCCACGAAGAAAACAATGGTCATTGCTTCTTTAAAAGGAATCGGATGCTCCATGTTTAGTTTCCCTGGATAAATTTTCTTGCAAATTTGACCCCGATTAATACCTTAAGCCTGGTTTTTTTCTTTCAGTCCAGCTCACCTCGCAGAATCTTGCTGCCAGTAAAGCGAAACGGAGGAGCACTTGGTGCAGTTACAGTGAATGTTACGGCAGCATATCTGTTACCAGGCTCAAGCGCACCTTCGTCTGATGTCCAGTTGAATTATCCAAGTTACGTCACACTAAGCACGGGAAGCTATAACACTACAGTCGACATTCAGATATCAGAGAACTCTTTTTTGAGAAAAGACGCAGTTTTCATGGTTACCTTGACATCAGTTCAGCTTCAAAGTAAGTGAAACTAAATTCTGACTTTTAAAGAAACGAAAGTAAAAAAATTTTTCCTCTGCCCAATATTTGATATATCCTTTTACTAGAGCAGACATTAGGGTTGCCACCAAGTCCATAGGGGAGTATCTGGAAAATAAACAAATTGAGTTGCTTTAATTAGAAAGGAGAACTGACTTTAAAGATTCACAAAGTTTTATATGTACATCTTGAAAGTTTATCTTTTTAATTATTGTACTACGTACTTTCTCCAGCAAAGTGAGTTTTTAGGGTTTCGGACACTGAGAAGATAATAAGCGATTAGTGTCCTTGCTCCTTCGGTTAGTGTACTGTATTCAAGACAGCCGGTAAAGCTTCTCCCTATGTTCAGCGTCAGTTCAGTTAGAGAAGGGTTTCAGGATTGATGTCTTAGCCCTGCACCGTGCGTCTTAGCAGTCCAGTTACTTAAGCCATGCTTTGTGTGTATAGTGACATATAAAGATAGACTTTCAAGTACAGATAACCTATCAATAAAATAAGCTGCCAATACTTTTTTCTGTGTATAGCTGCCAATACATTATTAAGAGGCAGTCAATGAAAAGTTTTTTGGGAATGTAGCTACTCTGAATATGTAGCGATTCTGAATATAAAAAAAGTTTCTTTTTCTGCCATAGAGCAAACGATTATCAGCTCAAAGACTCCGGTAATTGGCAGCCCTCATACAGCCTTTGTAAACATAACATCTGAGCTTGCAAATGGAGAAATCGCATTTTTCAATAACCCAGTCAGCATAAAAGTGAATGAGCCTCAGCGTGGTCAGGTATTCAATCTGTCTTTGTTGCTTATGCGCGATGGCGTTTCCGGGCCTGCCACTGTAAGCTGGAGAATAATTCCAACGACAAGTTCATTTGTGGTTGCTGATGCATCGCCTTGGTCCGGTGTCGTCTATTTCAGTACAGGTACTTCATTTTATTTTCTAATATTTGCGTAAGAAAACCCTTCAAGGTGAAGTCAAGGCACCTCTTATCTGAACTATATTTTAACATTGTGGAAAAATATTGCGAAGTAAGTTGTTTATAAAAAATGTTATTGAAAAGTCTCAAATGCAAGTGCCAGATGCATTCTGAGGAGAAACAAGTAAACAACGATAAGTCAATAACTCCATTAAATAAGAAAACTTAAAGGTTACAGTGTATGAGGTTATGTAGCTTGCACTTCTAAGAAGGTCTTTTTTACTAGACAAGCTTTTGTTGCAAGTAGGGTGAAAATTATGATTTGTTTTGTTGTATTCATCTCTACCAAGCACCTGAACATAAACTTTAGAACGCAAAGAAGCTTTGCTTATCGAGCAGTTTCCTGGTCCTTACTTTCTATCTAGCCATACCTCGTGATTCAAATGCTTCAAATAACAGATATCTTGCGAGCAATTACTGTAAAATCCTTAGAGACTTAACTTACTTTTCATAGGCGCTGATAGAACAAACCTCACAATAACTATTCTTCCTGATGATATTCCTGAGGTCGATGAAGTTTTCACTGTTGAGCTAACAAACGTAACAGAAAGAAACGAACAACTCAGAGTTGGTGGGGTAGGTTTCATTCTTTCAAGGCAGAAATCGCTCTTCTACATAAAACTATTCGTAAGTGTATAAGGACTTCTGGAGTGTGAAACGTTATGTTTTGACGTTTTAAGCTCTGGAGAGTATCAGACGAAGAGCTTTTGTATGTTTTATTGTGTGTTAACAGCATAATTTCTTGTGAAAGACTCTTGAAACATTGATAATTGTACATTATTTGGTGAGGTAAATCAACCAACAGAAGATTGCTTTTTATTTAAATTTAGATTTAAATATAGTCTCTAAACATAAGTTTCAAAAGAATGATTTATTGAATTGTGTGACTATTCAATAACATACTTCCTGTGAAATTTATCTTTGTCCTTTCCTAACAAGTACTTTGGTCTCTATGAGATCCTCACATGAAGATAGCCACATTGCTTCACTAAGCCTTTCACATGTAGTGTTTCTTCTTCAGAATCGTGCTACCATCACAATAAATCAAAATGACAGCCCTGGTGGAACGTTTGAGTTTAATCATACAGGTCGCATCATATTGCAGGTAAAATGCGTTATTTATTAATCCTCGAAATTTATACAAAAAGTACAAAAATGCCAGGTTCTAACGTCTTCTTCAAATGCCCAGCTATTGTTTCTTATCAGTCTTGATCAAGTTTGCATTCTCAAGATGGAGGCCACGTCAGGTTTAGATTCTGATCAAGTGAATCATTTGCATTAAAAATAAAACCTTTCTTTCTCATTCCGTGCATTGTTCGTTTTCAAGAACCAAATTAGACTACCCGCTATGATATTATGGCCAATCAAAAAGCTTCTTAAAGCTCTTTTTGACATTCATCTGTCAATGATTTTGTAACTCTACATTTGCAGGAAAATGACGCCAGAACAGTTGATGTTATTCGCCTTGGGGGTGCGTTAACAACTCAGCGAGTGCAAGTGACAATTGTCAATGGTTAGTTTGCGAAACAGTGTTTTATCATGTCTGTGCCTAAATGCTTATCTCCAGCGATTCAAGTATCATTGAAACGAGTACAACCAAATGTTACTTTACTTCGTAGAAGGGAGAGTTTTTGGGGGCAAATTGGGTTCTGAGTCAAATTGGCTTTACTTCTGATTTTGTCAGCTACTAGCTAGATGTCAGTCGACATGTAATGAAAGATCTTAATTAAATTCCTATTCTTTGTTTCTTTGTTCGCCTTAAATAGTGTTTCCTTCCCATTAAAGTCAGCTTAATCTTAAAATTTTTCAACATAGGACGGAATGACTTTGTTACCGACGAGAGTATTTTGAAATTTGATCCTAACCAAAGAAGCAAGACGTTCTTCATTTTCACAAGAGATGACAATATTCCTGAGGTATGTTTTTCAGTTATTTCCATTATTTGAACGATGCTTTTTTAAGTTTGCCAAGATACTTTGCTTTCAAATCTCTCCGCTACAAGATCACAAATTCAAATTGTCAACAGTGAAATTCACTTCTAATGGTTTTGGTATCTCAACAGGAAAATGAAAATTTCACAATGATTTTAACGGCAATCGGTGATTCTACCTTGGGAACTCGTACAAGACTAGAAATCATTATCCTGCAGAATGATGACGCGAATGGTGTATTTTCATTCACAAATGTTACTTCAAATCTGTTCAAATACGCAGGTTCGTTTTCACATTGCACTATGACTACCCACTGAACTTTTTCTACTTTAAAAAGTATGAGCAAGCAACAACTATATTAATATCAGTTTGCCACTTGCTACATGTTTTTAATCAAATGCATATCTGAATATCTCCTGAAAAAGGAGCTAGGTGAATATTTTTTGGGATATCATATCAACAACTGTACCTTATGCACTTTCTATAAGTTCAGTCAATGGTGCTCGAACATCCTTGTTAGTTGTTAGTTGTTCCTATACATTACAACTTTCTATGGAGCATCTTATATTTGCCTTAAAATTGGTATAGATCCTCTGTAGTAGGTAAATCAGTAGAGAATCGTGTTCATTCTTTATTGGTTGTAACATATGCTCGCTGACATTTTAGATGAGATAAAAGGCTCTCCACATACCGTATCGTTCGATATCACAAGGAGCAGAGGGACATTCTCTACTGTTCGCGTATACTGGAATGTAACGTCGCTATCAGGCTCCCACGCCGCGTCCGACCTACAGCAGTTGAATGGGGTAGTCGAATTTGCTCAAGGAGAGGCTAGCCGCCCATTGAAAATCAGAATCAAACCTGATCTGGTATGACTTTTTAAAAGCTATCTGTTTTTCTCTTATAACGATATCTAATTTTGCCCTTTCTTATCTTTAACTTACTATTCAGCTATGTCTTAAAAACCTAGCCCCTATTTCAAGTGAAATCCTTAACATTAAAAAAGGAACAAAAGAAAGTAATCGTGGGATTTAAAAGGTAGTTTTGTGACGGATTTTTTCTACAATAATCGTACGTAAGAAAACAGTAGGTTTCCAACTCAATTTTGAGTGTAATATTTTTAGAGAAAGTTTTTTTCATTCTCAAATATCCCGTGAACTGCCAAAAGCTCTTTCCTATTTACTTCCTAAATTCAAAAGTGTTATTATAGAATAAGCTGCATGTTAATCAGTGCACCAAGTACCAAACTTAAGAATCAAATGTTTGCAAGAAGATTTCACGTTTAGAATCTTGTGTATCGTTTCGCCTTTATGCTTATTTATTGTTTTGATAGTGATCTATTGCCTTTAAAACCCCTGCAAGTGAATATGACGGCATTTCCGTTGACTTTTTAGATTCCTGAAGGCGAAGAAAGATTTCAGATTCATTTAGTGAACATCACTGGCGGTGGTCGGTTGGCGGAACCCCTGAATGCGACATTGATTATCAATCCTAATGATGCTCCTGTCTACTTCCTTCAACCAACACACGTGACCGTGAACGAAGGTCAGGCTGCGAATCTCACCATCATGTTAAGTAGAGTCTTGACGCAAACTATAACAGTTTATGTCTCAACTATTGACGCAACAGCCTTAGCATCAACAGGAGACTACGTAGCAGCCCTCAACTTACCTGTAACTTTCTTACCCGGTGAGCAGAGGAAGAATGTAAGCATCCAAACCATTGATGACAACACCCCTGAAATTGTTGAGGTTTTTGGCGTTCGTCTGAATGGATCTACTGGAGACACGGTGTTGATACCACCCACTGAAGCAACAGTGACTATAGCAGCTAATGATGATCCGTATGGAATATTTGACTTCTCACAAGCATCTTTGAATAGAATTGCATCTGAAGGGGATACCATCCATTTTGAGTATGTATATTTAACTTATTTATGGTTACATGCTTAGTTGCCATTCCATTTGGTGCTGCGTAATATCTGATTGCCAAGGTAGATTTTTCAATATATTTTTCAGGGAGAAGTATGATTACCCTCTTTTTGTGTATATCATAATAGAAGCTCTCTTGTCTTCAAAGCATATGGAAGTCTATATTAGTTTTAAGAAATATTATTCTTATAATGTGGCTTTTTAAGCTGTTAATCTCCCCTTACTTTGGTGTGGTTTAAAATGCATCACACTGTATCACCAGACAGCTGCTTTTCTTTTCCTATCTTATAGCTGTACATCTACCTGTAATGATCGAATATCTTCCGTGTTTTTTACTAGAGATAATTCGTCAATCATCAACTTAACAGATAAAATTGAATACATTTCTATTATGTAATAAATATCATAACCCTTTTGCAGGATCTTACGGTCAAGGGGGAGTTTTGGCAATGTATCAGTTGGATGGGAAATCCTGTATAGCAACAGAAGGGCAGTAGCAGACAATAGTGAGTTCGTCAAGGCAACAGGAAATGTCAATTTTAGCGAGGGGCTTCGAAGTACTTTCTTATCGGTTGTTGTCAGGAGTGATGGTGTCCCTGAGCTGAATGAAACGTTTTATATACGTCTTACTAATGTCACAGGTAACGAAAGAAAATGTTTTTTTATCCTGAAGATTTTAAATGCGATGATTGTTAACATGACAAATGATTCTTGAATCCTATTTTAGAGTTTGTTTTTAACATTCAGTTAATGCTGTAAAATGTTATCCATTTTGCGCTTTAAATTACGGGTACCATAAGATTTATGTTTTTTAGATTTCAAGAGTGAAACAAATTTATGATTAATTCAGTTTTGCTAAGCTATTTTTCAGAGCAAATCTGGCAACTTACGCTTCAACTCAAATCTGTTACATAAAGCTGTTTTCTTGTTGGCTCACAGGGAACAATTTATGAAAATTTTAATGAGACCCAAGCTATAACAAGCTATAACAGGCATTTCCAAACTGCTTAATAATCATGACCTAAAATTATCCTTCTTAATTATATAATAAAGCGTAATTTTGTCCTTCTATACGTCAAAACATTGTCTTTAAACTTCTATCCTAGCAAAAAGGTAGTTTTGAAACAACAAAACAACTATCCGTCATTTTAATTACAAGAGATTAGATAGATACATTGATAAAACTATGTAGTGTTTTTATTGAAATTTATGTTGCTTTTGCTGTCCATCTAAGTGTTGTTAAATTGGATTTTAGGAAATTTTTCACAAGGAGGCTATCTAGGCAATCATACCGAGGCTACAATAACTGTGCTGCCTAATGATGATCCATATGGTGTGATTGGATTTGCCTCTTCTTCCATGCAAGTGAGCGTTGCAGAGGATTACCTTCCAGGATTAGTAAATGCAACACACGTGAATCTCACTGTTCAAAGGGAAAAGGGAACTGTAGGAACGATTAAGGTGCGATTTCACTATCTAAAACAACTCTCGTTCTTGTTCCATACTTAACTCAAATTATGCATAATCTGAAAGATGTTTTCTCGTATGTTTGTTTCCGTTTATTCTCTACCTTTGTCAATAATTTTATGGTCCACGATATCAAGAAGGTTTTCGTTGCTTTTCAGGTTGTATGGCAATTGTTTGAAGCTTCAAACGTCCCAAGTCAGATGTGGGACTTCATTTTTTATGGCCAAAGGGGCAACGCTGTGACTGAAAGTGTCGGGCGGATATACAGTGGAACGCCTGCTTTGAAGTTCAACACTAGCAATGGTATTGGTTTATTCATTATATAACAACCATGTCTGTTTTGGTATCAGATGGCAGACGTTAGCCTTTCATTATTGAAGTATCTCTTGAGTAATGACTTGTGTCAGGTCTTCGTTGAAGATATCTAGCCATTAGCGCAGTAAGTCGGGGGTAACGGAGGTTGATGGCCTCCAACAATGGTCAGAAAGTGAGTGTCTGAGAAAGGCTAAAATCAGCAACAAGTTTATGTAAAACCACAGGCATAACTAATTCCAAAAAGTTTTAAAAAGGGATCAAATGCCAGCATTATGAAGAGTGTGGTCATAAAAATCTTCTAAAGATAGTCTCCTAGCCTTCACCTGCTAGGCTCCCTCCACTCGTGTTTAACCTTCCCCTATCCCACACTCTGCCCTTCCCCTAACTTCCCCTTCCCCTATACGCTACTGTATTCAACCTCTTGCAAAGAGGAAGTCCATAAAACAATTTTTTGTTTATGCTGTGTTTCTATATGTCCTTACTTTGAAGTACTCTTCGATTCCTATTATATCATTTCAGCTTCATATGTTTATGTTGCCTCACAAAACCAACCAACTCCAGTACAAATCCAAAGTGGTTTTAGCATCAGCATGTGGGTTAAAGCAACTCTGCAAGGTGTTCTCATATCTAAACGAGGTTCTATTACCAATGATGTCATCTTTAAGGTTTCAGTCAGGCTCGATGGTGCCAGGTCACAAATTGTGTTGCAAGCAAAAACTGCCCTATACAACGTAAGTTCTGAATTTGAGTTTGCAATATACTTGAATCTACTGCTTTTGGTATGACCCTTTTTGTATTCCCTTATGCATTCAGCGGAATACAATACTTTTTGAATTTTGCAGCCAACTTTAATTTAGCTTTAAAATCTTATTTAAACGCAAAATTAATCGCTGTAACTGGGAGCTGATTTTTGCTGTAAAAATAGTCTTTATGAATAACTCTAATTGTTTTGGTATTTTCGAGCCGACTATTTGAAAAATTGATATTTCCGAGCCGACTATGGTGATGCAGGTTCATTGCATAGAACTTCGAACATCGAACATCGAACGCGTTTTCAGATTTTCACTCTTCAGTTGGCGTGTCTTCGCTATCGGTTCATAGGATACTTTCTCTCTTAAATTCGTCAGTTACATACATGTTTCTTTCCTTTTTGTCGCCGGTCCAAAGTATTGTCCATTTTCTGTCTACAGGTGTCAACACCAGTAAAACTCTTAGACGGGGCATGGCACTCTTTGATACTCACCATCAGCACAAGCACACTTCTTGTCTACGTCGATGGAACTCAAGTTGATGGGCCGAAGTATGCTTTTTTCTCAAATTACACTGTGAATTATGCCCTTTTTCTAATATTGAGCTATTTTGATATTTGTTACAGAACAGAAGCTCGGTTTTCCGTGGCGTTTCATTAAAAAACATTTTTCAAATCCATATAAATGTATATACATTTTAATAATTGTTGGGTGACTGGCCCAAGTTGAAAACCAGTAACGTTAGGCTACTAGAGCCAAAACTTTTTTGGAGGCAACTTTCTTGAAGACTTTGATAAAAAGCAACAGAATATCATGGCTATAATAATTTTAGACGGGACACTTCGAAAAAATATTTCAGTTTTCAAGTTGCTGTAGCTGTCTGTGATCCGACAAAAACCTTTAGTTAGTTTGATTTTTCGTTATTTTTAGGACCTTAACAAGTGCGATAGATACTGCATCTGGTCTCATACATCTTGGCTGCAATCTGCCATCCTCAGAGCATTTCACTGGTGAACTTCAGGACGTTAGGATGTACTCAAGTGTTTTGATCCCTGCGTAAGTATCCCTCTTTCACCAGTTAGTTCCCGTAGTTCGATCAAAATAAAGAAAACAGCAACTGTGTATCTTTGGAAACTTGATGTGGTTTCTGAAGCTGGAACAGCAGTTGAAGAATGGGAATACAAGAAATATCGGTTTTTTATACTTGAGATAGTGTTTGAATAGAATACAGGAAATTTCCGTCTGAAGAGATAAAAAAGCAATAATATGTAGAGTATTAGCATTACAAAGTTTAAAGATGTTTAAGATGACTTTTTAGGGTGATAGAGCGAGATAAATAGCGCCTTTTATTCTTTTTCAGTTTCGTGGCTGAAATCTCATCAAGTCGCAGGGTTATCTCACCGATAAGTGGCTATTTGGATTATGGTCCAGGAGTTTCAATCCAACATATCTTTCTCAGCACAATCGATAACTTAATCCCGGAACCAGAAACTTCATACTCTGTCAAAATAATCGGCATTACTGGAGATGGAAGATTGGGGTCATCCTCAAGCTCTAGAGTAACCAGTAAGTTTGTTCAGTGGCGCTTGGAAATATTTCCTTCATAAGCAAACTGAATCATTTTTGTGCAACATAACAAAAAACTTCTCGATGACTTTGATTTTATGTTACTTGTTTCAATGCAATTTGCTTGTTCAATGTGACCGAATATTTTAGCAATCTCATCTAAAACTTAATAGCAAGCAGTACTGCTACAGGGACTTATAACGCCTTTTGTCAATTAAGTTAATCATTTGTAAGTTAAAGTGAAGCTCGTGATCCAGCATTCGCTTTTCATTTGCATATTCGTGACAACTTTCATTCTTTGAGCAATAATGTCCCAACCTGTTTTTTGCTTGTTCACTGCATGTTCAATATTTACACTATTTCATTTTTATAGAAATTTTCAAATGCCAAATGTTTCACTTGATAATTTTTTTGTCAGATGAGATAATTATGCAACAGCTTAATTGCCTTACTGTCTTTTTAGTTTTGAAGAGTGACAACGCCAATGGTGTATTCGGGTTTCTGTCTTCGAGCTGTCAATCAAGTAGTTTTGAAAACAAAACGAACATTTCTTTCACCGTCACTAGAACTGTAGGATCGTTTGGTAATGTGCGATTAAACTGGGAGATACGTCACTCAGATGGCGGAAAGCTCCTTGCAACAGACGATTTTCATGCTGCAACTGGCAGTATCACATTTTCTCAAGGGGAAACTTCTAAGGTATTTGTTGTTATATATGAACAGATAAAATACTTTACCTAACAGTACCCTGTGCAGGATTCAACGTAGTTCATGCCAGAAATTTAAAGGATTGAGTATCAGATGTATTATAGCTTACAATTGCAGACGTTGTAGAAATCTTTTCAGTAGAACATTGTCACACAGGGTTTAAGAAAAGAAATTAAGAATTACTTTATTCCTTTGTAATGGATCAAAGCAATTTGTTATTAATTGCTTTTCTGATTAATTGCAGCTGATTGTTGTCAGACCCGTGGATGACAGCGTACCGGAGGTGAACGAGTCTTTTGACCTCAACCTCGTTTCTGCGGTTTCAACCGATGGCACAGTGTCGTCAACGCCCACCAGCGGGGCCAGCATTAAGAGTGATGCAAGCAAGTGCAATGTGACCATACTTGCTAATGACAACCCTAATGGCGTGTTTCAAATCATGACCAGTCGGCCCAACGGAACAGGTTTCATTTCGCCACTTTCTGTGCCACAGAGTATTTATGTCCCAGAAGAGATTGGTAGGGTCAACCTGTATGTTGTCAGGGCACAGGGTGTTCAAGGTAGCTATCGTATCATATCAATTATTCTTCCAAATTTGTCGTGGATTCAACCAGTTGCTGCTCGGCTACAGCACTCATATTAGTGTCATTTGAAAAGCTCAAGCATAGCAATTTGTTTTACTTAGATACATAATTCCAGCAATGAACTGCGCTTTCTTTTTTATGTTTTGTGGTAGTGTAAGTTGCTCGCATGTTGTTGAATGAGCCATCAACAAAGTAGCATCAAATTCAAATCCTGATGTACATTTTACAGCGATGTCTATGTGAACAAAGAACGTATATCAAATTTTTGACGCCATTTAGGAAAGCCATAATTTTATTATAGAATCAATCCCAAAGTATGCTTGCTCTAACTGCAACGAAGCTAAATGATTTTTAATATGTTCACAACACAAGCTATTTTGCTAATAGTTGTTATTTTGTAATTCAATTTTTTTACAGGAAGAGTCGGTTGTGAGTGGAAGACGAACCAAATTTCCGCTCGTGGAAATGTTGATTTTAGAGATGGAGTAGGCAGCATAGTATTGCAGCCAGGGGAGAACATGACAACCATATCAATTGAGATAATTGACAACAAAACCCCAGAACTTGAAAAAATGTTCAATGTACAACTGTATAACCCAACAGGAAAAGGTAAATCAATTTGTGTTTATTCATGTTCGCATTTTAATTAAAGCCTTAATCCAATAACATTTTATTTTCAAACTTAATCAAATCAAACTAAGCTTTTAAACGTACTTCATCTATATGAAAACCCAACCAAAAATAGTTTTGACGCTTGAAAGGTGGGAAAGAGTGTAACTCTAAGCTTAGAGGTCCTATCTTATATTTATTATCAATGTGTTTTTGTATTTAGGCATTTTTCGGAATCTGAGCCCCAATTTTTCAGAACACCCAAACAGAGCTGCTTCTGTATTTAATATTTATATATCAAATAGAGTTAGTTGTCCAACTTAGGTTGTACTCACATTTCTCCAAGTTGTTCCTTTTCACCTTGTAAGCATTTTTGAATCAACATTTTTCAAAATATAATTTTGCCTCATTTTGTTTCAGCCATACTTGGTGCAGCCGCATATGTAAACATCACTATTATGCCCAGCGATAATGCCTATGGTATATTCAGTTTTGCCAGCGAATCATTAGGGATTCATGTCTCAGAATCACCTGGTGCCATGGCAATGCTTACAATTGCTAGGCAGGCAGGCCAGCTTGGGTTTGTCAATGTCACATGGAGGCTTGTCAATGGCAGCTCCGACTTTGGTCTCCAGTCTGGATCAGTATCATTTGTTAATGGTCAATCTGTTGGACAACTTATGATTCCAGTTCTTGATGATGGTGTAAGTTGTTTTTTGTCAGTATCAGTTTTGTCATAGAAGTAATGGTATTAAACACACAGAAACCTGTTTTAGATTCTATCAATTTAGCATTAACTAGTAAAATAAGTCTCTCTCTTTCGAATCAAAATTATATTCATAGATATATTCATGTATCTTGGATTTTCACTCCGTACTCAATGGTAGCCGACAGTGCTTTGAAGTATGTCGTTGTGTGATTTTTTAAGCAATTATTTGGGGATGATTTAGCAATTAAATTTTTTAGGGCGTAGAAATCTTTCTGGTTCTTTAATTTTTTACACTTTTTTTATACTTTAAAGCTGTTTTTTATAATATCTAACGATGCTATTCAAAGGAGAGTATTTGCTTCAGGTAGTGCGAAAAAAACAGCGCAAAAATTAGATGTAGATTTGAGATATTCTTCAATAAGTGAGATTTTATAATATTACATGAAAATCACACTCCAATTTACAGATTGCAGAATTAACAGAAAGATTCACAGTGCAGCTCACTTCAGTTACCAAGGGGAATCTAGCATCACAAAATACAACAGCCACGATCACTATTTCTCCGAATGACGACCCATTTGGCGTCTTCCAAATCTCCTCAACGCCCGTTCGAGTACCAGAACAAAACGGTACTGTTAGCCTAGTAATTTCAAGAGGAGGTGGAGCTCTCGGGGTTGTTAGAGTGTCCTACCAAACGTATATCCCAGCTGCGTCATCACCTGGAGTGACGTATGCTACCCCCAATGTCGACTTCATTCCTGTTGCAAGCTATGTGGATTTTGGAAGGAACCAGAGGTCAGCGTTGATAAACGTGACAATAAAAGCAGATTCCAGCCCTGAATCGGATGAATACATCATGCTGAATCTCACAAGTGCGACCTTAGTCACTGGGGCAGAAGTCGTTGGTAAGATTTAACTGATCTACTATGCCGTTTCTCTGTTCAAAAGATCCCACCTTCTCTTCTATCTCTTCTAATTTGTCTTCAAACAATCCTAGCACGCCATCTGCAATTTGCTCGCTACTTTTTAAACGTTAGATATTTCATGTTTGATTTAAACTTATCTTTTTTAAGCAAATTCTCCAAGACTTGGAGCAAGTACAACTGGTACCATAATAATCAGCGAAAATGACGACGCAAATGGGATCTTGCAGCTTTCTGCCGCCGCTGTTACGTTAAGAGAAAGCTTTAGTGGATACTTCTTGAACGTTACTCGAAGCGCAGGAACGTTTGGCCAAGTAGGTCTCCAGCTTCAGTATGATTAAACCAATCTTCCTTTGTCTATTATTTTTCTGTACCTATGTCTAGAGCTTGATGAAAGTGTATGACATTGCGTTTTTTCTCTCTTTTCCTTAAAATTCAGTGTTTATTTCTATTCAATGGCTCTGCAACCATGGGCGGAGCAGATGCTAAACGTTTAAGGGGCTTTGTATAGATCTTGCCCTAAATTTATTACTTCATTCAGATAGACCTTCCCGAATGGAGCCTGAAATGCGATAGGTTTTGCCTGATTGGAAGGGTTGCAGCCCTTTAAGCCCCTATGTTTTTTATGCCCATATTTGCAACTGAACGTAGATGTGCTTCACGTCTCGTGCAGTCCATAGTTTTTGCATTACCGCGGTATATTCGCCCCTTTTAATTTCATATTCATCACTTATTACAGGTATCAGTGCGATTTACTGTATCAAGCAGCAGTGCAGTTCTTGGATCCGACTACCAGATTTCATCCTACGTTGTCACGTTGAGAGACAGAGAAAGCACTGCTGTATTACCCATGCTCATTTTGAATGACGACATCCCAGAATTCAACGAGTCATTTGTCGTTAGGCTTGAAGAAAGCAGCCTAACTGGAGGAGCAAAGCTAGGCAATCCAAAACAATGTGACGTCACCATTCTTGAGAACGATTATCCTTATGGACGTATCGGTATGCACGATATTCTCCTTGCCTGATTCGCATTTGCAGTTTATGATAAGACTAAGATTTCTACCTGACGTTTTGATTTACAAAGTACTTTAATTTGGGGTCTAGAAAAGTGAATTTTAAAGAATAAAGTATCAAGTCATATTTTGTTGTATTATTAATAGCGTTATGTAGTTTGATTTTTTTACATAAGCAAAACAACTCACGGTAATATTTGCCCAATGTTTTTGGCTCAATTTCTAAATTTGGGCATTTTATGCTCGTAAAGCTTTATTCAGAATCTTTAACTGAACGCCAAAATTGTTAACTGATTCAATTCTTAAATGCCTAAATCGCTGATTAAGTCTGTCTTTCACCAGGATTTGCCAGTGGATCATTGAATGTCACTATCTCTGAGCCAAGCTCGGGGCAGGCTACGGTGAGACTCACGGTTCAACGGTTTGGGGGCACATCTGGGACAGCGCAGGTCGTGTGGAATGCAACGCTTGGTGGCTTGTTGGCGTCTAGTGATGTCGCTCCAGCAACCGGAACAGTAAGCTTTCTCAGTGGAGAGAATAATAAAGAAATACAGCTATCCGTTCAAGCTGATAACATCCCAGAAGATAACGAGGTATAATTAAGCTTTTTTGTTGTTTAGAAAGCCTGATTGTTTCTTGTTAGGGCCCACAGATAGATACTTCTGATCTGTGTATTTTTAAAGGCTCTTTTCCTAGTTTTGTAAGTAATCTAACTAAGTAAGACGTAAAGCTGCACAGAGATCCGTGAGTGAAACTAGCTCCATTTGCGATTGTTCTGCCTCATTTGTGGCACAAATACGGCCAGAGTATATATACAACCTCGTTTCCAGATCATCATTTTAACTAGGGCCCTTTGCGCAAATAATTATTAGTGTTTTTTGCTGCAATGTTTCATGAATTTAGTTTTTGCAGATGCTTTTCACACTGGTGTGAATTGTATAGCCTCACTTGGAGGGCAAATTACGATGGAGTACCGTATTACGATATAAGAACGCATAGAAGTCTCCGTGGAAGCTAGCATTGTTATTATAAATTTCTAATGTGCCAGCGAATCAACAAAATTTCCTATCAATATTTTTCAAAGAATTTTAGCTTTTGTGCGTACCATTTTGAACATGAAGTTATTTTGAAACGTTGTCTTTTAGGCGATTCAAGTGACTTTGATTTCAGTTACAAACGGAAATGCAGCGATAGACGATTCTCTGCGAACAGCTGTTGTTAATATTCCTGCTAACGACGATCCATATGGTATTGTGCAGTTCAACCAGTCATCAATGGTCGTAACAGAAATGGAAACTGACTATTTCGTCAATATATCAGTTGTTAGACATCGAGGACTTTTTGGTACCATTCGTTTGTACTACAGGTTTGTTGACTTTCTATTTGTCGTCAAATATGATGAAAGCATGCCGTCATTAGCTTGCCTTCTTTTTGAAAGCATATCATTCTGATACCTTCGTTTTGAATATCAGAGTTTGAGTGAAGAAAGCAAGACATGTTATAGTTTTTTTGGTGTTCCTGGATTAGTTTCGGTTTAAGCCATTAGTACGATTGGAACCCTATGGTACGATTGTTAGACTTTTTCTGTAAGTCAGGGCTTTACAGATGCATATGATTTTCTTAGTCTTTGATAGTAATTAGTAACAGTAAACTTAATCAAGAACCTCAATATTTGGCAACCTGCAGCAGATTGTCTTTCCCTGATAGTGCAACTTGCGTTTAAGAGCCTATTTTAGAGACCAGCTAGCCTCACCAATAGTAATATCATCAAAATAAACCTTTGGTACATGATTCTAACGTATAAATTTTTTACCCTGCATTTACCCTGTGCATTTTAAACGCAAAGAGCAGCCTGACTGACTGACTTATCGTAGTTTAATTAAGTTGATTCTATAAAAGTGTATATTGTAGCTTTGTCGCCGTCGTCTGATTTTCTCGTTGAATGAATAGCTAGTCAGTTACAGTTTAGTTTATTCAGTAGATCTTTACAGAGGATGTAGTTGGTGAATTCCGGTCAGCTCGTATTTTAGATTATCTAATCGCATAAATGTGAAGCTTCGTTCGAGTCGCAGTGGATTTAATGCCAGTTATGGTTCGCTTGTTGTGGCTGTTGGTAAGTTATCGAATGTATTTGTTGGATCACCTGTCTCGAATCATTCTCCTTTATCTATAAGCAGTCTTAGAACTTCAAGATGCAGATTTAGTAAGTCATTAGTTCAAGACAAACTCTTATTCAATAATGTTGTTTATCTGTTTGATGCTTCTTACAAAATATTTTAGTAAATATACTGTGTCTAATATTTTCTTAATTTCGTAATTGGCATTATTTTTTGTGAATAGTTAAGGGAAATAGTTTAAGTAATTAGAATGTTTTAGTCTTGCTTTTATTCTGTGTCAACTACATCCACGATATAGACAAGTACTGGACGTCTAAGATTTTATAGCAAATTTTGATCCTGCGTGATTTAAAACTATATTCCCGACTTTACTTCTCTTTTTCTTAATAGAACCCGCACAGCTACATCAGCGCTCAACCAAGCAATAAATGATGGCGATTTTGAAACAGTTGTAGGCCAGTCAGTTACCATGCCACCCAATATTGCCTCAGGGCATGTACAAGTAAAAATACTGAAAGACAATGTTGCTGAAGTCGATGAGCAATTCCTTGTTGAAATATACAGGGCAGAGGTGGTAGGACTGCCGTCTGGCTCAAGCCCTAATGTTCGTATTGGTGCTCCAAGCGTCATCAACGTGACGATTGCTGCGAACGATCAACCTTATGGCCTTTTTGGTATTTATTTTAAAGACACTGGCACTATTGGTACAACGTATTATCTTATTGAACCAGAAACTGGCCAGAGCAGCGTAACATTCGAAATTAGAAGAACTCAGGGTGGGTTTTTTTGTATTTATCAAATCTACTTGCATTAAATTTTGGTCCTAACTTTTTTATCTAAATTGTTTACCTTATTGCAAAAAATTTCAATAAAATTAAATCGAAAGCTAGATAAAGAAGAAAATATTCGCCATTACACTATCCGTACCTAGAGGAATTGACTATCAGAAGATCATTCTGAACCTAGTACATGAAAATATAGCATGACTTGTTGCTACCACGATATTACCAATAAGGTTCCCAGAGCAAAAGGAGATTGTCCAGAGGCAGGATAACCAACTTTTTAGACACTTAGTTAGGGCTCAGACAATTGTTCGTTCCAGCTGGCTCCAAGCTTATAATCTTTGTACCGTAATAAAGGCTCCGCCTAATCGGTAGATTTTTTAGACTTTCGGTTATTGATAAAAAAGGCCGAAAGCCACATCAACTTCTAGTTTCAAATAAATCTTTATTTGTCTCAGGTCTTCTTGGCACAGTTGCAGTGTCATGGCGTAGTGCTAGTGGCTCTTCTGTCAATATGTCAACTGATGTTGCTGGCGCATCAGGTGGTCGGTTCACGTTTTCCCCTGGCGAATCAAGCAAAGAAATCACAATAGCCGTGAACAGTGACAATATCCCAGAATCAGATGAAAGTCTGATTGTTGAGTTGTACAGCGCTGAAGGTATTGCTGCTATGATTTGCAAAACCAATCTTGGAATTTAACTTAATGAAGTCGAAGAAAAAGGGGCAGCATTTAAACTAAGGCTACTTGAAAGCCACTTAATACTAAATTTGGAATAAATTATTTGGTATTTCTCAAGCATGACTTATTTAATGAAGATCAATAAGAATGCAGGTGAAATAAGATTCGTTTGGTATAAAGATTCGAAAAAGAAATTAAGACCTATAAGCTTATCTTTTCCATTCTAATTCTTATTCTTTATAATTTGTCTTATTTGTCTTTATACATATTTATAAAACTTTATAAAACAAGTATTCTTCTACCACTAGATCTTCAGAAATTCAGTTTATGATTTTGTTTTGAAATCATCTAGAAATCTTTTATTCTTCTTGAAAGTGAATTTGAAATGGAGGTTTTCATGTTACCTTTATAAAGGTGGTGCAGTTATCAATTCATCGAGGCAACGAGCTACGCTTATCATCATGGCAAACGATGGGGTTGGTGGCAGGATTGGCTTTAGCCAGGGGTCGAGATCAAAAACTGTAAACGAAGGACAAACAGTCTCCCTTACTGTTTATAGAACAGCTCCAGCAGCTGGTAACGTCACTCTTAACTGGACTATTGCAGGAATTAATGCCTCAAAAGATTTCAGGGAGTCAAATGGAAAGATTTTCCTCAAAGAGGTATAAATTTTTTGCCGGAGTCAATTTGGAGGTTTACTAATCTCAGTCTTTTTGCGACGAATAAAACTTTCAGTTAATAATTCCCTAGTTGAAATTTTTTGTCACAAGAACTTATCATGTAAAGTACGAATGCTTGTTATGAACAGTCAGCCTGTGAAACCACTTTGGTATCCGGCTTCTAAAATTAAGTATAAAGAAGACTTAAGTTCTTTGAATCATGGCTGAAAATGGAAAGCAGTATTTGTTTTCGTTGGTAATATTTCGTTTCTCAACACTTGTCTACCACTAGAACTTAGTTGGTAAATCTGATTGGTCGAAATGAGCCAAAATGAATACGAAGTTAGCTTTGCGTGTGTTTCCGTTTTCTGTGGCGTGGACTGCTTTTCCAAAGCGTTAGTTCTGCTTGTCTGTTTTTAATAAAATTTACCTTAAAATATTTAATTCATTAATTTCTGGTCACTGACTTATAAAGAAGAAGTATCATGATCGATAAAAGTTTTGTGTATTGACTTTAGGAACTCACAAGTACCACTCTCATGATCACAACCGTGAACGACTCAACTCCTGAAAACCACGAAACGTTCACAGTCCAGTTAGCAGATCCTATAACATCGGGTATATCACATACTGGTGCAGCGGTTCTTGTTCCTGGTGACTCTACAGCTATCATAGTAATTGGCGCCAGTGATGAACCTCATGGTGTAGTGGAATTCGCTACTCGTGCCCAGCCGATAAGAGTGACTGAGGATATTGGCACTGTCGAGCTACGGGTTGTCCGTATCATGGGAAATATAGGTTAGATATTACATATCAACATAACAAAGATTTTCTTTTGATTCTTTTTTAAATTCACAACAGGTTTTAATTAGGTGTTATATATTCATATCAAAATAGAAAACTTAGATCTAGATTTAGGTGCTAGGTGCCTACCCTTGCCTTACCAGTGCAGCTTAAACTAGCATCACTGTCTCCCCCTAGGTGATATTGCAGTGCATTACCTGCTACGTGGGGCACAGATCAGCCAAACAATCACTGCTGGTACCTACGGCCAAGACTTTAATAGCACTGCCACCAACCTGCTGATTATACCTGATGGAAGAGACTCAGCAACTATACGTGTGAATATAATCAATGACGATATTGCAGAACAAGATGAAGCATTTTATGTTAACATCACTGATGTAAAATTGGTAGGCGGGAAAAATGTTACCACTCCTCCGAAAATCGGGAGTTTGAATTATATGCAGATTCAAATCGAAGCTAATGATGGCACTCAAGGCGAACTTGCATTTGCTTCCCAGTTTGAAAGGTATGTCTTTAAATGAGGTCTTAAACATGCTAGCCAACTAGAATGCAACAACAGCACGCCGAGTGAGTGCTACTCAAGTGTTATGCCATTTTATGCCCGTGCTCAGTTGCCGCAGTTTGTAATGTTTATAAATTAAACTCTAAATGGCCTCTGATTTGCGACTTACTTTCTTCGTTCTCTCTTCCTACATGCGAAATTTTGCTACACAAATTGCTGTCATTTATTGGTATATTCTTAGTATGTTAGTATATTAGTATGTTTCTTTCTTGGCCTCTTTCTAATTTATTTTTAACCCCTTTTTGTTATCGCATTGTGAGAAATTTTTCTGTGTTTATTTAGATGTGATGCCTGTACGAATTTTTGCCTCTATCTTTAAATCTATTCAGCTGCTTCTAAAAGCTCTTTTGGCAATTTCCCAAAGTTTCCAATCCCATCCCTTTCCTACCCTGCCTACCATCGAGCCAAATTGCAGTAGGACTCCCACCAAATTGCAGTATGTTTGTCATTTTCAGAATCAATGTACCAGAAGATATTGGCAGCTTCAATATCACAGTGATACGTCACAAAGGGAACTTTGGCAACGTATACGCATTCTATTATTTGAATCGGCTGACAGCATCTGCCAATGATTTCGATATTCCAGGTGGAGTAATGGCTGGAGGGCCCGCCAGAATCGCCTTTGCGAACGGCGAAAGAGTGCGCAACATCACTGTTTACATAACTAATGACAACATAACTGAAACGGACGAGCAATTTGAGCTTGGACTTACTATACAGAATGCTGTGAATAACGGAGGGGTGAAGATCGGGCGTCCTGATAAGGCTAGGGTCACTATAATTGCCAATGACGATGCAAACGGTGTGTTGCGTTTTGCCGAGAGATCGATCATCCAGAATGTAACTGAACCAGCAGGCACGCCGTCTACAGGCAACATAGCAACATTCTACATCGAAAGAAATATCGGATACTTTGGCACTGTTACTTTGCAATGGCGCGTTCTTGGAGTAAACAGTTCAGCTGACGTCACACCTATTAATGGGCTGATTACATTTGAACCCAATGTTAGAGAAAATAATTTTCAAGTTAGTGCTGTTGCTGACAACATACCTGAGCTGAAGAAGACTTACACCATCCAAATATCTATCGTTTCAGGTATATTTTTCTGCTTTGCCACAGAAGCATTCGAACTAATATTTTATTTGACTCTTAAAATGCTCGTTGTTGTATCACAGTCAAAATTTCTTTAGTATGTGTATGTCTTTATGAGTTAATAAAGTATCGATTTTCGATCGGAATTTCGCATGAGATGTTATATATCGTTTACAATCTGAACAAGGATATTTTTTGAAGTTCAGTTTCGTTCTATCAAGGGTGAAAGCTCTTTGAATCATATTTTTATTTTCTTCGATGACTTTATGTTTGTTACCTTAAAGGTGGTGCTAGGGTGACATCCCCATCTATGGCCACTTTGAACATTGCTGCAAACGATGATCCAAATGGAGTGCTAAGCGTTAGGGCATTACCCTCCCTCGCCAGTAGCATTAACATCGAAGAGAAAACAAAGTTTATTAACACTGTTGTAAGGAGACAGGGGGGCAGCCTTGGTAAAGTAACTGTGCAGTATCTGACGAGACAGGGAACAGCCCTTTTGACGATGGGGACAAATATTTCTTTTGGCTACGATCAAGTATTGAGCACAAGATCAGCAGAAAGCTTTCATTCTTTCTCTGCTTACGGTGTACAGTATTTGCTGTTGGCCAGCAGTCACAGAAAGCAAGCTGTTGGATCCGAAGTGAAGACCAACGTTGCAACTGAGCCTTTTGACTCGACACTTTTCAGATGGCAAGGCAGCTTCTTCCCATTACTTGTGAGTAGTCAATTGATTAGCTGTAAGATAGAGTTATTCTTTATTGTTCAATTATCATCATTAATACAAGTTATATTCTTTAGAACATGTAATTTCTTTACACAGTGAATTTGAAATGATACAGTAAATCACACACCTTTTTAAATCGTTTATTCTTTCTTGTTACATGATTCAATTTGGTTTTGTCTTGGAGATGCAAAGTTTTTTGATCATTTTTTGCAAAGCTAGTTTTTTCAATGTTTAAGTTGGAGAATCAAGGGTCTCTCTCCAGGGATCCTTTTGCGCACAGTCCTCACTTAGATTTATTCGTTTCAAATTAAATTCCAGGCCGTTTAAAAACAGGCCATTACAAATTGTTTCTTTGTAGTCAACCCACGTGTTGTTTATAGTACGAAAAAGGCCCTTCCGTCCATTCAAAAGGACTGCGTTCCTGCCACACAAAAAGGTCCCGTTGTATATGAATTTACGTGCCAGCGTGATTCTGGCTACGTAGGACGCACCACCCAAAGATTGGAGGATAGAATAAAACAACATGTTCCGCCTAGCATTAGAAGCAAAACTCGTCCCCAAAGAGAACAGCCATCTCGGTCTTGCAGATCTAAAAGTACAACTAAAACCTACGATTCTGGTATCGGGCAGCATTTACTGTAAAACCCAGATTGTGCAAAAAACTATAATGGCGACATGTTTCGGATTATTGGTAAAGCCCGATCGTCGTTCCACCTAGCAGTTTTGGAATCTTTCTACATAAGCACGAAAAACCGCTACTGTGTAGACAAAAGGAGTTCGTTTTCACCTTAGGACTCCATTGGTAACATTTTCAATAGGCAAGCGGCACTGATTGGTCAACCTCAAAAGTCATGTGTTCGTGTTTCTGATTGGCCTATTTCGATCCACAACTGGGTATATATATTTCCTAGCTTAGAGTTTTCGGTCTATGTTCTGACGTTTTAAACTCTGAAGAGTGTCAGACGAAAAGCTTTAGTTTACTAAATGTTTGCTTTTTTAAAAGCCATTTTCGAATTTAATTCTCAGTTACCTACTTGCACCTTTTCTAAACGGATGTTTAATTGTCTTTTGTCTTTCAGAGCATCGATACAGATGGCGCAACAAAGTGGGCCACGTTTGAGGACAGAAACGTTTCATATCTTGTTGCCATTAATCATGGAACAAACGGACGATTTGAAGTTATGTCACAAGTCATGAGAATGCATCGAAATCTTACGATCGATTTTGTTCAGAACATTGCAACCAAGGGAGCGTCTGATGTTGCCTTCTTCCGGTCGGGAGGATCATTGTACATGGTTATCGCCAACATGAAAGATAATTTAGGAAACACTGTCCAACAGTTGCAGGTATTCTGCCTCCCATTTGACCTGTGACCTATGAGCCTGTGACCTCCTTTAAAATTCATTGGTTAATAATTGTGCATTTGTCCATATGCATACCATTATGATTTTTATGCAATATAATCGATTTTGTTAAGCCTAAAAGCCAATGCTTACATGCTTAATTTCAAGTGTAGATTTATTTCGGTTCCTTTTCTATGAGTTCTAAAAACGGAAAACCTAACGCATTTGTCTTGCACCTGAGTATAAATGAAGAACCTTCATTGCCCATGATATGTTAAAGAATGTTTGCTTTGTACTCGAATAATGACCGACAAGCAACAAAAATGTTTGGAAGATGCGAACTCCTTTGAATACAACACTGAAAGTCGAGATACAAACTGTCTGCGTAAGAGAAACTTTTTCCATGCAATTTTGCTGTCTGGTTAAAATTATTACACTTATGAGCAGATAAAGTCAGCTAACGGCAATGTAAATTCTTTCCAATTTAATAGGATTTATTTGAACTTCTCTTTATCAGAGTAAGCTACCAAAGCAATTTCATTCTCGTTGAAATATAGCGAATGCATTTGTCTTTAAGCTGCTTCGATGGCAAGAGTCGCGATTTGTTTTGGAAAGTGCCAGTGTTGAAACGAAAGGAGCTTCAGCCTTGGCTGTTTGTACCGTGAACGGCCTAACCCACCTGGCTGTTGCTAACAGCTATGACTCATCCATGGCAACATACACCACAGCCTCTCACGTGTATTCTTGGTCTGATGCCAATAGGAGGTTCTCATTGGTCCAATCTATTCAGACACATGGAGCAACAGATGTTGAATGCACCAAAATAGGGAACGACCATTATTTGTTTTTCACCAACTCAAAAGCGAGCTCAAGACTGTACCGCTACAAGACAACCAGTCCTTCTGGTTTTATTGAAAGACAAGAAATTAACCTGCAAGGTGCAAGATCTGGGAAATTTTTCAAATGGAGTTATACAGGCAAGCAATGATTCATTATGTTTTCTTTGATGCTCTTCATATGAAGAGGTATTTTTGATCCTGTAGCTTGTAATTTATAAATTTTGCTATTGACATTTTCTAATTAATTTAGTGCCTTTCCAAATTTCGTTAATGTATTTTTTTTTATTTTAGAATACCTTGTCATCGCTGGAAACACTTCGGTTTTGTATCAGTGGAATAATAGCACTAAAGGTTTCCAGAATGTTACGGTAAATAATTTATCAAAAGTAAATTTATGCACATTATTTAGTGTATTTGTTATGAGTCTGAGCCTCTGCGATGCCAGTGCATATTGGACTCAGGGCACCAATTGGATGCTAGTAGCAACCCATTATATTGAATTATCGTATGAATATATTGAGAAGCTTGATTAGTAGAAAATATTCCAATGAATCTCCACTCTTGAAGGTCATCGACTGAATTACCACGTGCAGGCATTCTATTGCCTTCTTTCATGCATCCTCCATCTTGAGCTCAGTTTTCATATTTCCTTATAATATCTAGATTGCATTTTGATTACAAGACAAGTATTTTTTGTGAACTTGTCTGTTAATTTTGAGTGTGTAACGTCGTAGACATGAGAGGTCTCTTTTTGTCGTGAAAGGTAGTTTGTCTCAACACATCAAAACTGTTGAAGATCTGTTTGCAAATCAGTCCTCCTTCATAAAGTACTTTCATTGAAATCTACTTGGAACATCAAATTTTTGTTGGTAACGTAGTTTCAGAATGGTTGCTTTGCTTTCAGAATAGATATTTCCCTCTGTTAAAAGAGATGAACCAGAAAAACTGGTCTATCGTGTACTCGTCAAAAGGCTGAGTGATACAGCCAATGGGAATGGGCAGGTAGATCTCTCAATGCCATACATAAATTTTTGATGGATTCTGTTGCTCTTCAATGCATATCTTTCTCAAATACAGAACATACCTGTCAAGAATACGATGAACATACAGCCATTCACTGCCACTGATGCTGTCACTGGTGAGCTGCAGTATCTTGCTGTCACTGAAGGAGTTTCATCTAGCAGTTACCTTATGAGGCTGGCAATGCTGTCCGAAACAGCTGATTTTGTTCCAAGGTTTGTAATTCAAAACTCTTTAATATCACATTTGACGTAATTACTTTATCTTGGTTGAATACAGAAAACTAGTTCAGAGCTGACATGAAGTTCAAGTTGGTCTTGAGAGTATTTGAAATTGGGCAGAGACTAGAATTTATTTTAGATGCTTGCCCTTAGTGTTCTTTTTCATATTGTTGCTTGGCGTGCTAGAAAATACTGAAAGCAATTGTGCTTTTAATCCGGGTTTTCAACATCTTTAGTAGTCTTGAGTTTCGCCTAGATAATTTGATGATTAGAGAAGCTATTCTCTCAGTTTTGCTCGCTTTCAGAATCCATCAAAAGAGCCCAGTTTTCATTTTTGCACTTTGGAAATTGAATAGTTCGAATACTTTGCTTGCGACCTTTATTTCAACCAAAAAGGTATGCATTTTTTTAACAAAGTCCTTTTTCCAGGCGTGGGCAGCTCACATTTTATGAAGGCCAGACATCTTTGAATTTAGGGTTGACTGTGCTATTAGACAGTCGCCCTGAAATGGACGAAAGCTTTTCGATGGACCTTGAAATGCCGCAAGGAGGTGCTAGCCTGGCAACAAGCCCAAACCTAGCAGTAACGATATTATCAAACGACAATGCCTATGGGCGAATGGCATTTTCTGACAGTTCTCTTCGTGTAAATATCACCGAGCAATCCTGGGATTCTGTGTTGCAGCTGAACGTTTTGAGAGAATACGGGAGCTTTGGACAAGTCTCTTTATACTGGAACATAACGAGCATGGATGGAAGCACCGTCGTTGACCTATATCCAACATCCGGGCAGGTTAACTTGAATCAAGGCATTTCTTCGGCAAATATCTTGATCTATGTACGTGCTGATGGTATCCCAGAGCTGAACGAAAAATTCAGAGTCAGGTTTGGTACCTTTTGTAATAGGGCGTTCATAACTTTGTCTTATTGACAGCTATTTATGTCAAAAAATATTGCTTATAAGTGCAAGATATTTCAGAGAAGAGAGATATCAGAGATAAAGATCTGTCTGATCTTCTTTTGAATAAAATTATGTTTGCAGTTATTCCTCGTCTATCGGCTGCAATGTTCTGCATTAAAATGTACCTCTTCGAGGTTGGGAAGAACTTGACTTTTGGCCTTCAATGCTTTGCAACGGTAGAGTGGAGCATGTATCGTTTTTACTAATTAATACACAAAAATGAAAGCTGTCTACAATTCTGTTTTTCTAACGAATCTTCACAGATTGAAACATCCATACATTTTGTACATAGTCGTTACGGGTGGCTCTATCATTTAAGCTATGTATTTTTTTTTTGATTTTCTAAAGCTATGCATACTGTGTCATTGTTTTGGGATTTTTCTCTGCATCCATTCATATGATTTTCTTCCTTATCAGTTTAACAAGTGTGTCCATAGCTGGCAGTGCAGCTTCAAACAGAGGCCCAACAATAAACCACCTCAAAAGCTCCTCCATTGTTACCATCTTGGCTAACAACGATCCTTACGGCGTAGTTAGTTGGAAGAATCGGTTCGAAATCACGACAAAAGAGAAGGAAGTCAATTCAAGTGCAGTTCTCATCCTTAGCAGAGCTTTTGGAGCTCTAGGGGATATAAGGGTCGCATATGAAACTCAGCAGGCTGTTAACGTTTCAAGGAATGAAAGAAAGGCAACACCTGGTGTTGATTATTTCACCCAAAAATCCACTGTTTTGATAAGACAAGGAGTAAAAGAGGCTATTGTTTACATCAAAGTGAGACATGTAAGTAATGTTGGATATTTTGGTTTAAATGGCATTTTTGGCATGTATAGCAGAATAGATGCTCTACAAAGATATAATTGCTTGAGTTTACTTAATACAAACAAGTGTCCATCTCTTATCATTCGTAAAATCCCAAGCTACTCAGAGCCCTTAAAACTTTTAACAGTTGGAATTTATTTTTCCTTGTAAAGTGCGCTGTTTAATCAATAAACTGATCAATGTATCCAATGCCTTTTGATTCTCCACAATTTTATAATAATGTTTTAATGATTAATTGATAAAGATCGATGATTCGTTGGGTGATTAAGTGATTTTCATTGGTAACTTACTAAACAAATTATTCGCTTTAACTTATTAATTTATCAATTGATTAACTGACTAACCTTTTTTTAATGATTAAATTCTTAAATTATTTATTATTAATTGTTCCGCAGAAAGAGAAGATGTCAGAGATTCTTGTTCAATCTAACCCTGTAAGCTTACTGACTAACTTAAAGATATAGAATATTACTTTAAAATATTACTTTTTTCAATTCATTAACAACTCTTATATTCTGTAAACTCTGTTGTTGAACTTTAAAGTGTAAAAAATTCCTTATATTCAAGAAGAGCTGCAGGCCAATAGTCCTTAAAAAACTAACCTTTGTTTAGATTATTAATGTTAAAGTGTACAATGTTACATTAAACTATACTATCGTAATACTAATATACAATATATCATAATACGATTTGCATTTTATTAATGTAATTTTAAATATTAACTCTCAGCTGATAAGAAGAGTATATAGCTAAATTTATCTAAATACATCTAAACAGTAGCATCGAGAGTATAATTTTGACTCCTGCATCCTTTTTGCAATACTTAAAGGAGTTCACTGTGCAATACTGGGCCCTCAAACTATACGAGCGGTGGATTATTGATCGAGAACAAAGAACCAATTAGAAAAAAGAACGGTTACCTTTTGGCGGTTATACGCCGTTTATATTCTGAGGATATTTTTTACGCTTCTCTGAAATATTTTCAAGTGCTGTAGTTCAGATGGCAATTCAGATAATATGTTGGCTTTTCAAGCAGATTATTTCAGTTGATTTTTCGAAATATCTTTAAGGTTTTTCAGACATAATGATAAATTTGCGTTTTTTTAAGAAACATTAAGCCCTGCATTGACCTTCCATTGTTGATATTTAGGACAACGACACCAGCGTCAATGAGATCTTCAATGTCAACATCACAGATGTCTATCTTGTTTCTGGTACTCCTGTTCCAAATTCTCCTCGAATTGACCAAAATAAACGCGTAACTGAGGTTGTCATTACAGAAGCCATTCTCAATCGAGGCTCCGTTGAGTTTGAAAGCCCACTTATTCGCCGAGTGGCAGAAAACTCTGGAGTTATTTCTCTCAACCTTGTAAGAAGCAACGGAACACAAGGATCTGTTGGAGTCCATTTTGTTGTCAACCTGAGAAATGCCAGTTACAATGACTTTGCTCCAAAGAGTGGTCTTGTTACATTCTCTCATAATACAACTCGTGCGGTGTTAACCATAACCATTGTCAATGATAACCTTCCGGAGCTGGACGAGTCTTTTGACGTCACTTTGATCAAGCCTGCTGGTGGAGTTAAAATTGGACAAAAAAGTACAGTGGAAGTCACCATAACTCAGAATGATTTCCCTTACGGTCTTTTAAGGTTTGTTATTTCGTAGGTTTTCTATAAGGCTGATTTTTAAGTAAATATGAAGATCAGTGTTCTCTCAAAGCTTTTGAGCACCGCATACGGCCGATGTTTAAATTTTGCAAGGCAAATGCTGACATTTTTCCAGTTATGTCTCTATACATTCTGTGACAATATGCTTTATAATTCATTCATTGAAAAAAACGTGAAAATCAATTCTTTGTGGAACGCATCCTAGAGATTCCCTAAAATGTCATAGATGCTTCATAAATCAGTTTTTGTTGATTATTCTCTATAATTATTCTGTTGCCAGTGTCGTAGATGATACTTTTTTATCTGCAGCTTCAACAGTGGCTCACGTGTTGTAACAGGCGTCAATGAGGGTCAGATAGTACGGCTGACAGTCGACAGGACCCAAGGTCTTTATCGCACTGTAACTGTTGACTGGAGCTGTGGCAGCGCTGCCCAGAGTGACCTTACCCCCTGGCAGGGAACCCTGACATTTGCTGAGGTATATATTGGTGTATTCATAATAAGAAGGGATCTTGTGTACCATCTCTTTCTTGTTTAATGTGTTCTGCATTTGCTGCAATAATATTGCAATTTCACACTTTCCTAGATCAGAAATTACATTCCTAGGGCTGGGCTTATGTTTTCATTTTTATAATGATACTAGATCATTCGATGGAATGTGTAAAAAGAAAAATCTGTGATAACAAGGACTCGTTAACAAAACGCGGGTCTAGACATATGATTTTCAAGGCCAAGCAAGCATCAAACCATTCAACTTTTACTGCACAGATTTAGCAAATCTTATCGTTATGCGTTGGTAGCAAAAAGCAGCGTTAACACCTATTTTTCATATATCTAGCATATTCTAAAACTATCGTTGCTATTGTTTATCCATATGCTTGTATAATTGTCTTGTTAACTTGAAGTAAAGAAAATCATAATAACAGCTTTTTTGGTGGATCGCCTTTCTAGAATGTGACTGTGGCAACAATCACAATCCAGACTTTGAATGACACCATCCCAGAGCTTACAGAACAGTTCACCTGCAGCTTGAGCAACCCACAAAACGGTGCTGCCATTTCTGAGCACAACAATGCGACAATCTCTATCGTGCCAAGTGATAAACCTTATGGTATTATCTCCATTGCTGCAGCATCAAGGAGTCTTGTTGTTGCTGAACCAATGACTGGCTACAATGGCGTGTTTTCCATAAGGTAATTACGTACATCGTCTTACCGATATCTTTTGTTTTATTGTGTGGTATTTCACTCATGCCGGCTTTATCAGTAAAAAGCAACAATTTCATAAAGGCTTTCCAAATTCAATCGTGATTTGCAGAGCAAGAATTAATTCACTTAAGAGGTAAACAAGTAGTTCAATGATTTCAACAAGACTAGTCAAGTCCCTAATGCAATATATGGACTTATCTTCCTCCAAGGTCTTGCGTGAATTTCTTTCACGTCACACTTATCATGTACATAATCAGTTGCTTTTTTCTATCTTGAGAAACGAATTTTCTTCGAAAACGTGCTTGAACTAACATCAGTTATGCCCAACTAACTTAAACTTCATATAGCTTTTTCTGTATATGTTAATGGTGATAGGGCTGTCTTTGTCTCCATCCCCCGTTGATATTTCACTGTGGTCTCGTTATATGATTCGTATGAAGTGTCTCAAGTAGTTTGTTACTGCAAAGGTTTTATTGAATAGGAATGAATCGAGAAGAATTTTAATTATAACTATATATGTGCAAGTGGGTTATATGTGCAAGTTGTATAATATTTGAACCTCGTATGTCTCCATCCCCAACAGCATTTTACGAAGTATTGGATTTGATGGCCAGGTTTCAGCTCAGTGGAGACTAGGCGCTGTAGCTGGGGCAGACGATACAAACTCTACATTTAATGTAACCAGTGGCGTCGTTGTCTTTCCATCTGGTGTGTCAACTCAAAGAGTTTACCTTCGCGTAAGTATTAAAAGAGAGAATTAACCTTACAGATCTAATTTGTTTTGAAGTGTAAACTTGTTTGAACGGAGTTGTAGATCTAATACATTTGGATATATTTCTATTAGAAGATAACGTGGAAAAGAGAACCATACCATATTTAAGTACATTTAAAACAAGGAACCGACCAAACGCCACATTCTTCCTCTCACGTTACTTTTGAGCCGCATCTAGATTTAATTATCTATTTGCCTTTAGCTATTTTTTGACTCTATACCCTGCTTTTCTGTGCTATCTTCAAATTTTGCCTTGCTAAAGTCTTATTTAGATTCTTCTTTTACTTAGCTACTATGTATACCAGATTATTTCTGTTGTGTCTACTATGTCTAGCATAAAACAGTAAACATGAAAAAGAATTTAACTAAATGAAGATCTATAGAATAATTTAAAATATTTCTTCTGATTTCACCTGCTTTGCTTTCAATAAAGTTTTTCCTTTTATCACCGCAACAGAATTTGCTCAACTCTTAAAAGACAATTTTCTGTTGCTGAAATCCTGTTAAAAGTTTCTGATGCTTTCTTCCCAATTTAAAAATCCCATCAAAGTTAAACAAACTGAAAACTTTATAATATATTGGAAAAGATCTTTTTAATTATTTTACTGCACCTACTTGCATTGCTTCGTATTCATTCTCTGCTATTTAACATACAAGCCCCGTATCATTGCAAATAACCTTGTTTTATTCCAGGTTCTTGATGATTCTACTCCGGAAGAGTCTAAGAAATACTTTCTTTATGTGGAGCGTACTAGTGGAGGGGCTGAGCTGGACATTCCAGCGAACACAAGAGCAAACATTACAGTTGCTTCCAGTGACTACCCCTATGGCACAGTTCAGTTCTCGCTTCCGGTCAGGTTTAACGTTTCTGAACCCGCTGGCCGTGTCAATGTGACGGTGACTAGAACTGGTGGCCAAATAGGCGAACTTCACGTCTCATATACCTCTGCAGGCTCGACAGCAACCCCTGGTGTTGACTTCAGTCCTTCGCAAGGAGGTTTGCTTAAGTTTCATAGATACCTGCGCCATTTTTTAATTTTTAAGCGCTAGATTTTGTCTTATATAAACTACAGTACCACAAAAGATAAGATTTGTTTTCAAAATATGTTTGTCGTTAGATTATTTGCCCTAAATTTACTATCATCTGTTTAGGAAGAAGTAACTCAGTGATTCAAAAGCTTCTTCGATTCTTTTATGATGAAAACTTTGGAACATTAGTGTGTGGCAAATTTGCCTTTCTCCACAAGCAGATGTTTTTTTTTTCAACAAAGCATCACTTAGGCTGAATGGGGGCCCCCTGCTGACTTACACATAAAGTTATACCTGGATCTGATAAAATTTCCATCATCCTTTTTCAAAATTATCTTCTTTCAGTCATAACATTCAGGCCTGGTGAAGGAGTAAAGACAATTCAACTCAACGTTATTGACGATTCGATACCAGAGCTTAGCGAAACGATCGCGCTCAACATATCTTCTGTTCGGGTGGTCACGTCAAAGGTGCTCAACTTCCAAATGGTTGATGGGATACAGTAGACACACCGCCGGCTATTGGAGCGAATTCACAGATTGAGATAACAATTGATGCAAATGACCAACCATATGGAGAAATTCGGTTTTTGGAAAGGCAAAGATTGGTGCATGAATCAGATGGAAGGGTACTCATCCCCGTTAATAGGACAGGTGGGCTTTTATATTTTATTCGCAGATTCAAATGTACTTGGGTTCTTTTACCGCCTTGATTGTCACACCAATCTACAAGTTTAAGCCTCAGTAACTTATCTAAACAGGTTCATAAGAGGAGTTTTTATCATTCTATCACTTGCAGTGAGTCAATTTTAATTTAATTAATTATATATGTGATTATTTTTAATGTTTAAAGTTTATGCAATGATTGATTGACTGGAATTTAACTTTTAAACTGCGTCTTTTAGATTTGTAGTTTTTAACCTTCTTAATGCATGGACCGTTTTTACCCTATGTATTAAGCATTTTACCATACTGAGAACATATAAAGTCTGTTCTGCAATGATTTATCCTATTAAATACATGCTTGTGTATTGATTACTGATTACAAATATCAATCAAATCTGAAATCTTTTTAGGTGGCGCTTTTGGCAATAGCACTGTCTATTACACATACGCAACAGGAAGTGCTAATAACCCGGCCGATTTTGTAGTTTCTGGATCCTCGTTAACGTTCGCTCCTGGTGTGAAACAACAGTTCATCCCAGTTCAAATTGTCGATGACACGATCTCAGAGTTTCAAGAGACCTTTCAACTTCGTCTCACCAGCATCTCAGGTCCAGCAAACCTTGGCTCTATCACCACTTTGAACATTACAATCGAGACAAGTGACAACCCCTATGGATTATTTGGAGTTTTCAATACAAGTCTTTCGATTACAGTTCCGAATCCTAATACAACAATAATGCTTTCTTTTCCATTAAGTCGAAAAGATGGAGCACTTGGTAGAAGTGTGGTAATTATGCATCTATTCCTTTCTTTGATTAGTTTCTTTGTAAGTTTTGCTTTTTCCTGTTTTGAGACAAACATGATTTGCTGCTGTAATCTAGAAGCTTTGAGACAGGATTTGCTGCAGTAATCTAGAGGGACAGTTGATATCGGGACAACCAACTTTCAATCTCTTTGCTTTCGCAAAAATCTTCATCTGATTATCAAATTAACTCCAATAAGTAGCCTGTATTTATCTGCATCTTGCTTGCAACCTAGGCATCAGATCGGGCAGAACTCATCGTCCTCAATGTTAAAAATCCTTATTACAAATCTTGATGTTGTTGACCAATTCACAGTATTGACAAATTTGTTTATGTTTGAATTTAAAGGTGAGTTGGAGAGTGGTAAGAAACACAGCAAGCGCCGATGCAGTAACCCAAGATATCACGCCAGAAAGTGGAACAACGTTATTTGAACCAAATCAGCGAGGTCCTAAGATGATCAATGTCACTATATTAACCGCAGGAGGTCAGTCTTGGAATTGATTTTATTTGTCTTGCCTTTTTAAGTGTATCTTCGTTGAATTTTCTAAAAATACAAAATTAACCTGTAAGTGTAACCCATGTTGAGATGTTATGATATCCACAGCGTATGATTTCTGTGAAAGTTTTTGATAATAAAAAGTTTTCTTGTTGGTTTTACCATTGAGATCATTTTGATTTTCAGGCCTTGAGGAGCCAGAGGAAGATTTCACCCTTCAGGTTTACGGTGCAACGGGTGGCGCTGCTTTGGATCATGCTTTCACCAATGTCTCAATAAAAATTCTCAAGAAAGGACATCCAAATGGCTTATTTAGATTTACTGGTATAGTTTTGCCAAGCGCAACAGTGAATGAACCAGAGACAGGGTCAATTGCAGTCACTGTACCAGTTCAGCGTGTTTTTGGCACCACAGGATCCGTTAATGTGAGAAATTTATTGCCAACTTCTCTGTGACATCTATATACTGTTAAAGCTGCATATATTTTCGTATAACATCGTTTCTTCGGAGTGAAATAAGATGTATTTTGAATATTCTATAACTTTGGAATCGTTTTAAATGCCAATAATATTTTGATTGCTAAATATTATCACTGAATTATGAGACGTGATTCCTCTGCTCTGAGAAACCACCCCCATTGATCATTTCTGGCAATGTTTTTGCAGCTCTCTGGTACTTCAGGGGATAATATGTTATATATAATGTTTATGAAATAGCAGCAATTAATCTTCCCTTCAGCATGCCATTTTCCCTGCTTTTTCAGGTCCTGTGGTCTGTTGCATCCTCCAGTGGCTCTACCAGTCTGGACCTTGGCTCAATGAGTACATCACTGAATTTTTCCAATGGTCAGAAAACAGGAAACATAACCTTGGCGGTGCTTTCGGACAATATACCTGAGCTGGATGAGGTTTTTGAAATAACCCTTGTTTCCGCCAGCAATGGCGCTGATATAGACAATGCAAGGAGAAGCATCAATTTCACAATTAGGTAAGCTTAGTCCGGCTTGGTACTAATAAACATCTACAATTATGTATTTGATACCTCACTGCAAGTAAAGCTCAATTTTTGTTAACGTCTACTTGTTGGTCCAATGGTCTGTCTGCTGATTAGGTTCTTCCCAATGAAAAAATGAGCATAGAATATTTTTCAGTATAGCCAATATGGGAAATCTTCTAAGTTGTTTTTTATCATGCGCGTTGAAAAAGAAATAACTAATTCAATTTTTTTTAAGCTGGATGTGTTAGTATCCTATTGTATATGTGCTGTTTTTTGCAGGGCCAACGACTACCCTCACGGATTATTCAGCATTGACCAGACAGGCAGTCGATTTGAATTCACTTCATCCACCCTGGATAGGAGGCTTCATTTCTCTATAGTTCGTGCACGTGGAACTATTGGCGTGGTTCGTGTGAATATTGGAATTCAATATTCTGAAGGTGGTGCGTCCGATTCTCATTCGGTTACATTTGCTTCCGGACAAAACAAGGTTTGTTTTCATTAGTTTGGTTTGTTAATAGATTAAAGAATATACTGTGTTTTTCATTAATTAATCGTTAAAAGGACCATCTACAGTAAGTTTTTTGAAACTGAAATGCTAACTTTGAGATGCAGTTAGAACAATCCCGTATAACACACCAATGCGTCCATTGCCAGTAAGAGTTTTTGTTGCTTAGGCCAAGGAACATAACTTGGCTTTTATTCCTTCGTTATTCCTTGTATGTTACGTTGTATGTTACATTCTGTATAAACGCCTTGAATTCTTCGCAGGTTTCAACGGTCTTCAGCATCTTGAAAGAACGATTTTTAGCATTTGGAGCCAATTTTTCAGTTAAACTGCAAAGCGTCGCAATTGTCGGTCCAGGTATGTGTCAATATAAAGTCACATTAGTACTAATTCATATTTTAGGCTGTGTGTACTTATTCTCGATATATCAAACTAGGGTAGAACCGCTGGCTGGTTTTCTTGTTTGTCTCAATGCTTTTTATCAATAGATGAGAAAATCAGTGACATCATATTTAGATTCCCTTGGTATTTTCAAACTAAATGCTGAATCAGATATTCCGATTAGAAGCTTACGTAGATTTTCAAGAATTCTCTAGCTCATTTCTATAAAAATTTGTGATTTTTAAATGAATACAAACCAAATGCACCCTCCAGCATGGCATATGCGGCACTGACACGAGTTGGTCACAGGATATAAACATTCGCCACGTGATATGCCCAAGTGAAAACTCCCACTTAAATTTGTTAAGACCGCTTTTACACCAGAGTGAATCCGATCGGGATCGGATCCAAAAGAGTACGGATAGGCCTTGCGTTTACACGGGAACTGGTGGATCCGAATACTTTTGGGATCGCTTTCAGCGGTGATTCCGTATGGATCCGATCTGGACCGGATCCCGTGTAAACGGATGGATCTAGTCCAGATCGGATCCGTCTACGTTATTTGTCGAAAATGAGACAAAATATTTTTCAATTCGAAGTAGTTTGAATTTGTAATCCGTGGCGTATTTGTAGTCGAATACTAATTTTAAAAGTAGCGCAGTTTTTTCTTCAGTCCACGAAAACTGACTATTTTTAGCGTTACCTTCTTCCATGTTCAGGTTGAACTGTGTTTTGATCACGCACGAAGTTCTGAAAACGTCATATACGCGCCAATTTTCAATTCGCATGCGCGTAACCTGTTCAGTTCATCTGGATCCGTTCCCGTGTAAACGCAAATGATTCTAGATCGGTTCCCGTGCAAACGCATTGCCATTTCAGGGATCGGATTCAAAAGTATCCGGATACTTGTGGATCCGATCTGGTCCGGTGTAAAAGGGGTCTTAGTGTGGTGAGTTGGTTTAGGTGTAAAACTGCATCCATTTACCTGTTGAAATAAACCAGTTGTTAACACATTCACCGCAAAACATGAAAATCATTTTCCCATCGTTTGTGAATAAACGTGTTGTTCTTAGAAAGGATCCCTTGTCATCCTTGATTATAATTCAGGCTTCAGCCCCCCTCCCCCGCTTTTTCAGACATCAAAAATTTGTTATCGCTCTTTCCATTATTTTTCAAAACAGAATAAGAAATAAAAGGGAACAAAGTGTTTATATACTGTTTGATTTTATTTGATCTATTTACTAACTTATTGAGGTATATTTTTATCATTTGTCTTTTATTTGCATCAATTCAGTAGATAACTTTTGTCGCAATGTCATTTTTTATGTGTAATCATGGCCTACTGAAAATACTCGAGAAAAAGGAGATGCACATGTGTGTTCAGGAAGTAAAATTATCTCAATCAATTCAACATCATTGAGATGTGCAATCTGAACCAATGGTCACCAATTTCTTCCTTTCCCCAACGTCTATCAACAGAGTTGTACTCGGTTTTAGCATGACTCATCTCCTCCCAAATCTTTTTTAAATATCAATAATAAATGAGAATTGTCGAACTGTCTATTATGAACGGTATGGTTTTATTTCGTTGAATTTTAGTCCTGTAGATGCATCTTTAGCCACTCTAGAAGGCTCGATTTCAAAAATTTTCTTTTGCGTCGGACCCTACCATGGTGGGTCTTCTTATGTCACTAAACTTGATTCTTAGCCCCCCCCTCCCAGGTTCAATTTCGTGGCGCTGTTTTTTATAATATGTAGAGTAGGCTATAAATGTAGGCTGAATGATAAAGCATAGTACTGAAAGACAAAGGTGAATATTTGGAGTTGACATTATTTTGCTGATCCGGCCCACCTGAGAACAAAAAATCTGGATCCGACCCCAGAACCAAACTGAGTTTGACATGCCTGCTTTAAGAGTTTTGTATTTTTCTGTCAGCTGGATTTGTTCTGGTTAGTAAGAAGATGTTTCCTTTCCTTCGTAGGCTCGACCATGGCTCCAGGAGTAAACTCGACCTCCCCTTCACTGGTGATCGTAATTCCCGAAGAGGCTGCAAATTCAGTAATTGACTTTGATTCAGATACCAGATATCCTACTGCTTCTACAAGTAAGTGTGACGTTTGCCTAAAATTGTTTGCGGTACATGATTTATTTAACATGGACAATCAAATTGGAAAGTCATTTCACTGGATTTTACATTTCAAATGATACTCAACACAAAAGGTACCATATAAGTCTTAGAATTGTACCATTGAATGATGGACCCAGTCAAATGATACTTTGTAACAGAAGGTTGAATATCGCCCGGAACTGGCTTAGTTACTTTCTCTAATTAATTTTTCAAGACTTTGATGTGCCAACTCCCTTTAACAGGCTTTCAGGTTCAAAATGTAAGAATTTCTCGACGTGGTTTACTTGGCACAAACACAGTGCAATGGCGATCAGGGTATCCGGGTAGCAGTCTGACGATTGGAACCATCAGTCCATCACAAGGCACAGTTACCTTTGCACAAGGAGAGCGAACAAAGTCCCTTTCTTTCCAGGTGAGAGATTTGATAGTAGATATAAGGTTGCTGCAGTGGACAAATCTTAATTTTACTTTTGGCAGTGACGTTCGCTATGACCGTCGTGCGAGCCATCCGGGGAGCGTCCAGTATCTTTTTTTAATGATCCGGTGTTTCAGTCAGTCAGGAGAAGTTAGTTGGGTATTATATTACTGGATGTAATCAGGAAGCTAAAAGCCCAAGATAGCCATGTAAAGTTACTCCCATCTAAACATGTCTTGAGGGGGATTGAGGCACTTGTTGGCTTTTGTGTCCCTTTATTCTATGGGCTGAGAAAAAACAGCTGTTTTTAAATGGGGTTTTTAAAAACAATATTCAAAGGTTGGTTTTGCTTTTTGGAAATAGCCATTTTGAAACCTGGTCTTGTCGATATGTGATTAATTTTGATTGGATATGTCCTTCCAGGTCCAGGTTCCTTCAGTCATTGCAAATCGAATGGTTTACGCAGTTTATTTGAGCTCGGTATCGCCAGCGCCAGGGCAGCCAGCTTGGCCAAAGATTGGATCCGCGACAACTGCTGTTGTAGACCCACATGGAGTGGTTGAGATTTCACCAAGTAGTTTGAATGTCACTGTCATGGAAGGGAGCAGGGTGAGAGCCTTATACTCCCATTATGTACCTTGTTTTCGCTGCTTAATTGAAATACAATGCTGTGAAGTGTTTCTTGAAATGTTTAACGGATAATATTGCATATGGCTTCTCTTGAAACAGATCAGCTATCTCATTACGACTTGATGCATTTTCATATCCTTTCAGTAACTGTTAAAAAATAATCATATTTTCCAAAATTTGTACGGCCTAGATTTGATTTCTTGTTATTGGCTGTTATCCTTTACATGCAAGATACCTACAATAATACCTAGAGCAATTCCTATTCTCATTAAACATTGAAATTTTGAATTTTTTTCTCAGGCCGCAATTGTCGTTCGAAGGCTTCTGAGCACTATCGGCACCATTGAAGTCAGTTATAAAACCCAAAGATACATTGGCTCGAATTCAGCCACAGAAGGAGTTGACTTTACCGCTGTTACTTCTACTTTTAATATGATTGAGGGCCAAACAACAGAGACAATTAATATTGACACAATTGATGACAGTGGAAACGTAGCTGAACGAGATGAGTTCTTCTTTGTTGCGCTGACCTCGGTTCGGTCCATTACAACGAGGCTGTCTGGTTAGTATTTACTAATTTAGTATGATAACAACATGCGTAGCAACAACTACCTAGCTTGAAATGGTAGGACTAACAACAGAAAGTCTTTTTATATTTGTTTATGTTTTGCATCCAAAGAGAGTTCTTGCATGTCATATGAATGTTTTAGCAAATCCTTATTTATCTATCATTTCATGAAGGTTACGCTGAATAGATTATACTCGTCCCTTACAGCCTCTTCTCCAAGGCTTTCTTCCTCAAGTGACCGTGCTACAGTTCGAATTAGAGACAACGACAATCCCTTCGGTGTCATCAGCTTCAAGACGCAAACTGTACAGACATCAGAGTCTGCAGGTCGAGCATTGCTAACAGTTCAACGTACCGGGGGTGTCTTCAGCAGAGTGACCGTGTTGGCAAGGTCAATAGGTGGTGGTGAGTCGTGGCAAGATTCGGTGATAAGCAGTCTCCCGGCTTCCTCTCCTGTTAGGGCGGCTTTGAACGCACGAACTCGGCCTGCTTCTGCCGTTTCACCAAATCAGGACTATCAGCCTCTTAACACTGAAATTGTTTTTGAGGTAAATATATCTTTCGCATAAAATGAAAGTTTCCATAAGATTGTGACTTCTTTCATTCATTTTGGAAAACAGCATTTGTAAACCGTCAAATGATACGAACTTTTACCTTCGTCGTTCATCATTTTTTCATAAATCATAATCTTCATGTCACTCGACGGTGTTTGTTATCAATTTTTCACATAAACTACTATTTTTAAGCTACTCTTTTGTTCCATGCCCTTCTCTATCTTCACTAACAAATTCTGCTACTTCCTCAGGAGCTGAACTCAATTCCATCCGGTGGGCAGATCAAAACAGTGAACATCAGCATAATGCCAGATGCACTGGCAGAACCTGCGGAGCAAATCTTAGTGTTACTTACAAACCCCACTGGAGGCGCAACTCTGCCGTCTTCATCTGCTTCTCTTAAGGTATGCTGTTGCAAATCTCTTACTGTTAGAATGCATGCTGAATGAATGAATGAAACTCAAGATAGACCCTTTTTATCGAAGAGTTTTGTAGCCCGGACATAGCAAACATGTTTTACATAGATGTTTTATATTTCGAGCGATTTATAGAATCTTAACCTGATATTAACTGTTATTGACTCCTTGAAATAAGATTAAATCTTATCTCATGCCATTGGGATATTTTATCCTGTTATTTTCTTGCTTAAAAGGACTTCTCTGTTATCACCATCAACGAAAATGGATTGTGGAATGGTAAAATCGGGTTCTCTGTCAATGTGGCAGAAATAAACGAAGATCAAAGTGCACAAGGTTAGTTGCAATGATATCATCTGCGTTCAGAAGTATTTCAGTCACAATTTTTGCCTCGTTGCAGCTCTGACCATCCTTTTTTTATATTTAGAAATTTCCTACACTTAAAATAACATAAATGTTCTTGGAGATTGAAAGGCCATGCGGGAAATACCTGTTGTGCATTCGTCTTTTTAATTCATTGATTTAAATTAAGTAAACCATGTCAATTTTCTGCACTTTATGTTGCCATTTCGTTGAATTAAGCTCGTGTTGATGGCATTGTCTATTGTATTTCAGTTTTCCTTCCATTGAGAAGAACTGGCAGTGCCATTGAGAGAATCGAGGTACCTGCAATTTCTTTTCCGTTTTAAAATCTCTTTTTCGATAGCCTCATTACTTGTCAGTTCAGTACTTTTACAAATGTCATTGTCTGCAGTAAGCATGGGTTTGATGTATCGGTTCCCTTTCCTAGGTAAAATGGCAAGTTTGGTCTACGGTTGCAAACATTGCGCAGCAGTTCGTATCATCTTCTGGTTCTGCATTCTTTGAAGCTAACAATTTGACTTCGTTGATATCGATCCAGCTGAAAAAGGACCAGGTGAGTTCATGGTCAAAATCATAGTCAACTCATTCTAGTTTTTGACAATTTTTATTCTTTAGTGTGACTGACTTAAATGAGAAGTTTTCATGTTTGACATTTGTCTTGTTATCTGAATCAAACCTTTTAAGACAGGCACGAGTAACCTGTTTTGCTTGGGGGCTAGATGTACGATATTTCGTACTCAGCTTGGTGGTTTGTACTTGGACGGGGGGGGGAGGGGGGCTCTAGGCAAAATGAAGCAAACGAACATCTCTATCTGTTCATTCAGAACTGCCCTCCTCAGATTCGCCAGGTAATCTCCTTGCATGTGGTGGTTCCTCCCGGTTTCTCGATTTGAATTTGCTTTAAGTGAAACATCAAGAGAACTTTCATTTCCACCATACTGCATGTAATGTATGGAGGAAAGCAATCAGCCTGGGAAAAGAAGATTTGATTGGAAGCACCAAGCATTGTCAAATACTATTTCTAAACAACAAAACCTGCCAGAAACTTTTTAAGAAAATTCAAGGTTACTTTGCCTTCATATTTTCCGTCTTGATATCAAGCTTGCAAAACCCGGCCTTTAAGCTACAAGAAAAAATAGTGTCTTTATTTGCTAAGTTGTTCGTTGATAAACTTCAGCTTGGAGAAAACTTGCTTGATACTAACTACTCTGATTACATTTATTTTGATGATATCTTAGTTGCATTTTCCTTTTTAAGTTACTCCTAATTAGATTTTCTCTGCGAGTGTAAGTTATCGCAAGGCCACGTAATTCAGGGATAAAATGCGGTCTAAATGATAATAATATCTCTTCCTTTATTTTAGACGCCTGAATTCGCATCGTGGTTCACTGTGAATCTAACAACAACCGCACCCGGTGCTATAATAGCCGTTGCTGAGCCAGGGTTGTTCTCTGCTTGCAACGTCACTATGCTTGAGAGTGACTACCCGGCTGGCAGAATCGGCTTCAATGACAGATACCGGTATTCACGCATTATTTTTATAATCATATTACTGATAGTTCGTGTATGTGTGTATTAGGCCTATGTACAGTTTCATTAAATTCCACACGATTTGCACGATTTTCGATAATTCCTTAGCTGTTTTGTGTCCGTACAATATTTACAGTCTTTTTTCTTTTTTACTTATCAAAACGCAAAGTATTTTATCCATGTCCTATGTGAGACGAGCCTGTATCATTTTCACATACCGTACAGTGATACTTAATGCATGTTTCTTGCTCTTTAGATTCCCAGTTGTTACATTGAACGATGTCAGCAAAGACATTCGAATCCGTCGTTACGGTGGCACATTGAAAGATGTCACGGTAAAGTACCAGACTGTTTCTCTCGTGAGCCCGATTTACGACGGTGACATCGTGTACACACCAGCAAGGGAAAATCAAGATTATCAGTCTGCGGCTGGCCAAGTGTCATTCCCCAAAGGAAGTGTAAGTCTATGCCAAAAACTGGAAAAATAGTTCTACGCTTGAAATTTGCCTCATTTATTCAACCCTTGGCTGGAATCACGTTTCCTTGCAGCTTGCGGCTTGCATGCCATTTTCGTATTTTTATAACTTCATGAACAGTAGATGCAACCCTAACTCTTTGGGATGGATGCTTCTTGTAGTTGGATAGTTTATTGCTGTTCAAATGCTGAGTTAATAATTTGTCAAAAACGTCTATAACTTTACCAAGCCAAAAAAGTGCATTCCTTATTTTGTTCTCTTAACTATTCGTGTCTCAGACCTGTTTTGTCAACCTGGTGCCTTAGGTCTGGGCCATGTGTGTGACAGTTCGTCTGATGTCTAGTTTTTCACAGCTACGTATGCTTGCTAAAGTGCATTCTCTATCTTCCCAACAATAACACAACTAATTGCTTAAATACATCTCCTCACGTGTTGCTGCCTGTATTCTTTGCATCATCCTATCATTATGCATCTTTTCTTGTAGACTGAAGCAATTATCAATATTAGACTAACACCAAGTACAGCATCAGCTGGTTCATACCCAAAAGTTTTCAACATCACATTACTAAGCCCAACTGGTGGAGCAATGTGAGTATAACGACCAAACCTTTGTATTCTTCTTTGCTTTTTCTCTATCAACATTGTCTGTATTTCATAATTGTATCGGCTCTTAATCCCATTAAATCTTTTTGCAGATTATATAACATGTACGCTACCGATCAAGTTATAATTTCCAAAGATTCAGCTGCAGCGACTTTCCTTCGACTTCGAGCGAGCGCATGGAGAATTCCCCTGACGGACAGAGAAATTGAGAAGTATGTCTTATGTTCCTTTTAATAAGAATAAGAACCTTTCCTGAATAAAAGCTATTTGGTATTTCTAATTTCTAATGAATGTCTATTGTAAGTAAGTGCACCACTAAAAGCCAATATGTACGCTCAAGTGCAAATTGAAAATTATTAGACAAAGAAAGAAAAATATTATCTATAGTTAATTTGAAAGTTTTTTACATTATATTTCTATTTTACGTATATTTGAAACCGATGCTTGCTCAATCGAATTAGTAATTTATTTTTAAAGACTGTTAACCGGTTTTATTTCTAATGTATTTTTTCTTATTCTCTTCTCTAATTTCTTCCATGGTTAATCTTCTTTTTTCAAGTATTCAACATAGGTGTATTTCTAGGCAAAGTGTAATAACGCTACCGTTTTTGTTATATCTATTTTGTGCTAATATTTTCACGAATTCATCGACAGCATATTTACTGAGATGTTGCAACTGGTCAAGGTCCCTCCTCTTAGCGCCAGCAACCAAGAGCTACTGATAAAGACAATCCGCTCCATCATTTCTTATAAGACAAGCTTGCCTGCTGGACAGAGAGCGTAAGTTACCAAAAGCTATGATATTATATCTTATCAATATTAAAGCTATACGCTGGACAGAGAGCGTAAGTTACCAAAAGCTATAATATTATATCTTATCAATATTAAAGCTATACGCTGGGCAGAGATCGTAAGTTACCAAAAGCTATAATATTATATCTTATCAATATTAAAGCTATACGCTGGACAGAGATCGTAAGTTACCAAAAGCTATAATATTATATCTTATCAATATTAAAGCTATACGCTGGACAGAGATCGTAAGTTACCAAAAGCTATAATATTATATCTTATCAATATTAAAGCTATACGCTGGACAGAGATCGTAAGTTACCAAAAGTTATAATATTATATCTTATCAATATTAAAGCTATACGCTGGGCAGAGATCGTAAGTTACCAAAAGCTATAATATTATATCTTATCAATATTAAAGCTATACGCTGGACAGAGATCGTAAGTTACCAAAAGTTATAATATTATATCTTATCAATATTAAAGCTATATGCTGGGCAGAGATCGTAAGTTACCAAAAGTTATAATATTATATCTTATCAATATTAAAGCTATACGCTGGACAGAGATCGTAAGTTACCAAAAGTTATAATATTATATCTTATCAATATTAAAGCTATACGCTGGACAGAGATCGTAAGTTACCAAAAGTTATAATATCATAGCACTGGTTATGTGTATGGTGTATCATGATGGTTCGGCGTCAGAATCCTTTGATCTACTTTTGAATGATGTTAAAATCAGGTACATTTGTGTCTGAATTAGGATGCTTTCACAGAATTAAAAGTAGCTATATTTTTAACTGAATGGCGAGGCTTATCAAACCATGGCCTTTTTTCTAAGTTTTTTCGAATTGGATGCAAAAGTAGAAGATAACGCAGCGAAGTAAGTTTGTACGCATCTGGAACTGCTTTAACAGCTTATATTGCGGCTTGGATACTTAGTATGACTTGTTGTTAGCATACCTGTTAACGAAGGATAGTATTCGTCAATGGACTATTATGAAAAATTCCATTTTTCTACAGGTTAACGAACAACTCTAAATCGCTTCTGTTGGATGTATATGATTCATTGTTGTCACCATCTCGCACAGATACAAGGTATTACTTTGAAAAAATTACAAGCGTTCTCAAAATTTTTCCACATTTTTTATCCAGGACTATATTTGCTACTCCTCACATGTTTGCTGCTTCGCAGAGTGGCGAATAGTGATCATTCTACAATATTTGCCAAATTACCTGGAACACCCAGCAATTTGTATCGCCCTTTATACTTTTCACATTTTATCGAATAATACTGTTTTCAACCTTCTCTCCCGGAACAATTTTGATTTTAGGCAGTTATTCACACGAAGAATCAACAGTATAACTCTGATGATTTTAAACCTCGAAACTGTACTTCTGGCCATTGTGTTAAGCTTTCAAAACCTTCCTGAAATACAGTGAAAGCAAGACATGTACTTAATTGTACTTTAAGTTTTTTGTTTTTGCTAAAATCTATCCTGTTCTTTGGATTGGTGACTACCACTTTAACTGTACCCTGTTTGTATGTTGCATTGGCCTAACCTAACTTGTTAGCTTTTCATCTGTGCTCTTTCTGTCAAGATCCTTTCAGAAACATACCTATCCTCTTAATTCTGTAAGTCCACTTTAGCAATAAAAAGGAAAAGTATTTTTAGTCTAAACAAATACAATTACAACCTTTTGATATTGCAATTTTTCTTTATAACAGCGGAAAGTCTTCATGGGCAACACTACTGGACGATCTTGCTTACAATTTCCTGGAAGATATGAGCTGCCCATACACGTACGCTCTTTTTCTTTCTTCTGTTAGATTTATTGGGGAAATAGGCCAGGGTCTACAAAAGAGTAGATTGATATGTTTATGACATTTTTCTAAAAAGACTTTCAGTTTTGGACAATGCACAGGCTAGATGCTCTTTCTTCCTGATATAATTTATTAGAGATAAAGAGAGGATCTGGTCATTAATTTTTTGCTTACGAGGGTCCTTTTCTTTAAACACAAAATAAGTCTCTTTTTCTTCCGGTTGGTTATCATTCTAATTCAATTTCCTTTTATAGGTTTTCTAGCAGTAAATCGAATTTCGCCTTGACCTCGCGACGTGATCATGGCAGCAACCTCAATGGTGTTAGTTTCGCGTCAGGGTAGGCAAAGACATTCTCAGCTCACTTAAATATCCATTTATTTATTCGTCTTTGTTGGTGATATGCAGGCTGTATTTCCCAGAAACTCTACTTTTCCTAGAAACTATTGCCCTGGCAGTTGAAAAGCAAGCTTGAATTTATTTCTACTGCAGAGATTATTTATGAATTTATTTCTAATTTATTTCTACTGCAGCAGAGGTTAACAAACTAGTATATGAATAACTACTACCTCTTATTCGTGAGTTTCTGATGTCGATCTAAACAAGAAAAATATATGATTATTCGAAATTATCTTCTATTTTGAAGATTGATTGTGAACGAAAATTAGATAACTTCATGAACCAACCTTTCATCAATTAATGTTGTTTTTAGCAGGAAGATGAGATCTTTGCTAACCTCTTTGCTAACCTCTTTGCAATTTTTCCTTGCTAGGAGAAATGCTGACTTCTTCCGTTACCCTGTCAACATGTTCAGTTCCACTGGATCAGCCCCTTGCACGGATATCCATTTCATTGACTATGGAAATCAGAAGTTCTTTTCTTCTGGCAAATCAGTATTAAATAATAAGGTACACTTTTGAGTCTTGTGAAACGAATGTTGTTTACCCCCATTGATCTTCCATCAAAATCCGAAATGATAGATGTAATATCTGGGAGGTTTTCCTTTAGATAATTCACGATCTTCTTCAGCTAATACACTATTATTTAGAAATGTCGGTGTGATAATAGTTATTGATAAATCTTTTTGTTATTGATGAAACTGCTCTTATTAAAATTACATTTTGCATCGAATTTTTCGATAAAGCTTTGTTGAATTTGTAGAATCTTCTTTCTATGTTTTACGCATTCCATATTTTTTAATTTCTAAATAAATGACCAAAAGTTGACGTCATTGATGAAAAATTGAGCTTCCATGTTTTCCATATCTTTTCATCTGTGTTTATGATCTTCTCTTTTCCGTAAGGTTATGTCTTCGAAGATCAAGACTGGTCTGTCCTCTGGTATGAAAGTAGTCTTCCGGATTCATACATCAAACTCAAGGGTAACGCAGACGGGAGCAAGGTAGCCAACTTTGTTTGTGTTTTTAACTTTCATTCACAACCCAAAGTATGTTAGTGGTGATGACTGCTCCGTTTGTCCTAAGTTTAAAGACAATTATTTATTATTTTTCTGGTCTTTTGTATTTATTTGATACTTTTTTGATGTTGCACGTTGAAATGTTTACTCAAAGTTTGTAACAACCTTCGATCCATATGATTCATATTATGAACAAATCTAAAGTATTCACGATTGTAAAACTAGACTTTCTCTTTCTCAGCTGTGTCATTTGGCAGCACCCATCAGCTGGTTCTAAAGGAGACTGGAACTCAAGAAACTGCAATATAAGGGTATGGCTTTTTGAGTATTAGAAGAATAAAAGGCAGTATCTTCAAATTTTTCGTTCAAATTTAATGATAGTTTAGCGTTTTTAGAAGTCATTTATAGGTCCTTGTTGTTTCAATTTCCTGACGAGTGTAAGTGTCTTGGACAAATATTTTTTATTGTATCTTGAAAGGTGTTTTCGATTTAATGACGATCAGTATCTGTTTTTCATAGGGTCAGTCAAAGTCGTACGTCGAATGCGAGTGTCGCCACCTGTCTGAATTTGCAGTGCTCGCCTTGAGTGACAACAGAACAGGATATGAAATATACTTCTACGTGTCCTGTTATTTCACTATCGTAAGTCTGCTAGTCTATGTTTAAGTTAATGAAACTTTTTTACACAGAAAGATTCTCAGAAAACTGATCGAATATTTCTTGGCGATTTTTCTTCTATTTTGGAGATAGTCTTCAATGAACATGACTGCAATTCAATGAATTTTTTCATGAACAGCAGATGAAATGTAAACCAACTCTTTCTGTATCATGTTAACTCTTTATACTAACTATTTCTATAGTCTGGTTACTATTACTTCTAAGTTCCTTTGCAATGTTTTCTTTCAGGGTGCCTGCCTTCTGGCGTTATTAGCCCATCATGTGTGTTCGTATGAAACCACCTTCACATCGAATCTTCTTATGCATTTCATTTTCGCTGTCATGATGACCAACGTAAGTTGAATTCAGCTACTTCAACAATACTGCATCAGAAACTGGCAGCTTGTTAACAGTTTTCTATTCTTTTGGTATCACTTCGTGAAGTTTTAGTTTGCGACACTCTATGCATCATTATAGTAAATCTGATTAAGACCAAGCAGCTGTGGTCTTTTTGAAGTTTATTTCCGAAAAATATCACAGGAGTCAGATATTATGTTTTGTGATTCAGTAATCAGTTTACAATACGAATCACATCTACAAAATTAACGATTTTGGTGTTGCGTCATTAAGGAAAATTCATTTGTGGTATTGCTACCAGAATTTATGATAACAAAATTTCTATTACTGTCCAATTTCATTACCAAATCTTTCGTAAAGCTGAAATCTTGACAATGAAAATCAGTCCTAGCACATGTCATATTGCTCAAGCATGTTTGTTTGGTGCTTACGGCATGTATCTTTCGGTTTTCAGATACTTTACGTAGTTGCTGCTCACATCAGTCCGACACTGGTTGACAAGACAACTGATTGTGGGGCCCTGGCCCTGGCAATTCATTACTTTTTCCTCGCGCAATTCACATGGATGTTTGCACAGGTTAGTGGTTTTTGTATTATCATGAAAAATACTATTGAAATAGCAAATGATAACACATTTTTAGCTGTTACATTAATCAGAATACCAACATATGATAAGGTTACTAAAAACAATTATTCTACAAGAGAAGTGATTTCACAACTATCTTTCAAGACTATTTTAGTCTGATACGTGGCTATGTTGCCTCAAGAATTTGCTAATTTTTTGTTAAACGAGCTCTGTTTCAGTGGCTACCTATTTCTCATTATCTTTAGAAACCTGGCTGACTTGTTTCTTTGATTTTAGTTATTTTTATTCTTAAATAGTCTGAGCTAGTTTTCCAGTCGTTAATACTTGAACAATTATGATTGTCAGTTTTTACTTTTTGTATAATCTGAGATGAACGTACTGCCTTACTGTATAGGCAACAGTTTATTTAAGATTTCTTTTTTAATCATTTTTTATAAAACAGTGCTTTCCTTGTTGTTTCAAATTTTTTTATTAAGATAATATTTGCTTGACAAGGATTGACAAAATTGTTAAAAAATGGGCGAATAAAGATTGTTTTTTGTGCTTTTTGACAAAATATTATTTTCTAATTTCTAAATATTAATTAAGAGCGGATATTTTTTAACCAAAGCACCGTATCTCTCAAATATTTTATAACATTATTTGTTATCTTATTGGGTTAATCTTACTTTTCTTATTTATTTAGGGATGTAATTTGTGGCGAATTTTGATCATGAATGACGAATACACAGATCGAAAGTTCCTCCATTTCTTCGTCATGGCATGGGGTATGTGACAGACTGCTTTTTGATCATTAAGTTCAGCTTGTACTCAATATACTGGACCTACTTATTTATTTGCGAATATCATTAGCATAATAGTGGTTGATGTTGAATTATGACGTCATTTCAGGTCTGCCTGTCCTTGTCATCGTTGGCTACATCTTAGTGACGTATGCAGCTTATCGATGGCCCTTCTCGAAGATGTATGGCGATGTCAATGGTAACGGGGATATGTAAGTCTGCTTTTGTAACTTTTGATTTAGGTGCCTTTTGATTTAATATGGTTCTCCTTGGATGTAAAGTGATTGATCAAAGATTCAAGCTTAAGTCTATGCTCACAAAGTTTATGCTCACAAAGAAGCATATGTATTCACAAAGAAGCATACGTTTTGCAGTTACCCCAATCAGGGAACCGCACCGGCAGATGTACAATGTTGCAAAGCGTGCTCTCGCCTTAGTATTATTCCAAAACAATGGTTGGGAATTGTTATAAGTTGATGCAAAAATGAGGGATTTTGGCAATTTCTGCATTGCTCCAAGGTTTTGGTTTTAAAGGGAGCTGTAGGGCAAAAATAACTATCATTCCATTTTACCGGAGCTCTATTGTTATCATTAAATGTTTCTGTTAATTTTAAAGTCATTAATTCCTTTCGATGAATAAAGGGGGAAGAAACTAGACCAAGAGTTGAATACTGTAAAAACATTTATGAGTTATCACCATTTTAATGTTATTTGATGTAAATGTAATGATGAAATATGATGTAAATCCGTTTTGCAGCACATGGAAGTAAAGCTTTTTCCATTTCTAAGCTAAAATTGACAAATAATTTACAGAAAAACATCAACAATAATGAAAAAAATGTTTTATTTGAACCATATCGAATCTGTTTTAGGTGCTTCATGAGCAATGGCTTCGCTGCCCTGGGATCAGTTATAATTCCAGTGATTCTCTTTGTTCTTGGTGTTGCTGTTGTCTTTGTCCAATCATACCAAGTCAAGCCACAGTGGCAATGCTATGATGACGTGTACAGGGGACGTTACAATGTGAAAGGTAAAATCAGATATACACATCGATTTATTTGTGTTTCTAGATAGGTGGAATGCGTTTTTCACTTGAATTTATCTTTGTTTATATGGATCGTTACATTTACGTCTATGCACAATTTTTAATAAGTCGAGGTTTGGAAGACGTCACAAAAACGTTTATTAAAACCAAATCTTCGCATACCTATCCTGATCCTCTTTGTTCCCCCATTCGTATATTTGAGTTTTTTGATGTCCTAGTTTCCCTTAATGCCATTGTCTGATCTTTTTTCAACAACTTTCCAAGCCATCGGCAAAAGAGCTGTAAAGAATCCTGTTTAAGCCTGTCGTCGATTTTTTATAATCTTTGTAACACCTTGAAATGTATTGATTCTATAATTACTCATTTACAATGAGTTGAACATCTTTATTTTTGGCAACAATAGAGTTGCCAGTTAAAGATTATTATACTTTTTAAATGACATCTTGCAATATTTTTCATCAGAATTGCGTCATTACATTGCCATGTTCGCCCTTGTCACCTTGAAGTGGCTATTCGCTGGCCTGCATTTGTCTTACGGATATCTCTGGATGATCATCATATTCACAGTGCTTAATTTCATTCTGGTATGCTCGCAGATTTTTTTTATAGTACCATAATGATTATTGATTCTGAACAACGTGCTAGTACTTTATGTTGTTATATTATCTCAACAACATTTTGAAACGTTTCCCGATTTATAGCAAAATAATTTATTAATTCTTGTTGAAAATACATCAACAGTTGCATTTTTAGACGTGCGTCTTGCGTTCCTCATTGTATCTCAAAGATCCCAGGTTTATCTTTTCTTTGTTCGATGGCCATTTCAATTGTACTAAATATCGTTTGTAAAAATCGTATAAATGTTTTGCTGTTAATAATTTCATTCAGTCATGATTTTGGCTAAGAATTGACGGTCAGCTGTACAAGGAAAATTGCCTTTTTCGTTAAAATCATTTCGGTGATTGTTTCATCGTTTTCGTCATTAGGGCTTGTATATATTGGTTATATATGCAATACTTCGCAACGACATGCGGTATTTGTTTCATGGTGAATATGCAGTCAGAAAAATGTCGTCAGGCCTTATACCAGAGCATGAACTCATCTATGCACCTAATTCGCTGAACCACAGCGGGAGAAAGCTGATTGATACTCGTTCGGATCGCTCAAATAACCTGGTGAGTAGTTTTCTTTTCGGAGTAAACCTTTTTCCAAAATGTTTTCCGTCTGAAGTTTTGACTTGATGTTGGATGATTTTCCAAAGATAAATCTATTAGACCTGTCCCTTTTCAATAAGTAGAAGTTTTATATAACTTTTAATGCAGTTTTATTTATGGTCAATGAATATGTTACATTTGCAGTGCTGTCTGCTCCTTTAGCTTACCTACACACACACTTGTAGTGTTATTTTCTGTAGTAATGAAATTGACTTTAGATATAACAAGCTGTCTCATCAATAAAATCAGATCTATAGAGGTTTGTCCAGTTTAATGTGTATTGTTTATATGCGATGGTGATGCTGTAATCATCTAGTAACAACTGGTTTGTGCTTGCTGTTTCAGAGCGAATGGGAAGATGTGGAACTGCCTGCAACGTTGAATCCTATGGATTTTCCAGACAAAGCTGCGATCTTAGACTCACCAGATCTGGGGGCCTCTCGTGGGCATGTGAATGAATCCTATGACATTGACTCGGACGAGTTTGATGATTTGATCTTTGCTTTGAAGACTGGTGGGCCATTGACACAGAATTTAGCCGATGAGCAAGAGTTAGAGGAGAAGATAGTTACGCCTAGACCGACGTCTGCTGATCAGCCTCAAGTTAGACGGATTAAGATAGCAGATACTCATCTTTAATAAAAGAAGGAGTTTTTAACGAGATGTATAGTATTCAGCTTTGTAAAGAAACCGTGGTTAGCTTCATACTTCGAATGGAAGATGTATTACATATTATCAACTTGTACAAGTTGAAATACTTGAAGATGAATGTACTTTGAAAGGTTGTGGTCACCAGGGTCGTGAAAGTTCACAGAAATAAACAAAAAGCTGTTTATGAAAGCAGCTTGTGTTTACTTGGTCGTTTGCATCTGATAAAAGCTGTAAAGCACCAAATTCTGATTCATGATGCTGATTGATGATTCTGATTCATGATGCTGATTGATGATTGAAGATTAGAGACGATAGAAACATTGTTTTGTAAGTATGTAATTTAGTAGCTAAAGTTTTGCTATGTAAAGTAATAAAAATAGTTTTTAGCGGGGTTTTTCTTAAATGTTTCAAATGAACACTTGTTAGCATTGCTCTTATTCGCAAGATTGGCAAATTCCCAAGGGGTATATTTCAGCCAAAACGAACAGTGTGTTGATATCCTCGTGAAGCCTTAGATAATTGTATAGTTTTACATGCAAAAGGTGTTATATACTTAGTGAAAACAATAGCATAGGATAATCATGATGAGAATACTCTCGCCCTTTTGCCATCATTTTGCACAAATTAGAACTTCCTTCTTGTAGCATCAGAAGACATCCTTAATAAACTGGTCCTCTATATCATTTATTTCCTTGGGTATTCGCTATTCACTCACGGGTATTTGTTGTTAAATATTTGGTCGTTTCACTTTTACATTTTATATTCAGACAGTTGTAACTATTTTTCATTTGTATTTATTAATATTACTCTATTGTCAATTTTTTTGCAAAGCACTTATCAATCTATTAAGCATTAAATTTCACTGAAGGTTGTAATTTCTCTTATTAGAGGTTTCGTGAAAACGGTGATATGTATTGATTTAAATGTTGTATTGTACTGATTTTGAAGAAGTTTAAATTGATTTTCGAATCGAATATATTAATACAAAAATTAATTAGTCTTATCTGTCAAGTATATCTTAAACATTTTTCTAGTCGAGTATTGGTTTGATTTTTGTTATATATTATCTATAGTCTTGCTGCCTTTATACTATCGATACATGTTAAATGATAGGCAAGTAGAAAACATCGATAGCAAATTATTGATTGAATCGGAAGTTGACAGCTATAAGCTCTTTGCTTGTCAGCCAAAACTTGTGTTAAGAGAATTCGAAAGATTTTAAAATTATGAACCGTGGGATGGCTTCTTGTTCTAGCCCTCACTTCATTTTTTGAGAATTTGAGAAATTTTTCTAAATATGAAGTTATAAGAAAAAATGAATAGGTCCATCCTTGAGGTTTCCCAGGGGCTCCGTGTTTGCTGTTTGGTGGCAGTGACTGAAATTTAGATCCCTGTGCCGGAAAAAGTTCATTCACCATTGTTTACACCGTCACAGTTCCTAATTAGGAACCACTAAAAGTAAAGGTTACAAAGTTTTTTGAGTTTGAGACCAAAATTCATTTTATTTGTGAAATAACTTCAATATTTGGTGGGGTACCCACAAGATCAATTGATATTACGAAGACAGCAAGGAATTCATTATACAAATTTTCAATAAAATCGCGATTTTACTTCAATAAATGAAGCTGATTTTACATCTATTGGAACAGACAAATAAACCAAGGCAAGTCCCATTGTTGTTATTATTTATTTTTTGATTCAAAGTTGGTAAAAGATTGTATCTTGAAAAGCTAATTAATTAGGCTGATTGTTTTTGCAAATACATAAATTTACTATTAGGAAAATACAATTAGAAAAACAGTTTACAATAAAAAACTAAAATGTCTCACATAATCTTTATTTGGATAAGATATCTAACACACCTTGTAGTTGCAAGTTTGGCATATATAGATCTCAGTAAGTCTTCTGTATATCTGAAGGGAGTCTGAATTTTTTTATTTTGGGAATAGTGTCTTCAATACTTTTCCCCATAAATCTGACCGTATTAAAGGCAACTTGTATCACAGTTGGTACTTGCAGTTTATCGGAGCCGCTTAGATTGTAAGCTTTTTTCCTTTAAGATTTGCTTCAAGAAGCTTGATTTGGTTTTGTTTCGTAGATTTCTAATTTGAGCAACTGTATGTCTTTTATTGTTTGAATTTAAATCGTGAAACATCCAAGTTTTTAATCAGGCATCCAGTTTAGTTTTCTTTTATCCCTAACAATTATTGTTCTCTCATAAGCCTCCCTTTTAATTGGGCTCATCTAGTGTTTGCCTTCTTCTTCCGTATTCCTTTGCATAACTCTATTTTCATTAAACTAGGATGGGAGAAAAGTAAGTTATCGTTAGTTCTTTCTCTTATAATTATAACGGGCGCGTTCTTCCTTCCGTTAATTATTAGTTCTTGCATGTCTTCTTCAATTTCTGTGTTAATGAGTGCATAAGCCACGATGGCACATTAATCATTTTCCTTTCCTTTTGTGAATTTCATTTGGTGCTTTTATTTTTCTTCCTTTCCTGTCAGTGATAACTACCTTTCTGACCTCCTCGATATTCTTCCTTGATAGAATTACCTATTATGCAACTGAAATCGCCAACTGTCACTAATTTTATTTGTTCAGTCTTGCTTCGCTGGTGTTTCTTATTATTACCCGGTCTATGTCTTTGTGTATTTTTTAGACTTTTTGTAATCGCCATTTGCATACCTTATTTTTTTTGTTATCTACAGTTTCATCAACTAAACACTTTTCAATACTTTTTGTATGAATGGAGAGATGGAAGGTGATCAGATGAATCCACTATTGGACTCCTTGAACAGGAATTGTCCAAATTGTCTAATTTCCATACTGCTGATAGTCATAAATAAGTATGATTAATTATTTTAGGTAAAGGGTAAGGGTTAGGTTTAGGGTTAGGTTTAGGGTTAGGTTTAGGGTTAGGTTTAGGGTAAGGGTTAGGTTTAGGGTAAACTAATTACGCCATCAGGTCGAGCAGTATGGAAACTAGACAGCTCCCCTTGAACACCCTTCCACGCGCCTCGCTGATAGATGTTGGCCTCGCTTTCGTGACCTTGTTGTGTCGTAAAAAAAATGGCTGCCGAAAATGGCAGCGATATGAACACAGAGCAAATTCTTTATGATTTGTTAGTGCAAGCAGAATGGCAGCTTAACGACGAACCTCTGGTACGATATTTTTTATCTTTAATTCTGGTTCACTGTATCTAAGCCTGATTTTCGTATACTTGTCATAATACTTACTACTTAGGTTTGTAAGTTTCATTTTGATTTAACAACCATCCTAAATACAATAACGAACCATCAAACACAATGCAACAATTAATTTTAAATACACAGAAATCAACAATCTACATGCAAAATGTAATGAAAATAAAGGAACAAACGAGACAACATTACCGTTTCTATTAAGAGAAAGGTTAGACCTAGGGAATTTCATAGATAAATAAAAAGATTTCAACAGAAGGTGTATGAGATTTCCATTTTCCATAGGGTGATTTGCCCCTCGATTCATACACCAAATTCAACAAAATATGACTCCTACAATTTCAATTAAAGAATAATAGAAATTATACATTCGTCTAACTACTTGGGGTGAAATTGAACTGACAGCCTGAATCTGTTGACTAACATTTATAGATAAACATACACTCCCCTCCCAAAAGTATTCAAATGGAAGCCGATGTTGCTTCAGTACAGGTTCAAGTTAATAAAAACAAATTAAAAAGTTAATTAGTGATATTTATAAAATGACAATAGGAATCACTTCAAAATTTCAGCCACTCATGAAACAAAGTAAAGGTTAAAAATTTTTTGAGTTTGAGACCAAAATTCATTTTATTTGTGAAATAACTTAAATATTTGATGGGGCATCAACGAGACCAATTGATATTATGAAGACAGTGAGGAATTCATTTATACAAATTTTCATTGAAATGGCGAAGAATTTTTGCCCAAATGTCAAAGATTTTATCAATTCACTGTTGCTTAGTCTTCTGAGGATCTAGATTTGTTGAATTTTTCATACCCAACCAAAGAAGCGATAGTATTTTCAATCAAATTTAGCCTAGACTTTGAGAAGGCTCCTGGAAGAGTTTAGGTTCTGTTTTAAACTGAAAAAACCACTTGGATCTTATAAGTATGACATGGAGAATCATCTTTTTGAAAAATAAAAAGGCTGATTTTATCAATAAACCTTTTCTGGCACTTTCGGGAAAGTTTTAACTTTGTGGCATGTTTGGTGTCGGAAGATGGCAACACAGAGAAAAGACGTCTTGTCTATTTGCCGCTGATCAGGTGCGAGGATGGCTCAGTTGTTAGGGGCGCTTACTGCAGACCCAAGGGTTTGTGGTTCAAGTCCCTGGCAAGACCAAACTTTTACCCAGCACTCTGTAATTCCAGGCGTAGGAATCCCGAGGTGGGGTCACATCGAGAGGAAGAACCAGGTCACTGCTCTATAAGTATAAGCTTCTCAGTGTCCAAAAAACTACCTTCGGATGCTAGGTAGAAACAAATACAAATTTCTTAGAGGATGGCAGCATGATTTATGGCGTTGACAGAACACCCCCTGAAGAACAAAATGGTGACGCCATTAGTCCTAATGCAACCCAAGACCATTTCTGAAATTCCTCCCTTTCCCTACATTTGGTTTTTTAAAGGACTAGTTATTTCCTTCTTTTGGTTGTTTTCCGGACTCAGTAGACTCCAGAATCTTTTTTCTACTCCAGAACTAAATCTACACTAGTTCAAGATGGCATTATTGCCCCAGTTGGTTACAGGTCATTCCTTCATGACTTTTAATCTGTTTTGTCAGTTAGTGTGCTTATTTGCTGAAAAAGTGGGCTTTCTTCTTAGGACACAAATTGTTATTCTGTAATTTGATAGAGTATGCCTAACTTTTGACCTGCCTTTTCTCAATTTTTTTTGCCAGTATTTTTAATACGGTTTTTAATACAACTTGCAAATACAATGAGCAGTATACTTTGATTATATTTGTTATATTTTGCAATTTCATTATATGAATGACCTACCTGGCATAAAACTTATGAACATTTGCTTCCCTTCATCCATATTTTTTCTGCTTTTGAGAAAAATTCTCCCAATGAATTTCCTCAGAACCAACTTTCAATATGTTTCTTTGTCTTTTTCATTTATTTGCTGACGCTATTGATTTATTTATTGAAAAATTTTGGAAGGGGAGTGTATCTTGACGAGATAAGGATTAACCATGTGAAGGAAATAAGGACTAAATAGAATATTGTATTGGATTGTATTATATTGTATTGTATTGTATGGCATTGTATTGTATTGTATTGTATTGTATTGTATTGTTTTGTACTATATGGTACTGTATTGTATTTGATATGTTAGTTGTTACAATAGTGGCTCACAGACATCAGATTGTTTGACTTTTTGCAAAAACTAATTTGAAAATGGCTTTGAAAAAAGCAAACATTTGAGTAAACTAAAGCTTTTCAGACAAAAAGTTTTAGTTTACTCAAATGTTTGCTTTTTTCAAAGCCATTTTAAAGTTTTGTACCATCAAAAGATTGTTTGAAAAATTAATTTGGAAAAATCTATGATTGTCTAATTTTAGTGTGATTGTTATTTCCAATGAGTTCATTCTTTGCTCCCCAATTGAAGCTTTTCCCTAGAAAAAAATATTTCTATTTATTACTTCATTTAATTTTGGTATATAGATTGTTCTTTTTATTTTTTATGTATCTTATTCTCATGTAAATTAGAAGTTAACAAAATTTGTAATTTGTGATGTGGATTTTTAGACAGCAGAACGGGAGTTTTGGAAAGAGAAAGGACCCTTTCATTGGAAAATATGGAAACTTAGCCAGAGTGAGTTGCATTCAATTACAAAATTTATTATAAGTAAAGTTTGATGTTAAAACTTTCTGTTTAGCACCAAATCTTGTCACAACTTTAGGCTTACTCAGGGGGTAAAAACAATTCTTGGAATTTTCTATTTTTGGCTATCTCAAATTTATGCCATGTTAAATTATCATTGTACCACCTGTCTTTTTTTCATTTTGGCAAGAAATTTCTCAATTAATCACCAGATTTATAGTAATGTTCTCTCAGGAAGCCAATTTCTAGATTCAGTAAGTTCATATTATTGGTAACACAGTATCTATAAAGTTTAATGTTTGTTTTCTCATGCAAGAAACAAAAATAAAATAAATTTTCTGTATTTTGTTTATTATTTTATCACTTTTTTGATTAACTTGTGCAAGTCTTGGTAAAAATCAGATATTTTATTGGTATTCCATTTCTTAGTTTCCTTCAGGTATATCTTCCAAACAGTGAGAGATTCTATCAGGTACAGATATTCTTTATACCTTTTGTACCATGTGCTTACAGTCATTCTGCTTAAAGTCATGCTGGTTACAGTTGCATATTGTTGTATCCCAAATATTCTAAGCTGTCCTATTTGACTCTGTTGATAGGACAGAGTCAAATACTCTTCATATACTGTCACAACTTTTCAAGCGACAATTTCTGTGGCTATAAGTCGAATCTACTGTTTAATTATTTGTGCTTGAAAATTGTGGCAGGTTCAGTAGCATAAATTTATGTATTCCTAAACTGTAAGTGGCAAAGTCTTTTAAAAAGTGGCGGGCCATTTTTAAACAGTAGTAAAATATCTTGTTTTGTTAAGTGCATACTTGCTATCGAAAGACATTTGTGTTTAGCGGTACATGTTAACAACAGTCTCTTTTTCAGGCTGAAGGCTAGCTTCGGTTGTCCACCAGCTAGTTTTGTTAGTATCTTGTCTGGTCAGCTTCCGTGGTCTTTGTCATTGTCCAGGTGATTGTTCTTTACCTTTAAGAATTTGCCTTTTAGAAATGATGCTTGATAAATTCATGTTATGTTATGTTTACTGGTGTCATGTTAAAGGAGAGAATTACACTGAAACGAAAAATATTTTATCTTACTACCAGATATGATATCAAATAAAACGTTAAGTGCATAAAATTTTATGTAGTAGCTAATTCTTGATGATATTTAAACCTAGAAACTTGATAGAGTACCCTTTGATAACGAAAGGGAATAAACTGTGGTATTTTACATTTTAATTAGGAATGGGAAGCTGTTGGCAGTCCTCAAAGAAAATGGTATTGAAATCAGGTTTGTTTCTCTATCACTTCACCTTCTAAATTTTCTTTATATTTCTCTTAATCTTTATATTTCTCTTAATCTCTTAAACTGTCTTCAAAATATTTATACGTTTAGTGGAAACTGCAAAAGATTATCACCATTATCTTGCCCATCATTTTCCCCCACATGTTCTTCCCACTCTGGTTCTTTTTGTTTTCCCTTCTTCTTCTTATTTATTCCTCCTCCCCTCTTCATATGTTCTTCCTTTATGCTCTCTCTTCTCCCTCTTTTCCTTTATGCTTCTCCCCCGTTGCTCCCTCTTCTCCCTCTTGTCCCTCTTGTCTCCCTCTTATCTCTCTCAATTTTTTCCCTCCTCTCCCTCTTCTCCACTTCTTTCTCTTCTCCCTCTTTCCCTCTTGTCTCCTTTTTCTTTCACTTTCCCTCTTGTCTCTCTCTTATCTCTCTCAATTTTCTCCCCCTTCTCCCTCTTCTCCCTCTTCTCCCTCTTCTCCCCCTTCTCCCTCTTCTCATTCTTCTTCCTCTTCTTCCTCTTCTTCCTCTACTTCCTCTTCTTCCTCTTCTTCCTCTTCTTCCTCTTCTTCCTCTTCTTCCTCTTCTCCCTCTTGTCTCCCTCTTATCTCTCTCTTATCTCTCTCAATTTTCTCACTCTTCTTCCTCTTCTTCCTCTTCTTCCTCTTCTTCCTCTTCTCCCTCTTGAATCCCTCTTTTCCCTCTTGTCTCCCTGCTCTCTCTCTTGTCCATCTTGTCTCCCCCTTCTCCCCCTTCTCCCCCTTCTCACTCTTCTTCCTCTTCTTCCTCTTCTCCCTCTTCTCCCTCTTGTTTCCCTCTTCTTCCTCTTGTTTCCCTCTTCTCCCTCTTCTCCCTCTTCTCTCTCTTCTCCCTCTCCCTCTTCTCCCTCTTCTCCCTCTTCTCCCTCTTCTCCCTCTTCTCCCTCTTCTCCCTCTTCTCCCTCTTCTCCTCCCTCTTCTCCTCCCTCTTCTCCCTCTTTCCCTCTTGTCTCCCTGTTCTCTCTCTTGTCCATCTTGTCTCCCCCTTCTCACTCTTCTTCCTCTTCTTCCTCTTCTTCCTCTTCTTCCTCTTCTTCCTCTTCTTCCTCTTCTCCCTCTTCTCCCTCTTGTCTCCCTCTTGTCTCCCTCTTGTCTCCCTCTTGTTTCCCTCTTGTTTCCCTCTTCTCCCCCTTCTCCCTCTTCTCATTCTTCTTCCTCTTCTTCCTCTTCTTCCTCTTCTTCCTCTTCTTCCTCTTCTTCCTCTTGTCTCCCTCTTATCTCTCTCAATTTTCTCTCTCTTCCCCCTCTTCTCCCTCTTCTCCCTCTTCTCCCTCTTTTTATTTTTTCTCCCTTCTTTTCTTTTCTTCCTCTTCTTTTGCTTCTTCTTCCTCCTTTATTTTTACTAATAGTCACCCTTCAATCATTTTATGACAAAACTGCTAAATTTCTAGCTTTTAATACTTACTTGAATACTTTGTTTCTAGCTTTCTTACATCTTGTAAAATTTGTTGCAGGTCCTGGAAAGACTCTTTTACCTCTGCGATCGCAAAGGCTGAAGGTATTTTGCACCATTTTAGTACAAGATGAAAGCACTGCAACTTGTTTCAATTTGCCAGAATGTGTATTTGTTTAGTAGATTTTTAACGCTATTTTTTGCATTTTTATGATAATGGTATTTGTGTATTTCGCCTATGCGTTTGCACTATCCTAAAGCCTATCGCTGAATATCTTTTCATGTTTGCTAGTTGGTTCTGACCCCTTTCCCCAATGGAGGAAACTTGCTTGGAACAAAAGCAGCTCGCTTCTTGCTGTTGCATCAAGGCAAGTTAAGTAAATTCAATATTATCGTATTGTTTTACTCATATGAAGTGAATAATACGTATTTGTTAAGCTGCCTCTTTGAAGACTAGTTGCCAGTTAGCTTTGAGTTTATAATGTATAACAATCATTTGAGTATGCTGTGAATGATGGTTTGATGGAGAATAATGATTATTTTATTTAATATTAAAGCAAGTGCTAAACTACGAATTTTGTTGGTCTACCAACTACCTCAAAATGTTGTTTATGTTATCTTTCTCCAGCTTTGGCGAAATATCAGTTTTTGATCCAAGCTGTAGCCTGTTGTACAAATTAAAGCAGGTAGGTACCTTAAATTTTCTTTAATTTTCCTTGTGAATATTTTCCAATCACTGTAGCGCAGTTTATCGATTTTTATTTTGATAATGCAATTTCATTTATTTGTGCTGATCTTTTTTTAATTTTGCACTTCTGATTTTTCTCAAATTGCAATTAACCGATTTATTTTTCATTTAAGCACGGGGCTGCAATGAATCTGCCTACTGGCTTCAGCAATTGCATCTGTGCTTTGTTATTTCTTGATGCACCGAAGTCAAGCGAATGGTATGATATTCAACATGTTGCTGAAGATGAATGCATTATTATTCCTATTTTGATAGTATTCATATTTTCCTCTTCATACTTAAGCTGCTCTACTTACTCCTTTTTTTCTTCTGCATACATACTAGTATGAAAAAAGTTAGCTGCTTGACTTTTGCTTTTTTGATGAAATGCCAGTCCACCAATTGCCAAACCAACAGTCAAAACTCAGCATTGCTTTTATAAAGACAGGTAGCTTGCCTTGCCCTGTTGAAATCTTATGCTACGAATCACACATATCACACAATTCACTCACCCAAACTTTTTATATTTTGATTGAATTGTCTTTAGGGAAAGTGTTTTGATATCTATCACCTACCAAGGAACTTTGCAACGATATTTGCTCAGGTATTTTATTCAGCAACTAATTATCTCAATTTATTTGGCTGTTTTCTTTTTAAATTTTGCTGCTTATTTTCGCAACACTTTCTACAAAATTTGTAAAGACAAGACAGCTCTGTACATCAATATCAGTTTTTATCAGGAACTCGCAGTCAAGTCAGCTTGTGAGCTCACAACACGAAGCCTGGCGCTTCTATGATAGAAATCATGAGATGAATTACTTACTGTATTGAGCATTAATAGTCCTTGGAACTTCAAATACAGGAGAACAGAACTACATGAACAGAAGTATTTGGTCCATCTTCCCTTGGAACTAACAGCATTTTCATGAATTCATGCTAGAAATTTTGGTAGATAATTTCTATTCGGAAACAAAAGTACTTGATAATTACTCGTTACGGTAAATTACAAAAACCTAAAAAGGGGAAAAAGTTGCTCATCATTCTAGACTATAAATCTCTAAAATTTTGCGTGTTTTGCTGCTTGATGTATTTAATAAAATAATTCATAATTTATTTCAATATCTTCAAATAATGTTCTTTGATAACAAGATTTTCAATCATACCTGCAGCATTTTATTTATACTTTCAGTTTACAACTGACAACGATTTTTTCCCCATTTCTTTAATAAAAATGGACCATTGCTTATAATCAAATTCTTTTATCAAGCAATACGACGTATAAGGAAGAACACAACTTCTCCTTCTCAAGATTCCACCCATCCGGTGTTGCTACTGCAATTTATTCTTCGAAGCACAATGTTTTTGTCGTAGCTGGCTTTGATGGGGATGAGCCAACGGCGGACCAAAACGGTAATCGACGAAATTGTTTTTTTGAAATTTTGTTTTACGCTGCTTGAAGAGAAAGCTATCTGAAACTTTTTAAGTTTGAAAATGCTAATTCTAATTGTTGGCCAATCTTTGAAGTTATTTGAAATCTTATATTTGCAAATCTAAGGTGGTTGTACTCTAATTTTTCGATAAACAAAGCTAACGGTTGTAGGTGGTTGCTTGGAATTATATGCTCAAGTTGCCTATTTTTGATATGTCATTGGCTGAAAAGTCTCTGTTAAAATGTAGTTCAGTACTGCCTGTTTTTTGCTCTTAAATTTTCTTAAATCTCTCTAAGTGTGCCATTTTATTTAGTTAAATTCAGAATATGATTTTTTGGCATTAGAATCATTTTATCTTTGTTGACTTTTTAAAAATCGGAATATAATTTCTGCAGACTTTACCGGGACTCAGGCTGGTATTACCTTATGGAGAGAGCTGTCCGATTTTCCTTATTACAAAATGATTGACAGTGATGACACACACTCAAAAAAGGTAAGTTTTGTGTCAGTAAACATTTTTTTAAGCTTTGTTTTCACATTGGTAAAGCTTGAAAAGGGCTTTTTGTTTATGCTTGTGTATTGAAGGCAAGCTTAAGCTAGTGATGTAGAAGATATCGTGTTTTCATGTTACTGTTTTTTATTGCGATTATAAGAGCACAGAGCAAAAACATTAATTACAATGGATTATGGCACTCATTAAACCGGCTTCTGAAACACTTTCTCAACCCCAGTTTTGCTAGTCCTTTTGCCAATTACGTAAGACTGACTCTAATGCCATTACTAATCTGCATTACAAAGAACTTTAATGATTATCGGTTTTGCCTTTAGTTGCAATACATTTTACTCTTCTATCCAGTAGTCGATTTTTTCAAGCCTTGAAAAAATCTTTACTACAATAACAATGCAAATTCATTTGCTGACATTTTTTTAATGTGAAAGAATTAGCCTAATTTGCCGTTGTCTTCCATTACAATTTGCATCTCTTGCGATATGCCTTCTAAATAGTATATTTTTCTTCAGGCTTTGCATCAAAACAAACTGACGAGCCTTGTCAAAATTCCCTTGCAGCAGAAAAAGACCATCAGCGTATGATTTTAAAAAAATTGTTGCTGTGTCTTTGCTTGCTAATGATATTCTTAAAAACGTTTTTGGTAAAGAACTAAAAATGACGTATGGGAATCTGTTAAGTTCAAGTTGAAATACATTTGACCTTGGTTTATTTAATACTGTAGTTAATTTCGTTGTTTTTGAATCTAACATTTAAACTTTGAATGTTCCATCGCTTTTTTTGAATTATCTGTTTTTTAACCATACCGCTGCCCTTGTATTTTAGTTTATGCTCATTTTTTGTTTCAATGAGTTGATGAATCATTGTCTTTGAGCTATGTAACGTTTCAACGTCGTTATGACAGACAGACTCTTTCTTGCTTGTAATGTAAAATCCAATCTTTCATTATTTTGTTTCCACACAGTATGGAATCTACAAGTGCTGTTTATCGCCAAACGAAGAAAGTTTAGTGTCTTTGCACCAAGATGGAAGGATTGCAGTTTGGAGAATGCCTTCATTAAGACTTGAGAAAACATGGAGTTTGTCTGAGCAAGTGAGTAGGTTTATTGTATAAAAAGAGAGTAGGGACAGCTTACGTATTTGCCTACGTATTTTCTAATAAATTTGATGTCAATTGACCTTATTTACACTTTCTAAATCAATCGACGCATTTTTATGCGAGTACTATATATGAACTGATATTTGTTTATATGTTTATTTCATTATAGCTATATTTTTCGGGCCATGCTCAAAACTCTTCTTGATTCTTTGAAAATTAAAGTAATACTAATGTAGTGGATTGACCTGGTGGTTTTAGAGGGGGTCCAGGGGGGCCACGCGCTTATGGTAAATTTCGCTAAAAATTCGCAAAATTTCAACCCGACAAAGGACAGGCAATTACCACCCACTCTATATAATTTCTCTTCAAGAAAAGCGATGGAAGATATTTTCACTGTCATCGCGGTCTTTCAGGACGAGAGCCGCATCCCCTATTAAAGCGGTGGCCTAAATTCATCCCCCTGCGCTTTCTTGTAGCTTTTTTTGTGCTACAGCCTCTTCACTGACGCTTGATGCCTCTTCTTGCGTACATAATTCTTTATCTTTCGTCGTTTTGTCCATAATAATAGTGGACAAAACGAGCGAAACCAACCCGAGGAGTCAACAACGATGTGATGTCTGAATTTTGGCAATTGTTATGAAAGAGTTTTTATCCAACTGCGCTTGCGTAGAGCCAACAATGTTGGCTGAGGTGGCCAAACGATCCAATATTTTACCCAACATTTCAAGACAATAGTATTGTTGGATGTCGGCAGCCAACATTTTTGACTGCAGTCAAATTTCATCCAACATTGTAATTTTTGATGTTGGATGAGCCAACATGATGGTAGACTCCAGAAAAGTTGTCAACCTTCCTCCGGCCAGGAAAGCCATACTACCAAATTTTCCTCATGTTGAATGTGTGGTAAAAGTAGGCATTAAGTAAAAATTGAATTTGACATTTTATTCATCAACAGTATTCAGCTTATGTTACGATTACTGAGTCGCTTATTATGTTACCTAGGAGATTAATCTTTTGTTGACATCAGTACTATATCATAATCATTGTTTTGCACCAATTTTAGCTTATAACGTAATGGTTTTTGTATTTTTCTCATGACATAGGTTAATTCGCATTTAGTATAAATAAGACCGATTTTGAAGCATTTAAATCAGATCGGGACCCGGGCGTGAGGCTCTTATACGTACAGAATAATCATCATAACCGAAATTTGTGAGTTTTTTCTTTAGTGTCACGGGAGTTTTGATTCAGGTAATAGGGTATTAGATACGACCTTACGGAATTCCCCACAAAAAGATTAAAAATGGTCATGGACAGGCGATACTCAACCAGTCTACATCCCCTCTCCTTGCAACTCTGTTTTTCCATAACATTAAAAAAATTATATTTTATATTTTACGACTGGTGTAAAGCTACTTGCTTATATCAATTGACAACACAAGTCTATCATAATGTAAATATATAAATTATAAAAAGTCATAAATTATAAAAAGTAAAGGCCTAAATTTTAGTGCAAAGCAGTTCTACAAAGACATCCATATTAAAACATCAGGAGGTTTATAAATATTACTTGATTTCTTTTAACTTTTGTTTAACTTTTTTTGAAGCCAAATGGTTATAAGACGTTTTCAACTTCCTCAAATTTCAACATTTTTGGTCACCTTCCTCAATTTATTTTTGTTTCTATGAACTTCCTCCGACCAGTGGCTGTAGGGCCGTGAATTGATTTTATCAAAGGCACTGGAGTCGAAGCTTTGAAAAGTAAAGAGCAGGTCTACGATGTTATTTATAGCAACTATGTACTGCATTGGATGTCTGATGAGGAATTTGAAGAGACAGTGAGGTTAAGCTTTGTTGCAATGAAGAAAGGGGGTTTTGCAGCCCATTCCATTATTGAGAAGCACCCTGAAAATGTGGTTAAGTTGGTTGCAAATTTAAATCCCAATGGTTTGAAGTGGCTCGATGAAATTCAAAGGCCAATCAGCCTTGAAAGGCTTATTGATGTAGCAGCAAAAGTGGGCTTCAGTGTTGTAGACTCAGGCCGGGTACCAACAGTAACAAAATGTGACGACTTGCAGGAGTATCTGCGTTTACTGGATGCAACGCTGTACGGTAAATTTGGTATTGAAGAAGGGTACATGGAGAACAGTCACAACATTGAGTTGCCAAAGGATGAAGATGGCAAGATAATTCATGCTATGCCTCAGGCGTATGTTGTTTTAGAAAAATTATGAAAAGTGAACAAACTGCTTGAATGAGAAAAAACAAGATTTGACATTTTATTTGCTTTATTCGTCCGTCTACCTTCATAAAATTAGCCTTTATAATTGAAAGCTAAAAACTTTGTCTCTGTAGCTACAAAAAAATCAATTGATGAGTCGAGGAAATGCATTTGTTGCTATATAAATATACATATATATTTATATATGAAAAAATTAGAATTTTGCCCCATTTTTTATAGATAGGTTTGCGTCCTTAACGTCTCGATTTACTTACTACCCAAGGCGGCCCACTTGGTTGCTGTAAGGGGTCAGAAAATTCTCCAATATGAGTTATTCCAATTCGCTAGTGAATTGAAGCAATTTTATCTATGTATGGCCCCTTCTGCTTACAAGCAGATCATGAAACAGTGTAGAATCTCAGCCTTAGTACTGTCTTGGGGAGTAACTGCTCCTTGGCCAAGACCGCTTTGCAACGACCATGTCAACATCATTAGTATTTACGATGTATTGGTTATTTGAATTTGTTAATGGTATCCAATTCCGTAGTTGACAACGGAGATGTAGTTTTCTTTTCTCTAGAATCTTTCTCTGAACATTCCCTAGCCAGAAATATTACATCAACCCTTATTATCATAAATTCATTGCAACTAATCATTCCATGAATCTTTCTGAAAACTGTACGTAGATATTTTGTTCATCATACCTCTCCTGCTTTGTAGAGACAATTTTCTTCGTAACAACATCTCACGCGTAACGTAACAACATATAAAGAAACCCCATGAAACCATGTAATTCTTCCGAAAATTTCTTGGGGCCCCTTTGTGTTTGGGCCGAGGGGAAGTGCGGCCCTGATTACAGCAATTATAATTCGTTTGTTTCCATTTTCCTTCAAATATTACTACGAGAGGCTGTGGCTGTATCGATCTAAGATTCTTATTTTCATCTCATAAAAGCAGACCGATTCCTAATGTTCCAGCTGTCAGATTGAACTCTTGTAATCATAACAAAGCAAAATGGTATCTTCACATTTCGAGATGTACTATGCAAAGCTTCCCAAAACTTCGTGCATCTTCAAAAGAAGACGGTAAAATATTTTGGAGAGAAGAAAAAGAGCTGACATGTTCTATGGCATTTTTGTATACTTGATGTGGGAGCTTCGACCTTTTTGAATTCCGTTTCAAAAATTTGAATTTGTGTTTCAGAAATCATATATTACCTAAATCAAACATCATATATCAAATATGATGAATCAAATTAAAAATCATATGATACTTATTTATGATACTTTGGAACGACCGATTCCAAATTAAAAAAGATTTATTAAAGAGCATCGCGACTTGTATGTAAAGATAGTGAAAATGAGCTTGATAAGAAGTTTAAATAACTCCCTGATCACTCATAACGCAATTGCTCATGATAGAAATTTTCATAACAAAGAACAATCCAAATCTTTATGAAAGAAATTTTTGCAAAAAAAATTGCTATCACAATTTGCGCAATCGAAATCCGTTGCCACTGCCGAAAGTAAGGACAACAATATATGGTACAGAAAATATTAATTATAGACCTGCATTTTACAGTTTTCATTCCCAAGCTTGTTTATAAACAGTAACACGGTACAACAATTTAAAATAATGAAAAAAGCAGTGGAATGATGATTCATGCAACTGCAGAGGTTTTTTTTAAAAGATTCAGGGTTTTTAGATTAATTGTTATTTTACTTTTTATTTTTAATTTTTCATTGTAAATAATATTTCTGTTTTAGTTTAGTTGGCCTTAATTAGCCTTTTTCTTTTATAAATATTGAAAATATTACTATTTTTTCTATTATTTAATTCTTTTAGAAAGGAGTAATGTAAAGCATAAGTCTTTTTCATAAATTGTATTTTAGCTAACTGTCAAATTGTTTTTCAGCCATCATTTGATAACGAAAGCAGGCCCTATTTCTTCAACGAAAAGGCAAAGTTAGAGCAAGGTGACCAGTTTAGCTATTTTCAAATTAATTCTTAATTCAATTTACAACTTGCGTAGAGTCCCCGCTCTTTAATGTAGACATCTACGATATTGTCGCATTTTTTGTATTTAATCTATAAAATATGTATAGCAAATGAAACCTTCATTTCTACGTCACATGGTAATTTGAATTATTTTTGCTCGCAGATTCAAGTTTTCAGAAGCAGTTTGTTAGCATAAACTGGTGGTCCGACAAGGTGAGAATCCTGTTTACAGATTTATACACCAGACTTCTTTAAGATTGTAGCTTTCATATTAGGATATTTCTGTTCCAAAAAGTAAAACAACGGACGGGGAAAGTTTGCAAGCCGTGTCTACAGTTACCACACCTGCAAAAAGGGTTCTGAGAAATTTAATTTAATTATTCCAGATCAGCTTAACAACTTAATGATATACAACAGAAGAACAATAAACACTACAAGTATACCAGCTCGATATTCCTTTAGACGGAAGCCTCCCAACATCCTTTGGATAATGATTCCCAAAAGGTAGCATCTAAAATTTTATCTGGTTGTAAATTTCTGCATACCTTTAGTGTTGATCTGAAGTTTATAATCTGAGCAGTATTTGACGAAAGGTACTTAAAGATAGTCATATTTTCTATTAAGTTAATTGATAGAAAAAAAGAATCTTCCTATCATTAACGTTTTATGTTATAATTTTGTTCGACTCAGAAATTCTGATAGTTGTTGTTAGAACTTTGTTGGAATCAAAAAATAACATGTGATGCCGGTGATTCAAAACATTTTCTTGCATTACAGGCTGTTATTTGTGCTAGAGGAACTGGAGCGATATCAGTTTCATCAACTACTAAGTAAGTTTTAACTTCAATTAAAGTTTACAACTTCATTGCGCTTAACGGTTCTGCAATCCAAAGTGAAAGACCCTTTTGTTGCGAAAATATTTACCTGCATAATTTTGAACGCAAAGAAGTAAATTAATTTATTGCCAATCGTAATAAAAGATACAAAAATCAAGGTCTTTAGGGCAAGTTTCTGCTAGGTTGTATAATTTGATCATAATAAGTATTGTAATGAGAATGAAATGGGAAAAGTAATTTACAGAGATTTGTTGGTCTGTTCTGCTTTGGCAAAAAACTTAGCGAGGTTTTCGAATTTTGCAAGGGTGCCATTTTGATTGATTATTGAGTTACCAGTAGACATATTATCACAATGAACATAAAAATTTCGTCTCAAATGCAAACATTTACTACTTTGTAGAGAACATCTCTTTTGAACTGCAAAGCTTGGAATATGTTGGCCACAAAAGCAAACTTAGAGCGTTATTTGGGCGTCTGCCACCTTTTAATGTTTTGCTGTCAAAATGTTAGTTTTTTTCCTATCAAGAACGATACATGAAATTAGAACAGTTTTCATTTTACACTGAAAATCCTTTTGCAGCCTAGAGAACCTTCTTGGACAATCAGAAGAAATGTTTGAACCATGGCCTCATACAACTGATGCCAGCGATGGCCAATTTCTTGTGTTGGAGGTAGCCTTTTATCTCAAGTTCATACAAATCATCTGCTTTTGCCAGTCTTTGATTTTCTTGCTTGGCTGTTTCTTATTTTCAGTTGCCGGGTATTTTAAAATCCTGTAGATTCGCTTTCTTAATCCTTCAAAATATCACTGTGAGAGATACTGTTGTGGTTTTTTGGTCATCATAAATTCTGATTTTTTCTTGAGTGAATACTTTTTAACCAATTTCGTAGTTCCCTAATATTGCATTTACCGTATTTGTTGAATCTAATGCAATGAGATAATTTCAAATCTTGTATCTTCTGTTCTGTGATTCAGTGTGAAAAGAAGCTCAGAATGAATGAGGGTGGAAACATTTTGAGGAAGAATGAAGCGGAAGATGACAGCCATGATCAAGATGATGAAGAAGAGGAGACATTTATAAACAGGGCTTCAAAACTTTGCAAGCAGGTAAGCAACTTAAGACTTAAAACAATAGTTCGGAGAATTGCATTCGCATTTTTGATGGTTTTGTGGCTTATAAATGGAAAATGTGTTGATATCATGAAGAAAACTTCTCATTTATTAATACATAGTTTATAATTCATATCCAAAGTCTTTGTAAATTTTTAGCATCTTTTAAAATAAAGTCTCGCAAAAAGACGTTTGGTCTTGCATGTTACCATCGCTTCAATCCTTCTCCATGTGTTCCTTTACTTCATGTCCGCATACAGCATTCAATAATTCTAGATCTTCACTGATTAATGTTTGTGGCGAACTCTTGTAGGGTCCATATGTAGCTTTGAGAAAATATATAGGTAGTTACTTTGTAGTATTATATGTACATCAAAAAATACATATATAAACATTGAATATGTTATTTTATGTATGAAAATTTGTGTATCATCATGACACATTTCATCGATTTCTTTTTTCTAACAGACTTTGTTTTTCTTGACTGAAATGGAAAACCTTAGACCGCCTTCCAAGAAGCTGCGGTAAATAATTTTATAATGTCTTTCCTACTGTTTATTTATAAATGGAATGCGAGAAAATCGAATGTATGACATTGGTTGGAAAAGAATTATGTCTCAGCCGCCATCACTGTTTAGCCTCGGTAAACTTGGTCGTCTTGTCGCCCGCAAACATTATGGCAGGTCTGTAGAGGAAGACGACGGCCAAAACAAACTGCGTTGATTGTAATTTTGATGATTTGTCATAAACTCTTTCTATGATATCCATGCCTCGCCATGATGTATCTTTCAGTTAATTTCTAATGTTGGGGGCCTTTTCTGCTTATCACCCCTTCAAAGAAACCCATGATGGAACCAATCTTTGTGAAGATAGTTTCTATGGCTTAACAAAAACTCCGTTTGAAAATTCGCTTGTTCGGTATTCATAATTAATTCAATTTTGTAGTTGCTTTCTACTTCATCGTCACTGTCAATTCTCTAGGTTTCTACAAAGAATTTATCGCCTCATCGCTTTGCAATCAACTACTCCAGAAGAGCTTTATTCACGGAAGGTATGTAGAAAAGTTTTTGAAACCTCATAAGATCTGTTCTGGTGGTCTTAGTATCTATCAAATAAATATTATGGTCTGAACATCTTTTATAATTCATTAATTTCAGTCTTTGTTAAACTTTTTCAGTAATGGGTTATGACCAGTGGCGTAGCTTGATCTTCCTATCTAGGGGGTTGGATGATCAATAAAAAAGTTTATCGATGAAGACACAGATTGAGAAAAAATTTCTGTGCTGAGAAAAGATTTTGTGGACCAACTGAAGATTTACCGACCAACTCATGACGATTTGGGGGAGATCACAACTCCTCAACCCCACACCCCAGCTAGCTACGCCCCTGGTTATAATTCTTCAATCCAGATTGGCTATCTCTAGTAAGCACTGTGATCGTTGAAGAAATGGTTTTTAATAGTTTAACTATGTAAATATAATTAATTTTTCCTAAAAATAAAAAGATTGTATTAGATTTCAGAAAGTGAATTTGTATCTCTAGATTATGAGTGAGGAATATGGGGAAGCGTTGGATTTGGCTAGAAGATTCAATTTGGATACTGATCTGGTTTATCAACGCCAGTGGACAAGTCAAGAGTTTATAACTGTCATCTCCATCAAGGATTATCTGGTACCACTTGGCTTTATTTTTGTAGTTTAAGAAATCCAGACTCTTAAGTATTTATAACAAATCATATAGTTCAAAGATTGATAGGTCTGTTTATTAGACTTTCATATCTTGCTACTTAGCTGGTAAAAGCATATTTTTTTGTTAGAGATTGCTATCACTGGCTACATTTTCACGTGTAAGATGCGTTCATCAGGCAATTGTTCACTGACATCAATCATTATAACAATTTTGCAGATGTCACATTAGATCAGCTTCTCGCCGTATTTTTGCTACCCTCCTTGACAAATAAACATTGATAATTTGGTTAAAAGACGTTATTTAAATAAAAGATATTCGTTTTAGCCTCTTGAACATATTTTAATTTTCAGAGCAAAATAACAAATCGTTTCTGGGTTTTGAACGAATGCATGCAGCGAGTTCCTGAAGATATTGATGCCATGAAGCATCTTTTGAAGTATGGCTTACTGGGGACTGATAGAAGTGTTTTGGAGAGAATTCAATTGGATGAAAAACTGCCGTTTGTTCTGAGGAAGGAATCTACTGATGAAGAGGTTGATGAGGATGAAAGCAGCTCACTAAATGGAGATGAGAAGCGAGAGAAAGCAAAATTGGATGCCATAGACGTGAAAAGGTTACTGATTATCGAAGTTGATTTTTGTTTTTAGTTTTTTGTCGATATTTCACTTAATAGTAGATTGTATTGGTGAAATAATGCTACCTGCTGATAAGATATCTATTTACAATCATAACAAATGCGGGTGTATCTGAATCATTTCATACTATGTTTTTGAAGTAGAAGTTAAAAACCTTGATCCAAAAAATTACAACAGTGAGAATAGGCTTCAAAGAGACTGTATTAGATTGTGTTACCCAGAGTTTCTCGAACTTCGCGGTCATCTTTATCTCATTCTGCTCTGCCCTCTTGACACAAAGCACTGTTCTCACAAAAGGAGACAAAAAAATTTGTTTATCAATACAAAGTTCTAAATCTAGTTGTTTTATAAAGTGTGAAGGTCTAGACTTTTTTCCTGTTATAAACTTTTTAAAGTTCTGCCGTCTGTATCAAATGTTTCAAACCAAATCAATTTCTAAACATAAAGATTAGCGTATGCTTTATTATCAGTTAGAATCGAAGCTCTAAAATCTAAGTTCACATGTTATATACTGATTCTTTGTCATTTTAAATTGGTTTTTTTATATCTTAGCTTAACTTCAACACAGATCCAATTATGCAAATATAGATGGCAAATTCTGCAGTACCTTGATCGGCTTGAGACGTATGAGGTAGGAGAAACCTGTTTTGATCGCATTTTCAATTAGTTTTCTGCGTACTACAAATGTCATTAAAAAGATTCTGGAAGTGTTTACTTGAAAATAGAAATTTTCCTCTTTAAAAGAATTGGTAGAGTTTGTTAAATTTTACCATTTTAAACATTGGCAATAAAGATAAGGAAATGCTTAGAGAATGTAGTGCTTAAATTTCCCAAGAGAATCTGCAATTCATTCTATTTTTGCTGAGGTCCAAAAACAGGTTTTTTAGTGAAAACGGAAATTTTGTATCAACTGTCTGCCATATCAATAAACGGCTGTTTTGATAGGAAATGAAATAGAGGGAAGCAATAATAGTATTTCGATGTCCAAACAAACAGATAGAATTTCATATCACTCAGTTAAGAAGAAAAAGGTACTGACTCTGATGACAGAAGACGACTGCTGACGATATCTACCAGGTTACAGTTTTACAAGTGCTCATGTGATTGGTCTATGTTCGAAATGATTTGTACAGTTTGAGTCTACCCGGCCTTAAGGAAGAATTTTTCACATAGTGTTCTTCACGTAATGACCGCATTACTGTAGAAGAGTATGATATCACTTTTATCACCTGATATGTCTGTTCATGTCATTGCATACTAAAGTGTGGTTTTTGTAATCAGGTCATCCTTGGCGGGCCATTCAGAGCAGCTGAGCGGTACAAACCAGGATTCTTCTTGCGCTTTCGTTGCTGTAATATCGTAGACCAAGCCGTTGAATATGCACGAGACAGCTGCAGTGAGCCGTTAGAAGATCTTTTCACCTACCATGGAGACGAGCTTTTACCTCATTGGCTTGCCATTCTGTCAAATTTCCCAGAAACAACCCCTGTTTCTTCATATAAGCGGCTACTGCCTATTCTCATGTAAGAAGTTTTGATAATGCTTTTGTAAGATTCAATTCAAGCTTTAAGATTTTAATTTTTATTTTAATTGCACATTAGAATGCATATGTATGAATCAAATTAATATTTTTATATGAGACTAAAACGTTTCTTTCCCAAGTTTTCAATAATCGTCTGAAATTTTCATCATCTATTTAAGGATAAACAAGACGTTTTAGACAACGTAGAGTAACAAGCAGGAGAACTGCAAAATAGAGAATAGGAGAAGAAGAAAATGGGAAATTTTATCGTATTTTTGTGCCTAATTTCTTTTGAATGCGGATAGTTAAGATCGAGTTGATGTGATAAAAAATGTTTATGTGTTCGCCTGTTTTTATGAGATGTTTTTTAATTCTTAGGAAGACGGATTCTGGTGAGCTAGTTTTGGAGGAATGGGCACAAGTAAGGCATCGAGATCCAGACTGGGTTGAAGAAGAGACTTTGAAAGAACATGTGGTTATAAGTGCGGAGATAGACGATGATCCGGCCGAATTCATTTATCAAGAAATGCCAAATTTAGCTGAATTTAGGTTAGTTTACAAATTTCTGCTTACTTATTACAGCTTACAAGCTTTCGTTCCCTGAACTTTCTTCCACAAAAAATCTACTCCTATTCTATGCAGATTTGTTTTTTACTTTGGTTGGTAACGACTTTTTGCATAATTTGTATGTTTTTCTTCTTCCTCATTCTTTACGCGCTCAAGATAATTAGTTCTAGAGAGACATATTCGTAAGTATCCACGGTAAAAGAATTTTGGCACGTCCTTTTTTGCAGCCGTGCTTTTATAAAATAACTTGATTTTTTATTTTCTTCAGATCGTGCACAGATCCAGCCTCGTTAACCAAATGGTTCAAACTCAGGGCACATGAAATCGAGACAAGAACAAGTTTGGTAGGTATCAAAACAATTACCTCACTTCCACTTATACATGTTTTGTTATCTATTCCATTCGAAAACCAGATCATGTTAGATGTATTTTCATTATCTTCGTAAGAAATAAACTTTGGTTTGCTTAGTTTTATTAGCCGTAACTAAACGCTGATAGGTGTAGTCATTTGCGAAAATTATATTACTTTGAGTCTTGCCCTGATCCAAACCTTTCTACTCGAATGTATTTGTGGCTACAATCCGGTCATGTTTTTTCAGGTTGAGAATGCATTGTCTCTAATTGACCATGGCATAAAAAATGGCGTAGAGGTAATTTTTCACTTTTTTTATGTCTTTTAGGCCCTTTTGCTAGTATATTTCAAGCCTTTATCTTATCTATTGACAGCTACAGTAAGAATGATACAATTTCATTTTCGGTGATACATGTTACTTTTGCAGTTTTCTCTATGTTTATAAAATGATTAGAGACAGAGACTGTATGTAGATGTAATGCTTATATTCCTTAACCAATTTTTATTCATGATAAAAGATCTTTCTTGTTTGAAATATTTGAGCACAACACGAAATTCACGGGTTTGATTATAATTCAAGTTTTGTGTTTGCAGGATTTGGCTGATATTCGTGATGATTTGAAATGGCTGGGAATATTAGTTTACGAGGTGAAATTTTCGTTAAGCTCAATCGTTTGTGTTATAAGGGTACCAATTAATCAGAAACAATTTTTTGAGCTTTGTTAGTTTTAAAGTGACAGGGTTATAGGGAAAACCTATTGGCTTCCTCTTGAAAGTTTTAATGTGTAGTAAAACCACTGCTTTATTCAAAGTATTTACGTATGCATTGAGAATTGTCGTTGTTGAAATATCATGAACTCTGTTTCTTTTTCATTCTAGGTTGGGGCTGACCCTTCAATAACCCTTTCTGACTTCGAGAGTTTTTCAAATCTAGCTAAGCTGAGGCTTCTCATGTCAAAGGTAGGCTTTTTTGTTGTTTTTTATGGCAAGCGGTACTGATTGGGCAACCTCAACAGTCACGTGCTCGCATTTCTGATTGGCCCATTTCGATCCACAACGAGTTATATATATATATAATATATATCTCTTCGCGTTGGGTGTTTCGACCTATGTTCTGAAGTTTTATATTATTTCAGCTCGATATTGTTTCTCATTTCTTGCAATATCAGTAGTTAATCGATATCAGGCACTCAGAAGTCAACAGCAATAACTCATTGGATGTCATTTCCATAACATGCGTATCAGTTCCATTAAAGTTTTCCAAAATGTTGCGATTTGCCTTAATAAATTCATCAAATGAATGGCGTTTCTAACACTTGCGTTATTTTCAACAGTCTACTGAGGACAGCTTTCTACATGATTTTGTGAAATGGGGAAAACGCTTTATTGAATTCGTTGGAAAGTCAAAGCCCGAGGAGAAATGGAAGTTACAGAAGAAATACCTTGTAGATGTTGCTAAGGTACGTTGTTTGATATTTTCTCGATCAAGTTGCAGCTTTTTTTCTAATTAGCATGCATAGTATTGTTAAAATGAAATGTATGGAGAGATAGGCAGCTGTGTTGTTGTTAGTTAACAACGATTGTTTAGCTTCCATCTATAATTTGATAAGACCGAATATTCTGCTTCTAAAAAAGTTCTTCGATGCAAGGCTTTCTCAAATGAGAAATGTGTATTGCTGAACTACATCTGTCTGCACAAAAGCCAATATTTCATGCAGTACCACCTGAAATTATATAATCATTGAAATCACTGAAGATTTTTTAATGTCTCTGAGCAGTAAATATTCGGGTAATCCTCATTAATTTTGCCTAATTCAAAAGAGATAAGTTTTTGATGGTGATTTTAAAGAAGTTTTAACGTACTTTTATCTTCATAACAGTCTGACTTAACCTACCCTTTGAAGATTATGGAAAAATCTATTCCTGAGGTAAGTTTCAATTTTATTGATGAATGTTTTATTAAGCCTTTGCTGTTTTGTTTTTGCCAATTTAAAAATAGTATGTTTAATCGTTTAAGCGAAGAATCATTTGGTCATGTTCATCATGAGAAGATCCTAATTTTGAGCATACTTTTTATCTCTCTCCTTTTTTGTCCAATAAAGTCTTTCATTACTCTCATGGTGACAGTTTAATCTTCTTGTACCGAAAAGCTGTATCTCTTTAATGTTAGCTCTGTCATCATTACAGTAAGTCATGGGTACTTTGATGAATCCATGTTATTGTGTTTTTGTTTGTTTTGTAAGACTGACGAGCCAATCATAGCAGATGTTGCCAACTTGATGAAACTGGCAATTGATTGTATATACATTTGTAAACGGTATGTATTTTATAAATTTTAGGCTTAGCTTCATATCAAACTTGAGATTTGCTTTCATGTCAAAACAGTAGTTTATATCTTTTGTAAATGGACAACCGCAGAAAATATTTATTCTTAATACTTATAATTCACACATGTTTCAAACATTGAACTAGCTTTTTTAATGCAAGAATCTTCCCTTCTTTCCTCTTCTCATAGTGATGATCAGTTGGACCTCGCCTTCAAAATTGTTGGGTGCTTGCCAACGAGAGAACAGGGGTAAGATCTTATTCATTTGTTGTCACATAACGAGACACTTATCACGGATGCTTCTATCAACAGTGATCTCATACAAGGCCTTGCTAAATAGAGTTTAGCGACCACGATATTGGATTTAAGGAGCTCGATTATTTTCTATGTTCTTGGTTGAATTAAAGTTTTTTCTTAAATGATCATCTTCTCGAGCTTGACGAGTTATCAGTCCATACATGTTTTGTACCATTTCAGAAGCACTTTAACCAAGCACTTTAACCATTTCAGAATCACAGTACCCTTGATTAAATGGCTAAATGCTCTTAATGGTTATGTTTGATCATGCCAATTGTGCGGATTTTTTAATTTATTTTGACACCTTGCTTTCTTGCCACGCTGTTGATTGCTATTTTTCATTCACAGACACCTTTCAACTCAGATAGAAGACTTACACGATAAGGTTGATCGTTTAGAACAGCTGCTTCGGTAAGTTGCTTTCGAACTATTTTAGAATACCATTAGATAAATATATTTGTCACCTTTTCACCAATATACTCTCTTGTCTTCATTCACATTACTATCATAAGCTCAATTTTTATGGTATTTCCTTTCACAGCAGCTCATGATATACCCGGTAAAATCACGTTATCCCACCGGGCTACTTGGTCTCCGACGGCCTATCTGAAATGCAAGTCATATTACTCAATGTTTAAGAGGTCACCATGTTATAACTCACTTTGTTTTTTTTTACCAAGGTTGTTTTAATGGTGAGATTATATTGGTTGACTAGGTTCCTAGCTAAAGGTCATTTCTACATTAAGCATTTATTTTGTAAGCAACTTGATGAAGTCTTTACCTAATATTAAAGTACTGTTTGTAATTGGTTTTTCTTGTTTGTGAAACGTGTTTGTTTTGTTTGCAAAACGTAATAAACTTTCAAAAAAATTCCGGTTAATTTCCAGTTGCTTTAACATTATCATTCAGTTTTCGGTATATTAGCATTTTGAAAATCAAGATAAAGTCTGGTTTACTTTCTTTGGTGTACAAAACAGGACGGTTCTAAGTTGCTACTCTGAGTTTCACGCTTAATTTGATCATCATACAACTGTCAGGTTTATGGAATAGAAGATCAAATTACTTTAAAGTTGTTTTATCATTTGCCACTTTGAGATCCAAACCCAAGCATTTGCTTTTATGTCGTTTATCAGAAACATCATATCACTCGCTGACTTGTTTTTGCGCTCGTACAAATCGCCCGAATTGACAAAGCGTGAAACTTATGTCCAAACTTAAGAGAATATGTTATTCATTTTTGAATGTGGATATGAATAAGGATAATAAAATTGTCATAATTTTGCTAACTGCTCCTTTATGTGAATCACAGTTCTCACCCAGCTTCTTTTATTTTCCTAGGGGTGCCGAAATTTTAGAACTGTATTCTATACCGAGGCCAGTATCATTTCTGGTCGATACAAAGGTAAGTTTTTTCAAGTCTTTTGTAATGCCACTAAGAAAGGACGTTTTTCGAAATGATCTAGCAAATACAAGTGAGAATTCTTTTAAAAGATGTATCTTCTCCTGTGAGCGGCATCGCCAGCTCGAATAAACTTGGGTGGGCAAAAACAAATTTTCTCGGCCACGCCCTTCAGACTCTTGAAAAATCCTTTTTTACTGATTTGAAATTTAAAACAAGCAACTTTTTCAAGCAGCATTCTCCGTAACGGTGGCTTTTTTGCAAGTGCGAAAATCGAAATACCTCTGATCAGCCAAATTCCAAATGTTTTCAACAGATTTCGAGAAATAGATAGTCGACTTCTGGGAAACTGGGGTGGACGTGGGAATACAGGGTCTTGGGGTTGTTCGAAACTCAAAATTACCACGGTGCAGGCTACAGCTAAAAATGATTTTCGGTCGACATGCCAAATTCACGAAAATTTTTGTTATGTTTAGAGCCTTATATATTTCTCAGCCTTGTAATGTGCTTTAAAAAATTTCATTCTTTTTGAGTTCATCATAACAAATTGAATGTCATGCAAATACGATTATATTTATGCCTGCAAAATTGTTCCATTATTGCACGCTCAAACTTTTTTCGTGCTATACAAAGCTTCATTAAACATAACATGGAATAAAGTTTTACCTTATTCCAAATACAGGAGGACTATAAGACTGCAAAAGATATCATCATGACATTATGCCGAAACTCTGCTAAGAAGTATATTTTTTATTATTGATTTTTTACCTTTTAATAAGCATTTGCTGCATTTATTTCATTGACAATTACAATCATTACAGAATTCGATTACCAAGCTGCATATTTTATAGCACAGGCGCTGATATTTTGTTTCCAAAACTGCTCCAAAATTTGAAATGGAGATATTAATATAAAAATGAGCTGATTGTTGATAAGACGTTTTGATCTTAGCAAAAGTAAAATGTAAATGCATTTATAGAGAATGTCGACGAATGCGTACGGCACTCTTCAATGATGAGCTGTCTTTTAATCGAGGAAATATGATGTTTTTTGTTCTCTGAAAGAAAAAAACTGTCATGGATAGCAAAGCCCATTTAAATATTCGCACGGGCTGACTCGAACCCTCAAGCCCGACGTAGTTCGCGTCTATATATTGTAGGTTTTACTCATATTACCAACATTCATTTCAACATTTTTCCAGTTAATTCATAAATGTGGAACTGGTTTGTTGCTTTTTTTCATTTTTCTGCTTTTTTGCATCTTGTTTGTTAACATTAGAACCATGGAATTCTAAACCTGTTCTTCCACTTCATGGAATTCTAAACCTGTTTTTCTATTTTGAATCGAAACGCCCTTTATTTCTTCTAGACAACCTGCGTTGAATCCAACGGAATGGAATCTATTTCTCAAGCATATTCAACAATTGTGTGAAGAGGTTTACACCTGCATCTCTATTGATGAGCTGTATCAAGTAAGTTGCAAAAACCAAGACGTTTTCCAGCCTCATAACATGTATGTCGATTAGACCATCTATAAATACATATGTTTTTTCACACATGCAAACGTACAATAACTAAACCTACCCTTGAGGTGGGGGAATCTGACAGGGGAGGGGGCTTGGGGAAATATTGAAAACTATCTTATATTACCTTATATGGTAACGCTTTGCTTTGACATACGTTCAATTGAAATTTAAGATAACTTCGAAGGTCACGTCGTTGATATTATTAAAATCAAGTTTGCAAAAGAAACTTGTTCGTTTTATCCGCAACCTCACAATAGGATATACTAAATGTAGAATAGGTGGAATCCTGGAACCTTAGAAATAAAGTAAAACAATTTTGATACGATCTTTCTGTTCCATGTTTTCGCATTCGTTATTTTGCTCTCCTGTTTTTTGCCTCTTATCTTTTGTTTCATAGAAAAATTGAAAACCCGTATTTTTTCATCAAGTCAGGTGGAATTGCCTCCAGTCTCTAGCTGGAATTGATTTTGATTTTGCTGGTGTTGATTTTCGAACTTCTACTCTCCTGAACAGTCTTTGAGAGTGTCAGAGCTCGTCACTAACTAGGCGCTTATTTCCTTAGCTATATTCCATTTCGTAGTTCTTATAAACCTTTTTTATATTTCAACTATTCGAGAGTTTTCTTTGGAATTTTTAGATATTTGCTGGATTTTTGCTCAGCTCTGGAATCGAAGAGAACTTACATCTTTCTAAGGAGCTGTTGACCTGCAGACGGAAATCAAAGAAGGATCTTAAAATTTCTGAGTCAAAGGTGAGGAAGGCGATGCCAAGGTTGACGAATGCAACGCACTGTATCGCATACGATGACTCTGTCAACCTCGTGTTGGAAGCAGCAAAGGAGTATTTTAACGCTGGTGCACATTTCACCGATCCAGTGCTAGATCTTGCCAGGTACAATTATTGATGTCTTTGTGTAAGAATACACTTTGTATGCAAACAATCATCTGTTTGTTTAGCTGTTAGGAACATAATCTGTGAACAAAAATTTCTTGTAGTTTTGCAGGTTATCTTTACCCTAATGAGTTACAAAAGAATTGTAGATTTTGACAACAAGTTTTTTGTTCTGCACGTTTTTTTATTCTTTTGATAAGAATTTCTCCACAAGAGGGTCTCCTTTCTGGTGCTTCGGTGCAAGAAAAGTTTTTGACCGATATGGTCACCGATTTCAATTGATAACCACATTTAATGCTACCCTGGAAACTAATTTGGAACAGGCTGCTGTGTTTTTCAGTAGTTCTGTTAGATGATTATGGTAGTTGCTTTAGATATATGTTATTTAGTTGATGTTCTTGTGGTAGTCATGATCCGTTGCCTCTTTTCAATGTTCTCGTACCTTCCTTGTGATTTTGTTAAGTTACCTTGCAAGTGGATTGCTAATTAGTTCTTGAAAAATATTAGAAAGTCTTTAAAACTTGGTGACAAAATTTCTGAATTTGAAAGTACCTCATATTGTAGCATGACCCATTGAAACTTCTTAATTTGCATATATTCAAATATCATTATATTAGTTTGCTTATTCAATTTTTATTCAGGAAATGCCTTGCTTTAATTGAAGACGACTCGCCAATTTTGCAGTACGAGCTTGATCTTCTTGGAGCATTGACAATCCTTAATGATTTTGATGTTAATATTTTGCCAGTGCAGGGTAAGTTTTATTTTTTTTATGTTTGTGGTGAAAATGCAAGAACATGCCTGGATCTTGATATTCATAATAGATATTTTTATTAATGTTTTAATTTTAGAAAGCTTATATTTTGTTAATGAACAGAGAATGATTAAACTTGGCTCTGATTGAAAATTACGAAATTGCAAAAAAGTTAACTTTTTAGTTATTTAAAATTATTATCGCAAATTTTCGAAACTTTCCGTGTCATACTCTAGCCATTGCATTATGTAAAATGTTGAGGTTCGTCAGGTTTTTCCTAACAGTTTTCCTCGCCCTTTTTTGGATATTAGTAAAACAATTCCTAAAGATAGTTCTATTGCATATATCTGTAAAAGAAACTTTATTCTAAACACAATGTAGATAAAGCCTTTAGTTCATCTCTTAATACCCTTTTATTTCATTTGACAGTTCGGCTTTATGAGAACAAACTGGACCTGATAAGCTTGGCAGTGAACTCTCTTGCAGCTGGGTACAAGAAAACTGCTAAGGTAGCTGCTCAGTGTTACTCCTCTTCGAAGACTTTTAAACCGTTTTAGTTAGTAATGCAGAATAGAGTTCAAAAATGATGAAGTCACAAGAATCTAGTTTGTATTTTTGAATTTAGACTTCATAAGCTGAAAGAAATTAACGAAATACCTCAAAGTATGCAAAGTCAATTGAATTTCTTGCAGATTGGCTGAGCTATAGTCTTATGAGAACAGGTTATTTCCTCGGCAAATAAATGTCGTTTGGTTTATATTCTAATAGCTATTTTAATTAATTTAATCTAGGCCAAAAAATAATAATTAACTTTCAAAACTCATCCTTTCATTTACTATGTCTTAGTCAACTTTAATGGTATATAATTTATCTTTTGTATTAAGCTGTATTCTGTCGTGTTCTTTCAGGTAACACGGTCACGACTAAAAACGTTTAAAAAAGATATTTTTGATGAGGTCATACTTTTATACTCTGTAACATGCTGAATAAGCAGCTCCAAATTTTTTAACAAGTTTACAAATCTTATGTTGATGGTCTAGATTTGCACACCATTGTTATTTGAGGGTATAACTTCTGTTTATTAGTTTCTTTATGACGAATTTCTGTCGCTTGTATAGGTTTTTACCTGGAACATGGAATATAATTTTACTCAAACAAGGTTCATAAGCAGCCTTATGTGTCCTCAGGCTTTGACCAACCCACACACAACATAATCAATTTTTTCATGATATTTGGCATTGCTCAGTGGGAAGCTGTGTCGTAGTTTGACCTTCCAGATTTGGGGGGAGGGTCGATTTTTCCAACAAACCAAGGATTTTGTCGACCAACTTACCAGGGCTCAACATTACCGAAAAAATTTATTAAGGTGCCCATCTAACATAAGAATGAGCAAGTATGTCGGATGCTGCTTTGTCGAAAGGTTGATTCGTTTGCCAGGGCTTTAGTGACATTATCTTATGTCAATAATTTTATCTGTTTTTTTCGAGTCCCTACTCTTTATTTGTTAGGAAGACGTTAATGAGTGATGTTTCGTTGCAGGTTCACAAGCTTGCAAGATTGCTTCAGTTATCTGGATTGGATGAAAAGGAGCGCATGGGGAAAGTGACTAACTTACTTGCTGAAACTGCTCTTGAGAAGGAGGATTTTTCCTTCGCAAGGGATATGTGTCTCAGCTTGGTCGATTCCAATTATGCTCCAGGGTGGATGGTTTGTAGGTTTGTATAACATTTTTTTGTTTTTTTATAAAGATTACTTAATTGCTAGTAGGAGTTTTGTGACTGCAGAGTTGTATGTTTGTTCCTTTTTCTTGATACCAGAAAGTAAAGATTTATTTCTATTTTTTCATAAGCAGCTCAAGTATTCATTCATTGTTTTCTCGTTTTAATGGAATTGTAATTGTAAGTATTTGTTCCTTCTTGACAGGACGATGTGTGAAAATGAAAAATTCACAGATTTAGATGCAAAGTAAGTATTTTGTCTGTCTAGATTTCAATATCCTACTTATAATTCATAAAATGTGCTGGAAGGTATTGGACCAAAGAGGAATTGACTGTGTACTCTGTACCTTAACTTACGCGGATCTTATGTCAAGTAATATGACGAGGACTTTCTTTCAGTTTGCTTGAGAAATATTTTTCTATGAATTGGTGCTTCCTCGAAGTCTTTTTAGCTCAAAGTCATTGACGTGCTGAGTAACTTTTAAATCTAGCAATTTCACTAAATCATTTCCTATCTGTTTTTGTAGACAACAGCTAGTAGCGTTTGCACTTACATTTTGCAATCCCAGTGAAATGGAAAATCTACTCACAACGAGAAATCTAATCAAGACTCAGGTATCTTTAATACTTTATAACATAATTTTTTTGTAGATTATTTTTAGGCTTTATTCATTCTAGTCATTTATGAAATAATACTTAAATGTTAAAAAAAGAATTGGGTTTGAAATTTTTACATTCACGTTTTTTAAAATGGTTTCTTTTTAAAGCAAATAAATACGATGAGTTGATTTCAGTCTAAACATATGCTTACGTTTGTAAAATTAAATGATCCCACTCGCAAACACGATTTTTAAGTTTCTGTATGTAGTGAAGTTGCAATTTTTCTCTATTTTAGGTGATTTATTTGGAGCTTAGTAAGCAAGAGGAAGCAAGTGACCTTGATGAATCGGTTGATGGTGGCGATCAACTCTTGGACTCAGCTGATGGGGTGGGTAAAAGGATGTCAATATTTCTCAGGTTGTTGTGTCTTCAATTTATCTGCTAAATTTAAGTGCATCTTATCTATGCTGGGTTGAGATTCCACCACAAAGCAATGTTTGCGACTTGTTAAAAGTAACAAATCAATTCAGATTATGTTATAATCCAACACATTTTCCAACATCCCAGCTCGTTTTCCTGTCATCAATGTGCTCCTTCTCTCTAGAAGTGTCCCATATACTCATTAGCCATAAGTGCAACATTTTGTGGTTTGATGAAGATGAAAGGTAGAATACATCCCCATCTGATCAGAACCTTTTCAATGACAGATACCCATTATTCTTTTTTACAAGTTTCGTCTGGATCTAATCAAGAAGTATTTTGACTTAGGTCAACTGTTGACTTAGTTGATTATGAGACTCCTTGCCATTATTGCTCACCCGTGATTATCACTTATCGAACAACTCTCAGATTTTAAATTCTGTACGTAATTTATGGCAGAGTTTGCCCTGTGTGTTTTGTGCTGTGTTTTTCTTTTAGCACAACTCCGTCTCTGTAATTTTTTGCAAATGTATAAACGAGTTAATGGCATTTGATACTTTATCTTTATTGCAAACAGCAAGCACCATCTTCACTTCTTGGTCGAACTCAGAAGCAACTGACGACAAAAACAAAAGCGATCTTTTCTAACGTCAGCGATACAAAATGGTGGAGATCGCAAGTCAAATGGGTCAGTCATTCGCACGAATCTGAATCTACCAGACCTTCAGACAGTGGGAAACGGAAACAAAAGTATGGACTCGTCCATCATCCGTTTTATGCTTTTGAAGATGTGCTTAGGGAACCTGTTAAACGTAAGGTAGGTTATATGCTTTCAAATTAACACATTTGCATTCATAGATTGTAGAAAGCAAATGTAAGGTAACCGAGAGGAGGAAATGATCGTCTGAAGATAATCTGATAAGTCTGAAGTCTGTTTTACGTAAGGTTTTTTTAACATAGCATTTACATATTAAGTAAATTAGAATATGACAGTTTTGTGTTAACTCCTTTGAAAAGACTTTAAAGAGCAAAAGATTCATTATTCAATGATTAAGTAAAATGTTTTTTATGCTTCTACGCTGTATTTTGTGAATTTATAAGTCTTCAATTTTTATAGGATTTTGATAACCTGTTGGACAACACTGGAAATAACAGTTTGCTGGAATTCAACCATTTGCTTTTAAGAAGTCAAAAGCTTTGCGAAGCAAGGGCAGAGGGAACAATTACAGAACCAAGCACCGAAGGTACTTATTTTCAGTGTACAAGAAAATGATAGCAGATCATTAACTTACATCATGATTGCAATTTTTTATCTTCTCATGCATACCTTTAATGTATTGTATTAGTGTCCATCTCCTATGATGTAATACTTACTAAAAATTCACTAGTTTCTCATATCAGGCCCTTCCTACCTTAATTGTTTTGTTTATCGAATGACGTAAGAACAGCTGTTTGCATTTGTTGCCAGTTTTTCTTCATTTCAATGTCGTAGATGTGAAATAGAATGAATCATTTTGGTTCCTTTTCAGTAATCCTGCAGTTAGCAGAGTCTGTTATGCGTCATGAAACCATCATGTTTCTTGGTTACTGTTTATCTTTGGCAAACGTAAGAATTTCTAAACATGACATTTTTTTCCTAAAGAAAACCTTAGCTTAATTCCGATGAAAAAGATACATTGAATGATAAAACATATCTTTTAAAGGTAACTTTACACGAATATCATTTTCCAAGTTGTAAGTACAGTATCTTTTTCTGTTCTATAATTTATACCTGTTGAATACTTTAATATACATCAGGATGTCATAAAGAAGCCGTGCAACTGGTGAATAATTATCATAGATGGACAGATACAATTTTAATAGCACGAAGTTGGTTCATAAGAAAGGAATTTAATTCATCCTTCTTAAGCAGAATTTCATTCTTATATGTGAACATTTATCCAGTCATTTTTCTAATTTTTCTTGTAAAACCCCTTTTTAGTTTAGAACTCGTACTTATGATTTTGCTCATATGTTTTTGACTTGTGTATCTTTTTTATATAATAGTAAAGCTCTATTCCTTTTCTCGCAGATATCAGATGCCGAAAATCTGTTCTCCAAATACCATGACCACCCGTTCGTACTTCAGCTAGCTGCCTATGTCATGTCCCTTGAGCTTGAAATTCAAAAGGGCCAAAATCCAAAGGATGGCATATCAGACTTGTATCAACAAGATGTGATGATAGCAATAAAACAGGCTCTTAAAGATACTGACGAGGAAGGTTCTCATGGATTTGATAAGAACTTGGCAGAGTCTTTAAAAAAACACATTCGACTCCTGTGTGATTTTATGCAAGCAAAGATGCTGGAGGAACTAGGAAAAGGTACCAAAGTCGATATTATATAAAGCGGTTTTAAGGGGCCCTTCAAAAGGTGAATTTTTCCCTTGGCTGACAATGATCTCTGCAATCGCGACTAAAAGTTGTTTTGTTTTTAACCGTGTTGAAAATGATGTAAAACCTAAAAGATCAGGCCACTATCAATCAGACTCAGCACGTTCATTGTTTCATTTAATCAACTATTAATAATCAATAAAAGAAACTACGCTTTTCATAATTTGATTTATTAAACATCTTTATCATAGGTGTTGACGTCAGTCGATTTATGCAAGATGATGAATACAAACGAGAGACAATTCTGGGAATCGCAATGTAAGAAAGTAGTCCATATAGTTTTTTGTGCCTAATCATGCTCTCCGATTTCCGCTTGATTTTCCAAAAGAGCCGTAATGTTTTCAAACACCAAGGACCCTGTAATGAATATTATTTTAGACAATCATTCATAGCATCTTATCATTTCATCATTTAAAAGCTTTCTTTGAAACAAATTTTTTCTTTTCGTTTTGATAGTAATTTTGTCAGATGAATCGTTTTATTGCCACAAGTAGAAATTCTCTTGACCAAATGCCTACCTGAAATCTCATAGTAGGGTAATGAATTTGTTTGCACAGAATCTAGACTTTCAGGAGGAAACGAGCTAAAGAATTCAATTATACGAATATCCCGTCTCCTACTTGAACGAATACTACCTAAATACGTGTATAGATTATTTAATGACATTTATGGATTTGATAACAAAGAATGAACAATGTAAACAATGCATTTAAAGCTGTTTAAAAGCATGTTGTAATGTCATTGTATTTTGTTTATTTTCACGCGTCGTTATCAAAGTATGTTATCGACCTTTTGTTTCGAAGTTGCCTTTGTTCCAACCCTGAACCCACTGATACTTAAATACTTAAAAGATGTGAGTTTTCATGAGCCTGGTGCTAACGTATACTCTTTTTTGCATTTGTTAGGAACCTTGAGGAAGACTTACTATCAACTGCATTGTCATTGGCGGAAAAGTACGATTTGCAACAATGGGAAGTTATTTGTGCACATGTAGAATTCCTTTTAACTGACAGTGGGTAAGTACAACATCTCCCCTTCACAAATGAGGCTCCTTTCTTATGCAGTCTGCATTCCGCAGTCACATGTAGTCTGCACATATGCACAAGTAGTCCGCATAACTTTTTCAAATTTGTTGACCATACATTTGCAATGCATTCATGAGAAATGGCTTTTGTGTAATTTACTTTAATGTGATTACAATTCAGTTGAGAGAATCATCTATCCGCTTTTTCTTGCAGCTTGAAAGTGAAAGAAATCCAAGAGCGTTTCAAGAATCTAGATGCTGTCCATGTTTTGAGGGAAAAAGGTGCAGAGTTCCTGCAGAGAATGAAACTTTACGTCTACCCATACGTCAGTGGAAAGGACCATGCACTCCTGCTTCTTTTGCTCAGTCTCATTCAGCAATGTTGCGGCGATCAAGCAACTATAGAGGTAGTTCAATGTTTCTTTTCAGTTACCTATTCCATTTATGCTTGTTACTGTAGATTACAAACTGTTATATTGAAGCTATTTTAACATAGCCGAGCACAGGCTATTGCAACAAAGCACTTGTGACGAGGCTGATTGTAGAAGGTTCAGGAATATCTACAACATTTTTCTTAATTTGTTGAAAATAGTGTCTTATAAACACAGAATTAGTTTTGGTCGTTTTAAGAGAAATATACTTTGCTCTAAAGTTGGATTTTGAATGGCCATTGTCAGTCACTTTTTTTCGTATTTAGACATGACTTTCATTGTTAAACTGTCATTTATTTTTCATTGGAACCTTTTCACTTTATTTTGTTTTGCGTTGGTGGAATCAATTTCTTCTCTATTCTTGTTTTTGTGTCGTTAATTCATATCCTTATAAATAGTATTTTTGCCAATACAAGGTGATTTATTTCCTATCCTAGGTAGCTTTGTCATCTATATTTCAGGAATCTTTTGATATAAACAGAAGTCTTATATAAATCAAAATTATAATTCTACATAGCCTATTATTATTTTCCTAATATTAATGTTTTATAATAATAACATATAATATTAATGTGCATCTTCATGGTAGAGTGAGAATGTTTTTTCTGTCTTAGGGTCCATTGGATGTTGCAACCCACATTCGCTCGTTGAAGAAAATCAAAGCAGCAGCTTCAGGTTGTGCCAATATAGGTTTCTTTTTTTCGGATATTGATCGAAAATAAGCTGGAAATCTATATTGGTCGCTGATTGGTAGAAACAAGATAACCAATCAAACGCGTCTTTCTTCCTTTGCACTCTGAAGAGTATAAACATCAAGACATGTGTCGGGCGAAAAGTGCTTTATGCTATATTACCATTATTCGTGAATATTACATTATCTTGATATTGCCTCTGTTAATTAAAAATGTTATTTGTAGGATTGGATTATAAAGAATTGTTTCATGGAGCTAATCCTCTTGATGCAGTAAAAAAGGTTTTAGTCGAAGCAAATGTCCACGTTTTATCCAAGCTAGTACCAAAAATCAACAGTGGGCTTGGAGGCCAGATTTCGTCGGGGGAAATATTCGCTGCATATACCACTAAAATATTCTGGGGAGACGAGCAGAAGAAGGAAGAATCAAAGGTAAATAAAAGTCATCTTTGGCAAAACCCTGTGTTGTTAATCTCAATGTTAAATCTTTCATTTGAGCGAAACCATTTTTCTTTTATACTCAGCTACATTTAGTATAGTACCAAAGACATGACAAAATTTGATACCTCTGAAGAAAGTTGTTTACAAATTGTCTTAAGTCACTTTTAATTAGTTGAACAACATGCAAAAATATTCAGGGCTGCCGAGATGTCTCGGAGGTCCTGGTGCAATACTGAAGGACAAGGCCCCCTTTTTGGGATACCCCCTCTAAATTAGCTTAAATTCCTTAATTTGAAAAAATTATTTTACTATTTTTAGGCATAATTTTGTTCCTTTTAATTAATTTCATTTTAAAACGAATTAATTACTTTATGAGTCCACCTAGACTTCGAGGCCCTTAGGCAGTTTACCCCCATTGCCCCCCCCTCTCGGTGGCCCTGATTATATTCCCTGACAACTTAGTCGTAATTTTTATCAAGCTCTGATGTGGTAAATAGACTACGAACATATTACCACCACCCAGTAAGTGTCTTGAATTTCATTTTTATTCTAATAACGTACGGTACGATATCACTAAATATTGGTATATTATAATATGTATTTCTCATTTGAATTGCCCTGTTTTAGGTCCAGTGGCTGCATCGATTCGAGGCATGCCAAAAATACTTCGTCAAACTCTCTGCAAATGACATACTCATTTTTGCGGATGATATAACTTTCAGTGACCGTGCTAGAAATGAAGTTAACCATGAGACCCGATTAAATATGATAAAAAGATTGTTAAAATATGTAAGACAGCAAAAAGCTCAAGAAGAAAAACAGAACTGTGATAGGTTTGTGCAGATTCATTGTGTAACGGCTAAATGTTCATTGAAACGTCTTTTAATCTTGCCTTTTCAGCTTGATTTTTATGCTGTTATGTGTGTTTGCCATATTTCAGTAACATTTTAATCTTCATGGGTTTAATCTTCGAGAGTTTCAATATCTCGATTGTTTTATTTAAGAATTTTATTTTCTCTGCATTTTTCGTTGCAATTTGCTCTTGTTTTTACAGTGAGTCGATGACTTATGCTCAAGCCGAAAGTTGCTTAGAAAAATCTCTTAACCACATTCAAAGTTTGGAAGCTGCTTGGTTCTCCGAATGGCTGCAGTCGGATGATGTAAGATCACCCTTACATTATAGTTGTGTACAAAGCATCGTTTGACTTTTTAAACGTCTATTTAAAAGCAAGATTTGATCTATCGATTTCTGCCAGACCATTGAGTTTAATTCATGCAAGTTTTCAACTGCTGTTGAGGACAGTTTTTTACTACTTTGATCTCAATGACCGGAATACGACATAAAAGATCTTGCACTTTGTTGACGATGCCAGGAATATTTCGAAAAATACTACCATGAAGGAATCGTAGCGTAACATTGCCCTTTTACACTCTGCCAATACGGCATCGAGCCTTTTATGACAGACCGGTACATATAAATTTTCTAAAATGGTTTTTGATGAGTTTATCAATGCTACTTCCATAAATAATGCATTTTAGGTTAATCTGAGAAAAAACTATCCCATTTTTGTACACCAGCTATACTATCCTATTTTTACATGATTAACGAATCTGTTGTAGGAAAAGAAACGCGAGTACGCACACAGATTTGACTCGTCGCGTTCTGACTTGTGTAAAGTAAGTGAACTAGCCAGAGATCTATTTCTTGACACGAGAACGCCAGAGGAGGTTCTTGAGATTTTCAAAACTGCTGACGTCAAAGGGAAGCATGCGCACTACGTAGCCGACGCTTTCAAGGATGCTTTGACAAGTGTTATTGAAAGCTTAAAGGTTTCACAGTAAGTCAATTTGTTTTATATTGGTGGTTTTTCTCATTTCAGATTATTCTTGAAGGAAAATTGTCTAAGGGATTGATACCAAATTGCTGTTTGGTAATGCAAAAGCGGGACTCCTTATGATAAATTATCTGTTTTGGGACCTTGCAATAATTTGATCGGCAAATTAGTTATTTAAGATATGTATGTGCAGATTATTGCCATGAATGCCACAAGTATTTATATCTTTAACTCAGAAATAAAATAATCTTTTATATCATTGAATTGTATTTTCTTGCAAAATCGTTAAAATATTTAATATCAAAATTTGCTTCTAAACTATTGATGAAACTATTTGTTTGTAAAATGTGCTTGCTCTTGTGATTTTTTTAAGTGGAAAGTTTTTTTTCAGTGATTCAGCTTCAATGGATAATCTGGCTGATATGATAGATGTTGTTAATGAACATTTACGGCATGATGGGACTTTACTTTCTGAGCAAGACGTCCTGCAGGTTGTTAGGCCACTTTGTGAAGACATCGAGGTTGACAGAGCTGTAAGTTGGAAATTTTACAGCTTTTAGAGAAGTCGTTTGAGCTGAGTGGGGACGATTTAGTCCTTCTTATTTACTACAAAACTGATGCAATAGTTTCATCAAACTGGGATAGAAAGGTTTTTGCTATATTTTTATATCTCAAATGTTATCTACCATCATTCAAGATTGTTTATTTTTTGTATTTTCTAGAAAGGACTCCGATTCTTGCATGTTAAATATTTATTTTACCCGTTTCTTCCGCCTGTTTTCTTGGGCTGGTTTTTTCGAATTCAATAGAATTAATATATTATTCAATAGTCCGTATTCAGAAACTTCCAGTAAACGGGCATTTATTTCTCGTTTTAATCTTTGCTCACCCAGATCTGGTGATAAAGGTTCGATGTCATGCTGTTCTGTACTGAAGGCTCTAAGCATATTCTACATTATGACAGCATGTAAGAAAGTGTCTGAGGATTCTCATACATAGGCTCATAAAAACAGTTTTACAAGCACTTCCTGTAGAGGTCTGTTTCAGTAGTATCTGTTTATGGAAGAGTGGGGCATCAGCGGAACTGAAGTCAAGTTTTCCAGCTAGTGCAATCAATATTATAGCATTCCCAAGCAACATATGTCACTTTGTGGACCAGCTGGTGCAATTAAAGTTCTTAAAGCTTTGCATTTTTCGTATTTTTAGGTATCAGTGCGGGATATAGAAAGTGATGAAAACAGATACTACCTGTTTTTGGATTTAGTGAAGCAGAGTGAAACTGCTAAGCATTTTGGTGATATTGGACAACTGCTGTTGGTTTGGCCAGTTTTAGCTGCGACTGAGTTAAAGTAAGTCAATTAAGAACGAAAATATAGGCACGAGGATACCCAAAGAGGGCTATTTTTGTTTTAGTAGGGGTACTCATATTATATTTAGTTTGTACTTGCTAATTCTTTTGGTTGTTTGAAATACTAATTTTTTTCTTGAGGATAAGAAACTGATAAAATTTCGGGTTGTAAAGGAATCATGAAATTCACTTTGAAATGGTTCAAAATGTTGATGTGAAATTCAAATGTTTCATGCAAATAACCTTAGGGTTTCCACTTCCTTCAATCTTCCTAAAATCATTAGTTGCTTGGTAGAATCGTCATAAAGAGGTTTATTTCTTTTTAGCAAAAATAATGCTGATGATCACCCTTGGGTGATATTGCTAAGAAAACTGATAGAGTGCAAGGATACTCGGAAATTTCTTGAACTGGTGAAGCAATCATCAGAGAAGATTACCTTTGGATTCGAGGTAAATAAATTTTATGGTAAAATCTGTAAATATAATCTTGATAAAATAATAAGGTTACAACGGAATCTCAAAAATGTCCCTTATAGACTATAATTTCCAGTGCCAATGTCAACAACTATTCTTTTTATTATCTTCAGTGTTACAGTAGTTTACAAGATGCATTGCTGGCCTATGGATTTAGACTTGAAGCTTTGAAAATGGCTTTGATTGTTAACAACAATGAGTGCATCGAGAAAGCATTTCACATGTTTGCTGAAGCTGCAGTAAGTTTCTTCATATTCGTATCATATTTCTCCCAATTTTACATGATTAAAGTATATTATATGCAGCCTCGTAACAGTCTTGTAACTTGCATTTTTTAATTCACTATAGACTTTTATTGTTTGACTAGATCTTGGTTTACTCCTTGTATTTCTTCAGACTTTGGAAAATATGTAATCGCTGCCGTCTTAAACACCCCCCCCCCCCCAACCAAGTCATTTTTAAAGAACTCAATAATTACGCAGGTGATTTTTCTTTAGAATACTGATGTCCTACCAATTTTTTATAGGCTGGCGAATTCGTCGTGGACAATGAATTATTTGGGCTAGTTAGACAAAGTAAGTCAATAAAGAAAGTTGCGAAGACTGCACTTTTCCCGTCATTTGTAGATTACATTTTAAGACAACCAAATAACGAAATTATGTTCAATGATATTTTAAATCAGTTAAAGACTGCGGGGCTTATTGCTGAAGCAGGGACACTAATTTCAAGGCAAACAGGTCTGCATTCAGCTTTATCAAATATCAATGTCGCAATTAGTTCTTTTAGAAGTTGGTTCCAGAGGTAATATGCATCCTAGATAATTGTAATGAAATAGATTTAGCTCTTGAAAGGTTTATAGAATTTATTTAGTATACTAAAAAGAAGTACCTGATACGAAGCTAGTTTTTCTTGGTTATTTGTCTGCCTGCTAGATCTGTTCTGTTTCGTTTTTTTTGTAATGTAGTTCTTAGAGCTTCCTTTTTGCAAAACAATGTTATTTGTTAAATTTTTCGTTAGAAACTCTATCTTCGGTAGCAGTAGTCATTGTCGTTTCATGTACATCTTGGCCATACTCTGAGATAGTCCTTACAAACAGATGCTCTCCTAAAAATATTGCCCTTTTGATTTGTGGAGCGTACAATGTAGAAATAATGATTTTATTTGTAGAAATAATGATTTTATTTTGATTGAGTGATTTTTTAAATGCTAAAAAGCCCTAACTTATGACTTAAGCTTATTCAGAAGCAAACTTGATTGATAGCAAGAATTATGCAGCGTGGACTCAGACACTAGTTGGAAAGTGTGGATGGGGAGAGGGCAGGCGAAAATTTATCAATCAATCTTGTTGTTGTACAAAATTTTAAAATGGCTTTGAAAAAAGCAAAAATTTGAGTACACTAAAGTTTTTCGTCTGGCACTCTTCAGAGTATAAAACGTCAGAACATAGATCAAAAACTCTACGCCAGGAAATATACATATATACCCAGTTGTGGATCGAAATAGGACAATCAAAAATGGAAGCATGTGACTTTTGAGGATGCCCATTCAGTGCCGCTTGCCTATGGAAATTTCATAGCGAAAGATTTTGAAAAAGCTCAATTGTTTTGCAAAAATGTGGGCGGGGCATGTGGATAAAGATTTAAGTTTTATCAAAGACCGTTTTCATTAGGAAAATTAGAAAGTACGATTGTTCGTCACCAGGGTCAATGAGCTAGAATTTTTAAAGTGCTCGCTACCTACGTTTGTACTCAATTAAGAGAAGAAATCATTTTAGGCATTTTGAAAATGTTTCCAACTTTTTCTTTTGAAAGATATTCCTCACTATTTCCAAGTCTGCATCATATGGGTTGGATTGCGAAATTGGATATTCAAAAAATTCATTTGGCTTTAAAGTAAAGGGAAAAAGATGCAAAGCATAAAAATGATTTTTGCTTTTTAAGATAACAACCATAGGTTAAAATGAACTCTCGAAAGATGAACTAAGAAAAACAAAGCATTTAAAATTTTTAGAAACTAGAGGGTGTTGACCTGAGGAATTTGATAATTGCTAATGTGGAATAATTGTTCACCCGTTTTCGGGACCCTACAAGCACCGAGGAGCGTTGATAAAGTGGGGGGTCTAAAAAGCGCGGGGTTTAAAACCGAATAAAAGGGGCTTTGCTGGTGGTTCATTTCTTAATATTCTGTACTTTCTGCAAAAAGTGGGGACTACAGCCTCCCCCCTGCTCCGCGGTTCTTGCCTTATTTGGGAATTTCACCCCTTCCATGCTCATTTTTAATATCCCATTGCTTAACAGAAACCTAGAATGTCCTTGTATTGACGAACGTATTAGAAATATTTACTTGTGCCAATTTGATTTTTTAATTTGCAAAAAGTCAGATACATAAGAAAATTTATATTTTGCCATCATCCATAACCTGGGTTTCCACTTGGTATAAATTTAGCCTCCTTAGGGATCTCGGTTAGAATCATTTTTTGAATAGACTTTGAGTTAATTGTGAATTGCCACAGGACTGTCATGAAATTTAATGCCCTCTGTGGTATCGTTAACGAACTGTAGTTTCGTAGTTATGTATCTAAAATTTTAGTTGGTATAAAAAATTGATCATTCGAAGTTTTATCAGATTGAGGAAGCAATGGAAGACTTCTTTTACAACCTTGATAAGAAACGCCCAAATGGGACACATTCTTTGGCTACGTCTACCTCCTTACGAAACGATGGCACAGCAAAAACAAAGGTTGCAAAATTGGATATTCGAAGAATTCCACAGGGTTTAGCAAATCTTATGGTCTAGCTTGAAACAAATGATGAAAGAAACTGCTCTATCATGATTTATCAGTGTTGTGCCAAGGAATCCCTTAGGAGTCCGTCTATCGTTTTTATATCTGCACTGACAAGAATAAAGAATCACTTTATCATGCTTTACACAGGGCTTGGGCAACTATAAGAGAAACGTAGGTCCAGGGAATATAATCATGCAACGTCTTTAGAAAATTCCCATTGTGGAATTTTTGTACACCCGTTCTTTGGACCCCACAAACAAAGCCTGAAAACTCACGAAATCTTAAAGTTCCACATCACCTAATTTTACAGTTCATCTGAAAATCACATTTAGAACATTGGCTAATCTACGCGAAATCTTCAGCAAACACCTCTAGTAAATAACCTTTAGTAAGGCTTCTGTCTTTGAAAATGCGATGCAGCTCTTGGGCATTGAGCAGCTGTGAAGGAGATCATCATTGGCGGGAAATTTGAATGAATTTTGGCGGAAGGGCTGGTGAATGCACAGGAGACCTTTGTTTCAGAATTGGGCGGGAATCTAGTCCAAATTTGCATATGCTTATAAATACCTGGTTTCTTTGCTATTCAATTAGTTGGCACAAAAGATTCGAAGATGAGGTGCTGGTGCAAAACTCTCATGTCTTCATCTTGGCCTAGAACGGCATGTAAACCTAGGTACGACCTTTTTGTCAAGTACAAGATTTAAGAGTATGTCTACTAATGTCAATTGATAATGCCATTCGCACTTATTAGGTTGTTATGTTAATCGAAATGAAGCAGGCGAAACTAATTAAATACAAACCTGTGATTCTGCATCCTCAACGTTGCTTTATGCTTTCGATTTTTAAAACTGATTTATCCTATCGGATTCTTCGTTCCTTTTCCTCGTCCGTTTACTTTGTTATTCAAGTATACACCGAAAGCGAATGTACAGAAGTGTTTGCATTGATAAAAATGCTTTTTGTTTCATTTTAAGGATAATGGAGTGAACACAGAAAAGCGACAAGTTAAAAGTGATTCGTTGACCCGACGTCAATCATAGCTCTTGGCGGGGAACAGGTATGAATATTTTGTTCGTTTCTTTTTTAAAAGAGGATAAATGTTAACTGAACTATTTTGAACTGTTCTTAGAGAGAAGTAATGTCGTTTTGCTATGTTTCAAATTTCTTTCATAAACCTTCCAGACGGAGGCCAAACCACAAGAAGCTGTTTGTGTTAATAGACAGCCTGACATCAAATTTACTTTCATTTTTCAATTTAACCTTTTTTGTGTTCAAGCTCATCAATACTTTTTTGAACATTAAAATATGGTTTTTGTCTGTCCTTTACACAAAAATAAGGCCAGATAACATTCTTTATATAGGCTCAATAAATTTGAGCACTTTGCTTTAGTTAGTTACGTTAAATGAATACAAATTGAACTGTACTGATATCATAAAGAGCTAAGAAATGGCATGTTTATTTTATGTGAGGAAACTGAATTGTGAATTACAAATTGTGAAGATAAAATCACTTGTATTGTCCTTGTCTTGAATATATGTTAATCAAGCTGAAATTGTTTAATAGAATTATAAGCTACCAGAAAGGGCTTGTGCAGCTTAATAACATATCAGGTCAATTGTTGTTTGATGATTTTTAGTTTTCTATTTAGATAAGTCTTTAGATGAATTTCTGTCTCCAGTTTATCAAAGACATGTTTTTTAATGAATGCTTAAGCTCAAAGCCAAAAAGCAAGTTTTTTTTCAAAAATACTCTGTTGGCATACTGGATAAAACATTTCATTTCAAACATTCACTGTCATTTTGCTTCAACATTTCATTCAAGCTATGCATGGAATTTTGTATTTATATTTTGTAAGCTCTATTATATTTATAGAGTTGAAAATGGCACAACAAAATTTTCATTAATTTAATTTTGTAATTGAACATGAGATTCACTTTACTTAATTTACCCCAAAAGCTCTTTCAACTCTCAATCCAATTCTTCTAGTTTTGTTTCCATTTTTCCAAATTCCTGTCTCCTCAAAACTTGATTATTTCCTTTTAAAATTTTCCCAGGTGCCTCTTAGGTGTCAGTTAAAGGTGAAAGAAAAGCTAATTGGTATGTTTTATTTCATAATTTTTAGAATTTTAAGTTAGACATCCATTTTAAAGATTCCTTTTTTAATGTAATTTATGTTTTAGTGAGATCTATTCTCAATACTTCATGATAATACTTCATTTTATACTTTTTTTATACTTGATTTCTGTCAATTAAAATAAAATGTTCCAAGAAAACTCTATTTGCCCTTTCATTTGTTGTCATTTGTTGTTCAAGACTTGGAGAGAATGCCAATCAAAGCTCATAATTTAAGTTTCTCTCAAGCAAACCCTTTCAGACAAGCAGCAAAACAAAACAGAGCAAATGTTTAAGATTTTTAAGCAAGCTGAGATAATCACATTTATGTATAGATTTTAAGAGACTCATTTATAATATATTTAAAGCTCTAAATAAATCTGAAATGAATCTCTTATATCTTTGTTTGATATCTTTGCTGTTTTGGCCAATATTTAAATAATTTTAATTTCATTTTAATTTTAAGGCCCTCAATGTTACAATTGGCAACAAATCTGCAAGGTTTGTAAACTCTGTTCTTTTGTCTAGCATTTTTAACTAATTTTTCTATATTTATGTTGTTGTTGAGACAATCATTCTCCAAGTTCAAAACTCCACTGAGCCAGGATTATATTTTTTAAAACCTTATATTACTATTGCATATGGGTATTTATTTCCAACATTCCATTCCACCTTTTTTTTTGGTGATGCATATAATGAGAAATTAGCATTTTTTGTATCAGGATTCTGAAAAATTTTTGTGCTTGGAAATAACTTTTTAGTTTATTTTTTTTCAAGTTCAACATGTCAAGTGTGGCGAATTCTTGTGAGCTAGAGATCAGCAAGGTTTGTATCAACCCCTTTGTATGTCTAATATTTGATGAAATATCTCACTGAGTTTTAATTTCAAATACTCTTTTCTATGTGTCTACCATATATAATATAAAAAATTATCTATTCTTGAGACAATCTTTCTTCAAGCCAGAAACACTGCTATGCTGGAATTTTATGTTTATTTTGAAAGATCTTTAATTGAATTAGAGCAAGGATATGTTTATTTTTGATGCTGCACTCAAATTTTTTTATCCTGGTGATGAAAATAATGAGAAATGCACATTTTTTGTACCAGTTTTCTGCAGATTTTTGAGTCTCAAAATAACTTTCTTTCATTTTTTGTTTGTTTCAAGATCATTATCTCAAGTTTTATGAAGTCTCATGAGCAAGATGTTACTAAGGTTTGTAAATATTCCTTGTTATATTTACTGAGTACATTTGATCCAAACTTTCACTGAATTTTCTTCCATGAACCTGTTTTTGAGACAATTATTTTTTCAAGTTGTCAAACTTCATTTTGATAAAAATAATGTTCCTTGTTAAAGGTCTTCAATTAACATTAAATAAGGATATATTTTTAGTTGTATGTCTGATGCATCTTTAAAATGGGAGCTTTGTTTTTTATAAAAAATTTGAGTGCTTTTTGTATATCAGAAAGATATTGTAGCATACCATTAGGGAGATTTTCTCTCTTAGGGAGAAAGAATTTCTCCATGTTTGAAAGCTTTACAGTTTGGCAAATTTACTAATATCCTATATTTTTTGAATTTGAGGTCTAGAATTTAAGATGTCTTGGAATTTAATGAACAAGGTGCCATCAAGGTTTGTAGACACTTGCCATGTCTTATATGTGAACCTAGATTTAACTTTTTAAGATATTGCTCCTCGTCTTAACAAGACAAGAGTTTGGGAATATAGTGCAAATTCTCATCTTGAGACTTAATGGGCAGATTTAAGAAATGTAATAAACTCAATTTGCAGTGTAAGTCTGGCAACTTCAAGATAATGTTCTTTTTTGTTTAATTACTTGAAGATTATTTTTACTTTAATTATATTTCCATAGACATCTGTATTACATTAAAATGTCTTTATGAAGACAAGCTAAAATGACTATTGGTCTTTTCTGGTCTTTATCCAGATTTAAATCTTTGTCTTTTTGGTTTTTATTAATAACTCTACATTTTTATGACAGGGTAAACTGCTTGATGTCATTAAACAATATACTGTTTGTGAAATACACCTGCAAGAAGAGCAAAGGTAGAAATGTTTATTTTATATTTTTGAATATGTAAAATATACATCCTTTCATCAAAAAATGAAACTTTGCCAATTTATCGGCAAAATGTTTCAGCCACACAATGAAACGTTTTATAACTGATTAATGTTAGAAATGACAATCATTTTAAAAGGAAAAAAAGTTGCCTGCATGTAAAAATCCTTTGCTACTAGGTACTTTCACTCCAGGAATTTTAATGATATATTTTCTTACATTGTGTAACTTTTATTTTTATCTCTTCGTTATACTATTGTGACCTATATATTTTTTTTACAAGAGCCAGTTTAATATTCCTCTTGTTGCACTAAGAAATAATGAATTTAAGTTTTAATGTTCCAATTCCTTAAAGAAAGACTTGCCTGAAGTGATATTCAGTTAATGCATTGAAAACAATTTCTAAAATTTTTCTGCCATTATAATTATAACATTTAAATTGTTTCTCATTTGTTCGTAACCACTGCCCTAATTTTCCCAATTTTCATGATACTCCAATGTTTTTTCTGATGTTTTTCTTTATGTTACATCTGGCCTTTCCTTTTCGTTGATGAATGTTTACTTTATTTACAGAATAACATGCTGCTTGTCTAGAAACAATCAACTGTTGTTTGTGAAAGTCACCAGCAAAACATACAAAGGTACAGATATTTATTTTATCTTTTTAGATAATCGCTTTTCTCCAAAAGTATTTGAACAGAAGCCAATGTTGTGTCAGTACAGGGTCAAGTAATTAATGCAAAAGAAAAAGTGATAAATTATTTTTAAAGAATGAAAATAGGAAACAGGTCAGAATTTCAGCCAGTCATAAAACAGAGCATGATTTCCTGAATTTTTAAATTCAAGTCCCTCCATCATTTCATTATAACTCAACTGTCAATGTTCCGTGATTCAAGAGACAACAAAGAGGCAACAAGGAATTGAACAGTACAAATATTCGATAGAAATTAATTGTAGCTGCAATTTCGGAATATGGTTTAAATTTTTCAAGAAAACCAAAGAAGCCATAGGATTTTCAATTACTTTCAAATCTTTGAGAAGGTCCTAGAAGAGTTATGATCCTATTTGCAGCAAAAAGATCACTTAGAACTATTATAGTCATATGACATGGAGCATTATCTTGTCGAAAAATTAAGGCTGATTAATTTGTCTTTTAAATCTGGCACTATTTAAAATATTTTTCAAGGGTGGTAATTTAATATACAACATTGAAAGAATGCTAAAGAAGAACAAGATAATGACGTCATTAGGCCTAATACTACCCCCTGACTATTGAAACCCTTTTTGAAAAATATTTTCAAATTAAACCCTTTATTGGTAAATGGGCAGAAGAATTGTGCAGATCACTTGCTTTGCAAATTATAAAAATGAATGACCTATCTAGTTCAAAAACTTTGTGGCGATTTGCACTGCTTCGTCCATGTTTTAACCATTGCAATTTTTTCCACTTTTGAAAAAGATTTCCCCAGTAAGTTTCCATAGAACATAATTTCAAATGTGTTTGTTTGTTTTGTTAAATAACTGAGGCTTTCGTTTCATTCAATATAATAACAATTTTTTTATCTGATAAAAATTTAATAAAAATTTTTCACTTTCTTGACGCAAATGAATATTAGGCGAATAATTTTGCTAGACCATTCGAATACTTTTTTGAGGGAAGTGTATATTCTATATCATACTTTAGATACAAATGCGATGTGATATGTTGAGATTTAATTACTGGATACCACAAAATTTAATTAAACGAAAGACCATTATAATTATAACATTTAAATTGTTTCTCATTTGTTCGTAACCATTGCCCTAATTTTCCCAATTTTCATGATACTCCAATGTTATTTCTGATGTTTTTCTTTATGTTACATCTGGCCTTTCCTTTTCTTTGATGAATGTTTACTTTATTTACAGAATAACATGCTGCTTGTCTAGAAACAATCAACTGTTGTTTGTGAAAGTCACCAGCAAAACATACAAAGGTACAGATATTCATTTTATCTTTTTAGATAACCGCTTTTCTCCAAAAAGTATTCGAACAGAAGCCAATGTTGTGTCAGTACTGGGTCAAGTAATTGATGCAAAAGAAAAAGTGATAAATTATATTTAAAGAATGAAAATAGGAAACAGGTCAGAATTTCAGCCAGTCATAAAACAGAGCATGATTTCCTGAATTTTTAAATTCAAGTCTCTCCATCATTTCATTATAACTCAACTGTCAATGTTCCGTGATTCAAGAGACAACAAAGAGGCAACAAGGAATTGAACAGTACAAATATTCGATAGAAATTAATTGTAGCTGCAATTTCGGAATATGGTTTAAATTTTTCAAGAAAACCAAAGAAGCCATAGGATTTTCAATTACTTTCAAATCTTTGAGAGGGTCCTAGAAGAGTTATGATTCTATTGGCAGCAAAAATATCACTTAAACTATTATAGTCATATGACATGGAGCATTATCTTGTCGAAAAATTAAGGCTGATTAATTTGTCTTTTAAATCTGGCACTATTTAAAATATTTTTTGAAAGGGTGGTAATTTAATATACGACATTGAAAGAATGCTAAAGAAGAACAAGATAATGACGTCATTAGGCCTAATACTACCCCCTGACTATTGAAACCCTTTTTGAAAAATATTTTCAAATTTAACCCTTTATTGGTAAATGGGCAGTAGAATTGTGCAGATCACTTGCTTTGCAAATTATAAAAATGAATGACCTATCTAGTTCAAAAACTTTGTGGCGATTTGCACTGCTTCGTCCATGTTTTAACCATTAAAAAAATAATTTTTTACCATTGCAATTTTTTCCATTTTTGAAAAAGATTTCCCCAGTAAGTTTCCATAGAACATAATTTAAAATATATTTGTTTGTTTTGTTAAATAGCTGAGGCTTTCGTTTCATTCAATATAACAACAATTTTTTTATCTGATAAAAATTTAATAACAATTTTTCACTTTCTTGACGCAAATGAATATTAGGCCAATAATTTTGCTAGACCATTCGAATACTTTTTGAGGGAAGTGTATATTCTTTATCATACTTTAGATACAAATGCGATGTGATATGTTGAGATTTAATTACTGGATACCACAAAATGGAATAAAACGAAAGACCATTATAATTATAACATTTAAATTGTTTCTCATTTGTTCGTAACCACTGCCCTAATTTTCCCAATTTTCATGATACTCCAATGTTTTTTCTGGTGTTTTTCTTTATGTTACATCTGGCCTTTCCTTTTCGTTGATGAATGTTTACTTTATTTACAGAATAATATGCTGCTTGTCTAGAAACAATCAACTGTTGTTTGTGAAAGTCACCAGCAAAACATACAAAGGTACAGATATTTATTTTATCTTTTTAGATAACCGCTTTTCTCCAAAAATTATTCGAACAGAAGCTATGTTGTGTCAGTACTGGGTCAAGTAATTAAAGCAAAAGAAAAAGTGATAAATTATATTTAAAGAATGAAAATATGAAACAGGTCAGAATTTCAGCCAGTCATAAAACAGAGCATAATTTGCTGAATTTTTAAATTCAAGTCCCTCCATCATTTCATTATAACTCAACTGTCAATGTTCCGTGATTCAAGAGACAACAAAGAGGCAACAAGGAATTGAACAGTACAAATATTCGATAGAAATTAATTGTAGCTGCAATTTCGGAATATGGTTTGAATTTTTTAAGAAAACCAAAGAAGCCATAGGATTTTCAATTACTTTCAAATCTTTGAGAGGGTCCTAGAAGAGTTATGATTCTATTGGCAGCAAAAATATCACTTAAACTATTATAGTCATATGACATGGAGCATTATCTTGTCGAAAAATTAAGGCTGATTAATTTGTCTTTTAAATCTGGCACTATTTAAAATATTTTTTGAAAGGGTGGTAATTTAATATACGACATTGAAAGAATGCTAAAGAAGAACAAGATAATGACGTCATTAGGCCTAATACTACCCCCTGACTATTGAAACCCTTTTTGAAAAATATTTTCAAATTTAACCCTTTATTGGTAAATGGGCAGTAGAATTGTGCAGATCACTTGCTTTGCAAATTATAAAAATGAATGACCTATCTAGTTCAAAAACTTTGTGGCGATTTGCACTGCTTCGTCCATGTTTTAACCATTACAAAAAGAATTTTTTACCATTGCAATTTTTTCCATTTTTGAAAAAGATTTCCCCAGTAAGTTTCCATAGAACATAATTTAAAATGTGTTTGTTTGTTTTGTTAAATAGCTGATGTTTTCGTTTCATTCAATATAATAACAATTTTTTTATCTGATAAAAATTCAATAACAATTTCTCACTTTCTTGACGCAAATGAATATTAGGCGAATAATTTTGCTAGACCATTCGAATACTTTTTTGAGGGAAGTGTATATTCTATTTATCATCTTTAAGATACAAATGCGATGTGATATGTTGAGATTTAATCTACTGGATACCACAAATGGAATAAAACGAAGAGACCATTATATTAATAACATTTAAATTGTTTCTCATTTGTTCGTAACCACTGCCCTAATTTTCCCAATTTTCATGATACTCCAATGTTTTTTCTGGTGTTTTTCTTTATGTTACATCTGGCCTTTCCTTTTCGTTGATGAATGTTTACTTTATTTACAGAATAATATGCTGCTTGTCTAGAAACAATCAACTGTTGTTTGTGAAAGTCACCAGCAAAACATACAAAGGTACAGATATTTATTTTATCTTTTTAGATAACCGCTTTTCTCCAAAAATTATTCGAACAGAAGCTATGTTGTGTCAGTACTGGGTCAAGTAATTAAAGCAAAAGAAAAAGTGATAAATTATATTTAAAGAATGAAAATATGAAACAGGTCAGAATTTCAGCCAGTCATAAAACAGAGCATAATTTGCTGAATTTTTAAATTCAAGTCCCTCCATCATTTCATTATAACTCAACTGTCAATGTTCCGTGATTCAAGAGACAACAAAGAGGCAACAAGGAATTGAACAGTACAAATATTCGATAGAAATTAATTGTAGCTGCAATTTCGGAATATGGTTTAAATTTTTCAAGAAAACCAAAGAAGCCATAGGATTTTCAATTACTTTCAAATCTTTGAGAGGGTCCTAGAAGAGTTATGATTCTATTGGCAGCAAAAAGATCACTTAGAACTATAATAGTCATATGACATGGAGCAATATCTTGTCGAAAAATTAAGGCTGATTAATTTGTCTTTTAAATCTGGCACTATTTAAAATATTTTTTTAAAGGGTGGTAATTTAATATACGACATTGAAAGAATGCTTTGTTTGTTTTGTTAAATAGCTGAGGCTTTCGTTTCATTCAATATAACAACAATTTTTTTATCTGATAAAAATTTAATAACAATTTTTCACTTTCTTGACGCAAATGAATATTAGGCCAATAATTTTGCTAGACCATTCGAATACTTTTTGAGGGAAGTGTATATTCTTTATCATACTTTAGATACAAATGCGATGTGATATGTTGAGATTTAATTACTGGATACCACAAAATGGAATTAAACGAAAGACCATTATAATTATAACATTTAAATTGTTTCTCATTTGTTCGTAACCATTGCCCTAATTTTTCCCAATTTTCATGATACTCCAATGTTATTTCTGATGTTTTTCTTTATGTTACATCTGGCCTTTCCTTTTCGTTGATGAATGTTTACTTTATTTACAGAATAATATGCTGCTTGTCTAGAAACAATCAACTGTTGTTTGTGAAAGTCACCAGCAAAACATACAAAGGTACAGATATTTATTTTATCTTTTTAGATAACCGCTTTTCTCCAAAATTTTTTCGAACAGAAGCTATGTTGTGTCAGTACTGGGTCAAGTAATTAAAGCAAAAGAAAAAGTGATAAATTATATTTAAAGAATGAAAATAGGAAACAGGTCAGAATTTCAGCCAGTCACAAAACAGAGCATAATTTGCTGAATTTTTAAATTCAAGTCCCTCCATCATTTCATTATAACTCAACTGTCAATGTTCCATGATACAAGAGACAACAAAGAGGCAACAAGGAATTGTACAGTACAAATATTCGATAGAAATTAATTGTAGATGCAATTTCGGAATATGGTTTGAATTTTTCAAGAAAACCAAAGAAGCCATAGGATTTTCAATTACTTTCAAATCTTTGAGAGGGTCCTAGAAGAGTTATGATTCTATTGGCAGCAAAAAGATCACTTAGAACTATTATAGTCATATGATATGGAGCATTATCTTGTCGAAAAATTAAGGCTGATTAATTTGTCTTTTAAATCTGGCACTATTTAAAATATTTTTTGAAAGGGTGGCAATTTAATATACGACATTGACAGAATGCTAAAGAAGAACAAGATTATGACGTCATTAGGCCTAATACTACCCCCGGACTATTGAAACCCTTTTTGAAAAATATTTTCAAATTTAACTCTTTATTGGTAAATGGGCAGTAGAAATGTGCAGATCACTTGCTTTGCAAATTATAAAAATGAATGAAAGGAAACAGTCTGAAATTTTATGAAATGAAATCTCATTGGATAAGACCTGTTAAGAAAATTGCCTTTTTCTTGTTTTATCAAATTATTTTATCAAAAAGCTCCTTTTTTGCAAACTTTTCTTACGAGGTTCAGATATATCGCTTAACTTTTGCCAATATAACGAATCAGAAGACAAGCCTCTAGGTGACCATTCATTGCGTTGCGTACGGAAAACAGGAAAAATTTCAAAGTCCGTGGAACTTTACGATTTCCAAGTGTAAAATATAGAATATAGTATAAACATTCAAGTGTAGAATATAGTTGCAACTTTTCTAAATTCCACCGTTTTGTCTCTTAACACAAAAAGTTAAATTGTAGATTCACAATTATTGTTTTATTTAATGTACGAACTTTTGTTCCTTTGAAAACTAATTTCTTTAATTTCAATCCAGTCTTACATTCCTCTTCTCGATGGCTGATTTTCTGTGTTATAATTTAGATGTTGGCGAAAAGAAGAGCAAATGCGAGGAAGAAGCAACCCAGTCAATCAAACGAAGATGATGCCAAATGTTTTCTGCATAATTTCACTTAAGACTTAACAGCCAAAAGGCTGTAGTCATTTAGAAACTAGGTTAGAAAATTATTTGATTGTTGAATTTAAAGTCTTTTTTCTGTTTCTCGTAATTTCTGTATTTGTCTCTTTTACTTGGGCTGATCTTCGTGAGCGGTATTTCGAAATAGGTTTTAAATGCAGTTCAAGATTCTAAATAAAAAGTAATATGTATCTAAATAAAATATAAAAGTTAAATAGATTGATAATGATCACTTGCGCTCGCTACTATACACGGGCTGTCCGCTACATATAGGCATTTTTATGAAATGCCTTTCAAAATTTGAAATGCTGCATTTATGCGTGCCAAAGTCTCACCCACATCACTTTCCACTTTCAGAAATTCATCATCATGAACCGTGGTCCACATGTAGAAAAGCAAAAGAATCGTTAACCCGACGGAAACCTTCCAAATTGCTAGCCAGTTTCAAAAACATGCCCAGAGAAGGCTTTAAGGTGCGTAAGTATGCCTTTTTTTCTTCCTTTCTAAATTGGATTTCCTGCTTTTTTTCAGAGGGGGGCAGGTAAGTATGCGTCGCAGCGCCATTTCGGGAAACCCCACTAACCTGAACTGGTTGGTTCGGGTTAGTAGGAAACTGTTTTCCCGGCTTGGGTCACACGGCGTGATTCAACCGGAGTAAAACAGTTTCCTCTTCAATCGTGTGCAACTACAACAGTCGGCCGCAAGTGCGAGCCTAGCCTCCCAGCTCCCCGGTCCTGGCCCCACCCCATCCCCCGGTCCGCAGGGGGGATGGGGCGGGGCCAGGGCCGGGGAGCTCGGAGGCGAGACGGCAGCTGTGGCTGTGAGTGGCGGCCCACGTGCGACGGGGGGAGGGTGGGGCCAAATTTTGCGCAGCGGCTGCTAGCCCAAAAGGTCAGCGGTCGCTGCGCAGCCACGCTTTTTTCTTTCTTTTCATTTTTTGCTTGTTGTTTGTTGTTTCTTTCTTTTAATATTTTTCAGATTGTGATGATGATTGACATGGTGACAATGATGACAACAAGATTGACATGGAACTGAGGGGGTCCTTTTATTTTTTTAGATTTGAAAGAAAGAGCAGAAATTTGAAGAAGCAGAAAGACACTTTGGTTCAGCTGCCGTTTTGCAAAGAAAAAGGAGCAGCAAAAGCGAAACACCACTACATCAAGACCACTAAGCGATTTTCCAGACCACTGCCGTTTTGCAAAGAAAAAGGAGCAGCAAAAGCGAAACACCACTACATCAAGACCACTAAGCGATTTTCCAGACCACTACATCCAGACCAGCCAGACCACTTCATCCAGAGCAGGAACAAGAACCACGAACAGCATTTCAGGCATATGTGATTTGCGTAAAGTTGGATATCATATAATATCTCACTAAGATAGGGACACGTCATAATAATACTTAGATTATATCAGGTTCTTCTAAAGAGTTGTTCACTGAGCCCAATTATATATTTTATTGCTGTTGTCAATAAATTGTTTTGACTCAACACGCAAAGTACATTGTTTTTTTGTGTCTCCCTCTCGTACTAACAGACTAACACGTGACTTAGACAACACAGTACTTAGACAGACCAACATGAGTTAGTTAGGCAACAGCAGACTAACATGAGACTTACCCCACACAAGACTAACACGTGACTTAGACAACACAATACTTAGACAGAACAAGACTTAGGCAACAGCAGACTAATATGAGACTTTGGCAATACAAGACTAACAAGAGACTTTGTTACAAGAGACAAGAGACGACACAATACATAGACAGACCAAGACTTAGGCCACACGAGACAACACAAGACTTAGACAGACCAAGGCAACAGCCACACAAGACTAACAAGAGACTTAGACAACACAATACTTAGACAGACCAAGACTTAGGCCACACGAGACTAACACCTGACTTAGACAACACAAGACTTAGACAGACCAAGACTTAGACAGACCAAGACTTAGGCAAACACAGACTAACACGAGACTTGAACAACACAAGACTAACACGAGACTTAGACAGATCAAGACTTAGTCTAAAACAACATCAAAAGCAAAAAAACATCAAAACAAAAAACAACATTTTAGTTTAAAATAACAAACAACAACACGACAAATCCCCTTTTTGATAGCAACAAATCTCCCTTTAAAGAAAAGAAGAACATTCCTAGAAAACGTAAAATTTTGAGTTTCTTTCTCAATTAAACTCAATATAAAAAAAGGAAGAGGACTATCGTCCCATGGGAGGAGGGCTATCGTCCCATGGATAATAAAAGAATCCTCCTAAGATAAAATATCCTCCTAGAATAAAAAAAATCCTCCTAGAATAAAGAAAAATCCTCCTAGAATAAAAAAAATCCTCCTAGAATAAAAACAAATCCTCCTAGAATAAAAAAAATCCTCCTAGAATAAAAAAATCCTCCTAGAATAAAAAAAAATCCTCCTAGAATAAAGAAAATCCTCCTAGAATAAAAAAAATCCTCCTAGAATAAAAAAATCCTCCTAGAATAAAAAAAATCCTCCTAAAATAAAAAAATCCTCCTAGAATAAATTTTTCATAAAAAAAAATCCAAGGAAGAAGGAGGCAGAATATTCCCAGTAGAGGATGATATCGCTGCCCAGAGTAGGACGTATCGTCCCAGGAGAGAGTATTCGTCCCATGGGAGGGCAGGCAGTAATCTCCATGGGAGGAGAGCGTTACCTCGCATCCCATGGAGGAGGAAGTATCGTCGCACCATGGAGAGGCAGTATCGCTCCCATGCAGGAGCAGTACTCCCATGGAGGAGGAGTATCGACCATGGGAGGAGACCCGGACTCCTACCTAATATTCGATGCACTCCAGCAGCCGGCCCAGTATCGTCCCATGGGAGGAGGAGTATCGTCCCATGGGAGGAGGAGTATCGTCCCATGGGAGGAGGAGTATCGTCCCAAGGGAGGAGGAGTATCGTCCCATGGGAGGAGGAGTATCGTCCCATGGGAGGAGGAGTATCGTCCCATGGGAGGAGGAGTATCGTCCCATGGGAGGAGGAGTATCGTCCCATGGGAGGAGGAGTATCGTCCCATGGGAGGAGGAGTATCGTCCCATGGGAGGAGGAGGAGTATCGTCCCATGGGAGGAGGAGGAGTATCGTCCCATGGGAGGAGGAGTATCGTCCCATGGGAGGAGGAGTAGGATCGTCCCAAGGGAGGAGGACTATCATCCCATGGGAGGAGGAGTACCGTCCCATGGGAGGAGGAGTATCGTCCCAAGGGAGGGGGACTAGCGTCTCATGGGAGGAGGAGAATCGTCCCATGGGAGGAGGACCAGCATCTCATTGGAAGAGGACCAGCGTCTCATGGGGGGAGGATTATTGTTAGAGTATTGCTATGTTAGAGGAGTATTATGTAATGGGTATTATTTTTAGAGTATTGCTATGTTAGAGGAGTATTATGTAATGGGTATTATTGTTAGAGTATTGCTATGTTAGAGGAGTATTATGTAATGGGTATTATTGTTAGAGTATTGCTATGTTAGCGGAGTATTATGTAATGGGTATTATTGTTAGAGTATTGCTATGTTAGAGGAGTATTATGTAATGGGTATTATTTTTGGAGTATTGCTATGTTAGAGGAGTATTATGTAATGGGTATTATTGTTAGAGTATTGCTATGTTAGAGGAGTATTATGTAATGGGTATTATTGTTAGAGTATTGCTATGTTAGAGGAGTATTATGTAATGGGTAGTATT